ATTTCCAGCAGCTTGTTCATACCGTCAGTGTTTTGTTTTGGGTTTTTTTCCATTGGTTTGTTAAGGAGATATATGTGTGTGTTTCTGTTTTACACAGTATGGACACATTCATGGCCCAGGGCAGTTCCCAAGTGCAGAAAAGAAGGTTCAATGTAACTTAATATGGAAAAAATTGTGGCCCCTTTTGCTGTGGTGTATTTTTCATTGGAGAAAGGGGATGGTATATGTTTCATTTATTTTTGGCAAATTTCTAATGGGGCAGAACTGTGAGTGTATGAAGATGCATTGACATAGCTCTGAAAATGGTGTTACCTTTGTTGCAGTTCAGCCGAAGAGGGTCATGAGAAGTCTTGGCATTCTGGTCACAGTGTATGGGCCTTAGACACTCATGGCAGATCCAGAGATGGTCATCCTTCAATCAGGCAAGCTCTTTCTGTTGGACCCATGAGCTTCAGCGCCAGCAGAACCATGGATGCCACAGCAAGATGGGATCCTTGGTCAATAGGACAGCCACTCCATAAACATCACAGCTTGGACTTTAACAATCTCTTTTGGGCACAGGTGCCTCTTACTTTAAAATCTGGAGGCAAAACTGGACTGAGCTTAGATACAACAGTGCCTCTAACACGGACTAAATCTAACCCTTTTGAGTTAGTATCACAGAAAACACCCCAAATGTTGACAAGAAAAGACCCTGGGTCCTATTTGGGCATCCCATTTGGAAGCTTTCAGGTTGACTCAAGCCTTTCAAATACATTATCGAGCAAAGTGCAGCGCTGCAGGCTCAGGAAGTTACGCCACCAGCCTTGCACTTGGTCAGCAGAGGATCCTTACTTTTCTTCTATCTCATCAGAAGAACCATGTTCCCCAGAATTTCCTGACTCTACTGTGGATCTACCTGAAACAGTTCCCCCATTTTCCCCGGCTGTGGACTTACAGTCATCAGATGCGATATCCAGTCATCTGCCATGCAACTCCCAGGCCCAGAGTACCTACCTGTTGGATGTGGTGGAATCAGCTTGCCAGAGTAAGTCTGAGTTTATGAGAACTTGTGCGCTGTCAGCTGAATTGTCCTGTGAGGAGAGCATTTGATTACAAGGAAGGGGGACAATGAGAAGGCTTTCTGCTATGCACTTGAGTGAGAACTTGTTAAGTACACACATGTTCTTGCCTGGCACATCTTCTAATTCTGTTTTGGGAGTGCTGCAAAAGACACTCAGGGTCATGGTTTCTTCTTTCTTTCATCAGTAGTTTGTATGATAGCACAAGTGAATAGTGCATAGAGTATTATAAAATATCTTTTAAAAAATTCCAGTTTGAGCAGTGCTATCCAATTATGTGTGCATGTTTTGAAGGAGCTACCAGCTTCAGCACCATCTGGTGGTCACGTTTTTAAAGTATTAAAAATGTGCTTTTAGCTGTGTTCAAACTCCTGAAGTTCAAGGGTATGTAGCACATATCGCAACCAGCAGGTGTTTGATTGTCAGATAGTCAAATGTTTGAATGTGTGAACAATACTGTTGTGCTTCTGATATTTTAATGACATTAAAGCACATTCATTTAATGAATCAGAAAAAATGTTGCAGAATCGTTTTTCCCAAAAAGGGTTATATAGGCCTGGATATTAAATGTGCATGTATCTGTGTAGTTAATGGCAAGGAATTTGACTGATAGATCTCCCTTAAAAATAAAAGGGATGTGATGATAAGAATGCATATGATTTGAAGCTGTGTTGAGGGGTCTGTAGCTTAGCATCAAAACACAGTTTTCATGCAGAAGATCGAATCCCTGGCATCTTCAGCTCTTCAGCTAAGTGGAGGCTGATGTCTCTGGTGTCAGTGGGTAGTGTATCCATGCCAGGTTTAAGTATGAACTTTTAAGAAGCTACATGGTGCTGAACCCTGTCCAGAATAGGTGCACCACATGGATAACCCCTTTAAAGTTCAGATTGAAGCACAGAATGGATACACTGCCCCACTGACATTGGAGTCACTAGCCACTGCTGCCAAAACAACTTACGAATGTAACAACATGAGAAGAGCCATAGTAGATCAGGCCAAAGGCCTATCCAGCATTTTGCTCTCCTAATGGTCAACCAAGTGTCCTCGGGACCCTCACTGCAACTGGGACCTGAGCACTACAACATCTTCTTGTTTGTGTTTCCTTGTGATGGATATGCAGAGCACGATAGCCACTGGTTTTGCATAGCAAGATAGCCACTGCAGGTAGCATAGGGCCACCATGATGAGTAACCATTGATGGCCTTATCATCAACTAATTTGTCTAATCCTCTTTTAAAGCCATCTAGGGTGGTGACCATCACTACATTCTGTGACAGTCAACTCCATAATTTAAATATGCATTGTATGAAGAAATACTGCCTTTTATCTGTCCTGTTTTCAGCTTCATGAAATGACCGCAGGAACTAGTTTCCTAAGACAGGGGCTTCTTATCCAGCATGCATAATTTATGTACCTCCATCACAGGCACTCCCTTATATGTGTTTTCCTAAGCTGAAGAATCCTTTGTAGCCCTTCTGTTATTTTGTGGCCTTTTTCAGTAGCAATTCTAGTTCTACAAAATTGCTTTGAGATGTGGTGACCATCCTGTATTCCTAATTCAAAGCATGCCCTCGTCATAGATTTTCATGAAGTTCTAATGCAGTTAACGGGCTAAGCAAGGCTTCTACCCAGCTTTGGAGAGCTATTACTGATCAGAATAAACAACATGGGGCTGAATCGACCAACCATTTGATACAAACTAAGACAATGTTATATTTTACATAACTCACAGTGATCGCTTCATGCTTGTAGAGTGAGCAGGTATGTGCCAATGCCACCAAGGTCAGTCAAGGAGGCCCAGGAACTTGGCATTGGAATTTTATCATTTTGTGTGGGTGCAATAGCTCTTTCTGTAAAAGTGACTTAATTATATCTTCTTTGGACTATTGTGATATACTCTACATGGGGGTGCCTGCAAAAAACTTTAAAACTTCAGTTGCTCCAGAATCTTGTAGCCAGACTGCTAATCATGGCTGGTTACAGGGAGCAAAGGACTCCCTTGTTACAGCAACTTTGCTGGTACCACTAATCTGTTTCTGAGTAGAATTTCAAAGTTGTGTTTGGCCTATAAAGCCCTTTACAACTTGGGACCAGGCTGTTTGAAAGATTACATTCTCCCATATAAGCCTACCCAGATTTGAAAAACTTCAGGGAAGCCTTTTTGAGGTGTATTTAGTGAAAATGTGAGCTGGTCTGTTTTGAACTGTTTTTATTCTGTGAGTTGTTTTTTAACTATGTTTTAATCTATTAGGTTTAATCTTCTAAGCTTTAGTTACCACCTTGGGTACCATTTTCTTGATGACAAGGTAGAATACAAATCACATAACTTAAATAATAAAAACAACCTTCATTCTTTTGGTTTGGCAGATTCTCCCCAACTTGATGAAGAAATTCCTCCCCCATTGCCAGAGAGAACTCCAGAGTCCTTTATCATACCTGGAGAAGATGGTATGTTTAAGCAGCTAAATGAATCCACTTATACTGATGGTGGAAGAACACCTTATGAAAGATGTGGTGATCTTCCACTGCTTAGAAACTTTTGCTGTCCAGAAAGTAAAATGAAATAAATCAATTTTGATTTCTAGTTTTATACTTTACAGATAACTCTTTGTTGGCAGCTTCAAACAACCAGCCAGCACTCAAGATTGAGGAAACTGGAGTCTCTAAAGAATGGAGCTGTATGTCTCAGCTGAAATTTTCTGATGACAGTGTAAGAATGAGGCCAAGTAAGGTAACTCATTAGAGACTTTATACTTCTCTGCCAGCAATATTGCTATATGGATCTCCTGACTGCTGCAAAAATGAAGGCTACTGCTTTGATTAACTGGATTGCTGCAAATATTGTCTCTGTATTCCAACAGCTGAGGCTAGGACAATGCTTCTGAAATAACAGGTTGCATTAATTCTGAGTGAGTCAATTGGCAATGGATGCCTAGCAAATTCCACTTGTGTTTGCAACAGTGGCTAAAGCATGCCCCACTTTCTCAAAAGCAGTAAATGCTGAAGTAACAAACTAGGAAGAATATGCAGAACTGGATGAATGTGACTTTCAGCATTAACAAGTGGGGCCTGTAGCAAAATGTTTCCATGTGTAATGCTCCAATTCAGAGCCCGAGCCAGCCAGCCATGTCCCTTTCCACACTACTCCATTCCATCCCCCTCCTTTCAGCTTATTCCTTCCAACAGTCACTCAATATTTCATGCCCACTAAAACATGTTCAAGTGCCATTGATCTGCACTTCAATAGATATAACTTACAGAGGTATAATCATGCAATCATTTACACATGACCAGGCCAAAGAAAAATCCTCTTTCCTAGAAATCAGCATATCTGCATCCTTGAAATGTAGTGGACACTAACCAGCCACCATTCCAGAGAAAGCTAGTTGGTACTTGACAGATAACAGCAGCTCTGACAAAGGGCAATTCACACCCGCCTATGCATCTTCTTCTATGTATTAACACCCCCTCCTTCGGAGCATCTTCTTTGATATGCAAGTGAGAAGGATCATGTCATTGTAACTTTCCACTTTTCTAACCTATTGGAAAACGTGAAGTGTGTTATGTGTAACCCTTCAAATCACCATATAAAAGGGCCAACTGAGGAACTGAGGACTGCTCAGGTGTACCATCTAGAATGCTTCATTGCTAGCTAGTTATTCTTGAGAATGAATCCTTTAAAAGAAAACCTTCCCCTGATGTGTATTTTGGGCATACACACATCAGGACACAGACCATGTGGTCAACACCATTGTGCCATGTTGTGGCTTTCCCTACATGTTTTGTGTCATTTGGCACACCTTGGACTTTTCCCAAGCCTGCTGATACCTTTCCTTTATGCATTGATGATGCTGTTTTGGCTGCAGTAAAATTCACACTTGGGGAATGAGTACACTGTAGAGAAACTAGCTTGGCCTTCAACAGCTAGCATTGCTCAAGCACTGTTCAGTGGGAGAAATACAACAGCTTTTATTGGAAGTAAATAAAAGTGAACTGACTAATTAGAATTGGGAAGTACATAAGATTTTTCAAAACTGAAAACGTAAAGAGGATTGAAAAAGGACAAGTAAAATAGAAACCTGACTAGGGTTCTCAAATTGTGGCTAACTCCACAATTGCATAAACCTCTAACTCCTTAAAGGGGATAACTCTTCTGAAAGAAGACAGGAAACTTGCTTAAAGGTGAACTGGTGTCACTTGGAGAAATAAAGTGATGTGCCAGGACTCCTCAGCCAGAAGGCCCCTTCAGTCTTTCAAATCTGGTTCAGAAGTAAGACTTGTGTGAACACATGGATGATGGATGAAATGTAGACCCAACTTCCATAGCAAAGGTAGGCAGTATGAATCTTCAGGCAGTATATTCAGATACATATGCTATATGTCTGAACACACACATAGTGTTTTGTTCCACTGCCTACTCACTCAAGTTAAATGCAGCCGTGCTGAACTGAGGGAAAATAAAAGTATCTCTCTCTTTCTTCATTTTCAGGGTAAGAAGCTGCAGAGACCCAGCTCAGGTATATTTTATAACAATGTCCTGTTTTCATTTATTTATTTAATTATTTAAAATATTTATATGCCGTCCTAATAGCAAAAAAGCCTCAGGATGGCTTACAATATAATAGAATAAATAAAATCCCCGACCCACACTGGCTGCAATTAAAAATATAGAAAAAGCAATATTAAAACTTATTAAAATATCGCTGGAATAGAAAGGTCTTAACCTGGTGCCGAAAAACAAATAATGACGGCGCCAGGCTGACCTCTCTGGGGAGTGCATTCCATAGATGGGGCGCCACCTCAGAGAAAGCCCTCCTCCGGGTACTTTGCCTCCTGATATCTTTCACGGAGGGTTCCCGAAGGAGAGCCTCTGCTGCCGATCTCAAGGGGCGGGAGGGCAAATAGGGAAGAAGGCGTTCCTTCAGGTATCCAGGTCCCAAGCCAGTAGAAAATGTTTTGTCAGTGGAAAATGTTTGAACAGGTTACTAGGTCATACCATAACCAATGTTATATTGTTTGGTTAGATTCTTCCTCTGTTTTGAAGACCTGGCATATATTGAGGCATATTTTCTGAGCTTCCCCATAGGTTGGGACAGTATGTGGGAACAATAGGGCAGCCAGGTAATTTTACCATCTGGACTTCACTGTCTTACAGGGGTTCCCTTCAGATGGCCATAGGTGAAGAACCAAACTAGCATTGCTCCCTAACCACTATTCCATTGTTTGTCTGATTTAAACAAAATATTCCAAATACATTCAGTTTTGTATTTTAAACTCAGTTAAATCATAACACTGCCATGATGACATAAATAAAATGAAGTTTGTGTCTGCTGTTTGATTCTGCCGAAGTTTGCATCTGATGTCCTCAGCATTTGATGTTCTCTGGGTGGTCATTTGCCCCATCCCCAGCTCTGTTAACTGCCCAGAGAGCCTCGGTTTTGGGAGGTATAAAAATGGAATGAAACAGAGAGACAAACTTTGGCCCCAAGGTCCAGTCCTAGCTGCACCACTGGCTGGACACAGGAATGCACATGTTCCCTTCAGAAGAATCATGTGTTCATGCCAATGGCAGAGTTCAAGACATAGCAGGCAGTAGACGTTTGATCTGGCTGAACCCAAGCAGAGGCTCAGGATTTTTGAAAGTGAAATTACGGAAACATTGTTGTTTCAATTGTACTTTTTATGTGCATCCTAACCGCAGAGTTTTATCCAGCTCGGTCTCCATCACCTCCTCCTCCCCCACTTCCTGAGAGAACTCCTGAGTCCTTTATCCTTGCAGATGAGGAATGTAAGTGAAATGGCTTTTGCTGTCTTATAAGACAAGGGTTTGGCTGGTGGTTTTATGTGAAGCATCATCACATAAGAAGAGACCAAAACTTAGACATCCAAAGCAATTTTTTCAATGTTTGCTTTGAGAAGGTCAGGTGATAAGTGTTGAAGGGAAAATCATAGCAACAAAAGATGCAGAGCTGTGAGCCTGCATACAAAAACCATAGCCAGCCTCCAACTCTTGTCAGTTATTCCTTATTCCAGTTTTGTGATATCCTTAAAGAGACACAGAACCAAATGCATATAATCAAATAATGTTGCCAGAGGATCAGGGAAGCCTTCACTCAAAAAAGTATCCAGTGCTACTTGCAGTCTAGTACAAATTATATACTGAGTTCTCTTGGAGCAATGTATCAACAGTAATGGTTGTATTTTAACCATTAAAAGCATTTTAACCAAAAAAGCAACTCAGTCTCAGGCCAGATGAGTCCTGCCGGGCTGGAGATAGGTGGCAGAATGTGGAGCAAAAGTTCTCATCACCCAGTGCTGTTTAGCCAGCAAGCCTACAGCGCCTGTGCAACATCCCAGCACCATAAGACAGCTTGGAAAAACCTCCCATGATAGAGACAGTGCTCTGACCTCAGAAGCAGGAGTCAGAGAGTCAGCCTTCTACTTCTAGCCCCTCACAGCCAGCGTGTAGCCGCTGCCCTCTGAGATTAGAAAGTGACCTTGGATGGGAAGGAAAGGGGCTGCCCTAGTGGGTGGAGAGGCAAGAAGCATTTCTGCTGATCTTCCTACAGCCTTGTTCCTCTCCCTCTGAAGTGCCCCCACTAGACAGGCTAAAAAGCAAAAAGCACCCAGCAAAAAGCACCCAAGATAGGGGATGGGGGGTGGCAAAGACTGCTGCTCCTCGGGCCTTCCTGGCTTCACACCAGCAGAGCAAGGAAGTGTGGAAGCTTCCTCGGTCAGGAGCTGCTGTACAACAGGGGCTCAACTGATTGCACTGTGCTTGTTCTGGTCTCTGGTCAGATGGATTTGGAAGGCTTTTGAACCTATGAAACCTTTTGGTTTGGAGAACAAATTAGGACAGGAAAAATGAGTTTGTACCCATGGCAACCATGGCTCTGTTATATGAACTTGTGCAACCTGGAGGGGAATCCCTGTTGACTTCTCTCCAGTGCTGATGTTATGTATTATGATGTTAAGGCTGGGCAAACTATGACCCTCCAGATGTTGGACTCTCGTTACCATCATCTCATCCCTTAGCATTGTTCCTATTCACTGAGGGAATAGAAATCCAGCTGCAGCTTGGGCACTGATGGTGCTTTTCATTCCTTTGCATCAAGGATGGAAAATCTGTTTCCTCCCAGAAGAACCACAGCTCCTATCATCTCTGATCTTTTGTGATTCTGGTTGGAGCTATTGTGACTTGGAGGGAAAGAGGTTCTATGCACTATCAAACCAAATAAACTTTGAAGAGGACAAATGTAATAGGCATCCAGGTAGCACAGGAGGAAGACCAGGAATAACTTTTAAATACCTGAAATGGTGACTAATTTACAAATGAACCTGTTCTCTTTCCTCCTCAAATGATGCCTTCCACAGTCATATGGGTGATACAGAAAAACCTCAGTGTGAACCAGGCCATACAAAAAGACAATCTGCAGCCATTTTTGCAGCATGATTTTTAAATGTTGCTGTAACTGGACAGATTAAAATCCAGCTATCTTAGAGTAATGTCATAGGTACTGTTTAAGATGCTTTTGAGTCTCTTGCCTGACGTGAGCTGCCTGCATGTAAGACAGAAATACTGTTTTAATTGCACTTTTTTCTGTTTGTTGGTCATGATAAAAGGCCAGAACTGCAATTAAATTTCAACTTTTCTGTACTTATATCTCCCTGAAAATTGATGTTCTACCTGAAGTACGGTTTTGGCCCTGTAACCACAATTTATCTCTTCTTAGTAGATTTATTTGAGAATGGCTTTTTCTCGTGTTAACATTTCCATGTACAGAAATGTTCCTCCAGTGATTCTTTTGCTGAGTGTGTTTTGTTTTCATAGCTCAGCCATCTGTTACAAACAGTGTTGTGAGCTTCAAAGACTCTGGAACTAAATCAACAGACGTGTCATCAAAGGAAGCAAAATGCTTGAGGAGGAGTAAGGTAAAGAAATATGGACAACACAGGAATTGCAGGGAAAGATGCCATAACTTTTGTATAGTAGATGAATGGGATTTTCCTCTCCTCACCTCATATTAATTATACAAATTACAATTGTACAGAGGACTCAGAGGTCTTTAATCAAGGTAGCACTTAATTTCAATGGAGAAATCGTATTCATGCGACTACGCTCGTATAGTTTGCCACTGGGAAAACAGGATTTCTTCAACCCGCCAGCATTCTGCTGTGCTGTATGGAATAAGATTACATGAATTGCAAAAGCACTTATTGGTTAGAAACTGTAGCATCACTTGTGATGAATGACAATTTTCTCATGGTTGTGTCCATGTGCCCTGTTTTACAGATTGAAAGTATTCTTTAGTCCATGTCTATTTTAAAGATAAAGAACGATATGATGGGAGAACAGGGGACCATTAGCAGTTAGCAACAGGATAGCAGACTGTATAGATCAACTCTCTGCAGTGAAATGTATTGTGGGAAAGAGACAGTGTGGTACCCTGGTCAGAGAGTTGGAGAAGGGCTTAGGAGACCCAGCTTCTAGCCCCCACTTGCCCATGAAGCTCACTGGTAACTTTGGACCATTCACTGATTCTCAGCCTAACCAACTTCACAGGGTTGTTGTAAGGATAAAATTAAAGGAGGATTATTGATGCCATGCTGAGTTCCTTGAGTGAAAGAATATGGATGTAACAAATAAAAATGCATAGTTATAGTAATTATTTCTAAACATGAGGCTATGTCCCTTTCCAGCAGATCTAAACTTCTGAAATACACTCTTTGAGTTAAGATAGGGATTTTGTGAAACAGAACACTTCACCAGAAGATTTTTCTGAAGTAATTTCAAAGTAGCATTCCATCCTGTTTGTGGGAAGAGCTCTTACCCATGTGAAGGGTTGATTCCAAGCTGAAGACCCCCTTCTCATCCCAGAAGGCTTGATCCTACCCCCAGACTGCTCACACTGCTTGTGGGCTGAAAGGCAGGAACACCAGACATCACTTAATTGGGCTGCTCCTTTGGTTTGTCACTGGTTCATTAGGTTAACGAATCCACTCCCCTCCTCTCCAGACTCTCACTGTTCTACTGTTTCTCCAATCAAACCCAAGGTGGTTTGGTTCTCAGCAGGTCTCTGACAAATCTCACTAATTAACCTTGACATTTCTATGCCACCTTCCAACCCTACTCCTCCTCCATCCAGTTCATAATCTGAGTTTGAACTTTTTAATGGGGAATGTTGTGTTTTTAGAGAAACCTTTCCCATCTCTACAAGCCATTCGTATAAATTAGAATATGTAAAATTTATGCAGATTGGTGCTGTGATGCATTTCCTCTTTTTTGGTAATCCATGAGTTGCTATCCCATCTTCACCCAACCACATTGCCACATGCCAGCCACATTTTGTTTAGTTTTAACCTTAGGAGGATGAATACTCTCTGCCTGCATCTCTTCCCTCAGGAAATACAGCCTTTCAAACAAATGGAGCATTAAATACCATGAAACATATGCCTTTCCTATTGAGCAAGTCCCTCAGCCACCACTTATTATATCCCAGTTTCCAGACAAAAATTATCTCCCAAAGCAGCTTCTTGGAATGAGACTCACAGAGGCAAGCACTGTGTGTGAATGAAAATGCACAAGGACTTGCCACAAGTTTGCAAGTCCAAGAGCAGGATGTACAAGAGGGAGCCCAGCCTGACAGTACCTAAATGGAGTAGTGAGTTGTTAATAGGCATTTAAATCTTGTTGGGGCAGGGCTGATCTCTCATTGGGAGGGTGCAATTACCCAGTTGCCCTTAATCCTGTGACTAATGACAGAGGTCGATGACCTGTACCTCCTCACTGCAGTCCTATGACAACAGGCAACTGGAACAGAAAGTAACCTTCCTACAGCTGCTCACTAAATAGTTGTTTCCTCTTCTTTACACTTTTAAGGCAGTGCATTTCCTGTTCAGTTTATCCTGCAAGATTTCAATCTTTCAGTGTTTTTACATTTAAAAACACACACAGTAACAATGACCAAAAGACTTATTCTCTTTCCTTTGCCATCTGCAATGTGGGGAGAAAATATAGTGCCCTTAGCACTGAACCAATTTATGTGTAACACTAAGAAGAAACCTTCCCTGCAGCCTTAATTCTAGAAAAGATCCTAGATGGTAAAAACAATGCCTGGATTTTTTTTCTCATTTGTAGCACTAGAGGGGGCTCCAAGCAAGAAAGAGCAGCAATTATGAAACCACAAATAATGTATAAAAGCTGCAATGAAGCTGCAGTCAACTGTGATGCATGATTTTTGGAAAACAGGAATACCCAAGGGCCTTCCTCTGAGATCAGCTACCAGTTTAGCTGCAACAACTTCCATATAGCCTGAACTGTCTAATCCTGCCTAATCTTGGAAGCTAAACAGGGCCAGGCCTGGTTGAAATCTGGATTGGGTGACTTTAGTGTTGGGAACTGCCCAGAGAGCTTGGCTTTGGGTGCTATGGAAATGTGATATAGTACTAATAATAATGAGCCTGATTTTGCCTGACTGCTAAATGACAAGGAAGTGTAGCTAGTATGACCCCAGCAGGCAGCCACTGCTGCATGAATACATTTCAAACATTCTTCTCTGATTCCTCCTCACTTTTTTCAATACATAATAAATGTGCAATTGATCAAAGTCTTGTCTTTTCTAATTGTTTATAAGTTCCCACAGCATCAATTGAAATATAATTGATGTGCCCCTGGAATAATAGGGAGAATCATTGAAAACTAGAGCCATTTACCATGCTAGCTTTGAGAAGCAGTGGGGTTTGTGCAGTCACCATGTGGGTTATGATCAGGGAACTGATATCCAATTCATAATGTTTGCAAAACTCCCTTGCCTGAATGCTACTGAAACAGGAAAAGTTAATACACATGGTTTTCAGCAGATACTCATCATGACAGTCCCTGTGGTGATGGGCTCCCCAAGGAGAATCCAAAAGCAGGTTATGTTGATCCATATCAACAAACCAGTTCTATCTCCAGTTTTATCTCCATCAGGAGCAGGTCTTCTGGAAAACTGATTAGTCTCAATTACAATGGGAAACTATACATGGCTGCTAGGAACATTCATTCCCTAGGAACATTCACCCCTCCCCACCAAGCTACTGTGTGAATCTGTGTGAATTTCTGCTAAGTTCAGAGGGGAGAATGGATTCTGAAGTGTGGTAGATGACCTCATTATGAGATCCTGACAGTGTTATATACCAATGCCCCTCAATGAGCATCAAGGGGTTGGCCATAAGTTAGTGAAATTATTGTAGAGTTATTATTACATTGCATGAACATTGCACTCCCCCCAACTTAGCTCTGTTTTATCCTCACAGCAACAAGCTTGTGAGGTAGGTTGGGCTAAGAGTGGTGACTGGTCCAAAACCACCATGAACTCCATGGCTGAGTGGGGACTAGTTGTGCGATCTCCTGGGTTCCCAGTCCAACACACTAACCACCACACCAGATGAGCACCCATGGGTTGCATGGAATGAAAGGGTTTTATGATTACTTCTTTCATCATTTATGAAGACATCACCACTGATCAACTGTTGGAAAGTTTGGATATTGCCACTTATGGAAAAATTAAGTCTGTATATGTTATAGAGTATGGTTGTGTCCTCAAATGTACCTTTTCTCTCCTCTCCACTCCTCTTTTCTACAGAGCCTGAAGATTTTACGAAATGTGAAAAATAGTAAGTGTCTTGGAAAAAAGACTTTTAATAGCATATATGTGAAATACAGATGTGATGCTAAGATGTACTCTGATGTCAAGGAAGCATAATTCCAAATGCTTCTGTGTGAAGCTGTAGGTGCTCAGTAGTTTATTGGATGAGCAAAAACACACATACTACTCCAACACCTTCACAGAGCCTCTCAAAGGATTTCAGAAACAGGAATAAATTAAAGATTTACATTCCTCAGACCAGTGGGGCAGGTGAAGTTAATTACAAACAGAGAATGCAAGATGCTAGTGTGAAATCTGTTCTGCCTTCCTATTCTATTCCATGTCTTTAGAAATTAACCCGCATTTACCATGCATCTTCCACAACTTTTCAGATGCTACTACAAATGGTGGGACTACACATTACGATCCAGAATAAAGGAACAAACTTTCCATGCTGTATTTCTCAACTAGTAGTCATAGGGTTGGATCCAGACTTAGTCATATTTAGAGTAGACCCACTGAAATAAGCAGGAGTTAAATTAAGTCACTGATTTCAGTGAGTATACTATGACAGTCTAAATCTAAGTCATACTGTTTAGCAATGTGCATGGTGTGACTTGGGCTCATCATGCAATCTGTTTATTTATATAAACACACTATAGCTCAGCCTTCTGCACCAGATCCCTCCAGATGTGTTGGACTACAATTCCCAGAATCCCCTTCAGTCAGTATAATATATGTGCCTGGGGAATTGTCGTAAATGTACTTGAAGAGCATTGGGTTGAGGAAGGCTGCTACAAGTGATAGTCAAGGCCATTAGAGACCTATCAGAAAAATCAGTTCAAGCATAAACACTATTGTTTCAAAATGCTTATCTAAAACTTCACTACATGCTTCTCATGACACAGGCCCGTTTCAGTAAATTCTAACCTACAACCTTAGGGCACAAGCTTAAAGATGTTCAGGTAACAAAAATTCCTACAATTCCCACCTGCCCCAATTGTAGGCCTTTCTCTGTTTAAACCTGCATAGGAATGTCCCTAATGTGCCTTTTGTGGTTTTGCTGCTATGGACTAACCAAGCACTATCAGAACCTTTAAAATCTGGGGAGGGGAAAGATGATGCTACTGGGCAGCAGGTGCAGTGGCAATAGCCTAAGTGTTGGAAGGAAGACAGTGGCAGAATGGTTAAACTGCTAAAGAGAAAGTGAGGTAAAGAGAAGCTACACTGGTAGGAGCTGATGACATCTGAGGACAGGTGACCCATGTGGTGAGCCAGTGAACTCCAGGTAGCAGCTTCTCAACCAAGTACCATGATTGTTTAACAAGAAGTGTGTATCTTTGCATGGTTACAGATTAATCAACTATCAGCTGTTAAAGTATTTCCTTGTATTTCTAGGTATTTGTGGTCCATCTTCACTAGTAAAAACCCCAGGGCCTGATAAATCAAATCATTCCCGCTCTGTTCTGAGTTTTGGTATGCATTTTTTAAAAAAGTAAGCTTCTATATTCAGTTATTTATGAAGAAACGCTTTAAGGTGTTCTGGCACTGCATTTCTTGCTCTTCTAAATTTAAAAATCTCAATCTGAGCAAACAAACCTAGGTCAGGAAAAATGCTTGATGGCTCTGTAGTGTACAATTATTGCTATTTATTTCAAACTTACTCTGGAGTAGTTGCACTCCCTTCCTCAAGGCCACTCTCAGAGTAAGTGATTCTAGGAACTGTTGTATCTGAATTACAGTCATTGGCATTAGCTGAATTACACAGCTGGCCTGTTTGTATCATTTATGTATAAACATTTAATACACTGTTTCATATTATCTGTGTGTGAAAAGATAAGGCTAATTACATGGTAAGCTTTCTCTTGCTTTTGTGTCCCAGGCTTTGCTAACCAATTTTCAAAACCGAAAGGACCAAGAGATCCTCCACCAAATTGGAACATTTAGTTGAACATTTGTCTCCAGCTGAACTGCAGTCCTGCCTTGTTGTTCTGCTTTTGGGTTGCCAGTGATGTTTGCAACCAGAGCATCATTTTGAAGACAAAAGCTTTTGTTGCGGTGCTAGAAGAAAGGAGAGAATGTATCTTCTACAGACTGAAAACCATACAACCTCATCCATCCAATTGCTCTGTACTGCATCTAAAGTAAATACGAGCAGAGCTCTGTTCTAGCCCCTGCTTACTGTTCCTACTTCCAATGTGGCAGCAGTAGGTTGTTTATAGAAACAACTGTTTGTGCTGAACAAAAGCAACTAATGATGATCGGATCTATCTAGAAAGCAAAGCATAGAGGAGTTGCTCTTAGTCCAAGATGTATAGATGTTGCTCAGCGGTGAAAGAAAAGTACTTCATTTAAGCCAAGACTGGCACTCTTATTTATTAGTCATTCATATGGTTCATGACTATGTCTGATATGCAAATGTGGATTTCAAGGCCTAGCTTTTGCATTTTACATATACCAAAAGTTGGTAGGCAATTTATCTATTGCATGTACACATACAGGGGCCATTATTTGCATGAATGTAGTGTATGCCAGACCAAGGTTGGTGGACATGTAAGCACTTTTGCTATACTTGTGTTCCACAATTTACACTATGTCACTGACCTAGGAGCTCAGCATTGTCACATGCCCTACTTCACAATATTATCAAAGAACAAACAATTTTAGCTTCTTTCTTTTTTAATGGAACTCATTTTCCTACAAGCAATGACTGTGCTTTTTCTAAATCAACTAGCTATACTTGATTCGAAGCCTTGTTTCAGTTTTAAGAAGTAATTCTTGAACACTTGAATACCACAAGTGTCCTCTCAGTACCTAAGATCTGTTTCCTAAATATTCACAATTGAGAGGCTGAAAAGACATATCCTGATTATTTAAACTCTTATTTCAGAACTTTTAAATAGCAAGATAGTGTTGGAAATACTGAACACTGGACACATCTGGATTTTTTAAAAACTTCCTTACTTCTAACTGCTGCAATATGTCCCCCTAGGCCAGGCCTAAAGCTTGTAGGCTAGAATTCTGGGACCAAAAAGATTCACTACCTGCTATTGCAGCCATATTCTCCATGCTCAAATGTTCCAAATATGCAATATATACTCATAAAGTATAATATGGCAGAGGTTCCTGCAGGGGAGGGCCTTTGCATTGTTGAAGCATGCCCAGATACCTGCATGGCTGCAGCAACTGAAATGGGGTATACTCTACAGATGAGATGGTGGGGGTGGGGGGGGGGGAACCTGACACTCTTTATTTCTAGAAAAAAAAAATTTGAAAAACCAAGCTTAAATAAATCCTAAAACATTTAATAAAATGTCTGTGGGTGATGCAATATAATAAATGCATTATTTATTTAGTATGTGAATTGATGGTTCTTTTGTCCATATTTCTACACATTTCAAGAGCATAGCACATCTCATTTTTATCTCAAATGGGCCTAGTGCCACCACTGGCACAGTATGACAGAAAAGATGCCTAACTTTTAATGGCATATGTAGTTGCCAACAGCTACATTTCCAGTACTGAACTCTCACAGATAGCAGACTGGTTTTCCCTGAAAATCAAAAATTCAAGTCAGCCATGTAGGGCAAAGGTTAATTTGAATTAAAAACACATGAGTCAGAAAATACAAGTTAAGTTTTGCATATAAAACTCTTTATGCAGGTTATTCAATTTCAGTTATATTTACATGGGATTTAACATGTATTTATAAAAGGAGTGCTGATATCAGTATCAGGTTTGTATCTATCCCAGTTATATCTTTACTGAAAGCATTTTCGAACTGCCCTGGAAAATGGTGCAGGGGGTGGGGGTGTTTTTCATCTCCTAGGGAAGGGGTTGGCAGAAGGCACATCTCCAGATGTTTGGGAACCAAAACCTAGAAGCCTCTGTCAGCATAGCCAATGAACAGAAACAGCATAGCCAATGAGCAGGAATGCTGGAGCTGAAGTCCAAAGAATCTGGAAATCTGTTTTCTGCCCACTCCTATCTTAGGGCCTGTCAGACAAGTGAATTGGCTTCCAGCAATATATAAGAGCATCTAAACTTTATTTGAGCTATTGATAAATACTTGGCTGCAGGATGCACCATGTGCACCGTCATGTAGGATACTATCATTGTTTAACCTTAGCTGGGCATAGACGAAGGCCTCCTCCATGTATGCACACATGCATAAATGCATACACACAGACTGACATGGGAATTGTTCCCTGTGGTTTGATCCCAAAGAATTATAGAGTACATTTAAATACCCTAGAACAGTGATGGTGAACCTTTTAGAGACTGAGTGCCCAAACTGCAACTCAAAACTCACTTATTTATCGCAAAGTGCCAACACTGCAATAAAACCTGAAAACAGCCAGTCCAAGCAAATATATATATATATATCCTTGGCAGCACACTGACCAGCCATTTGCTAGTTCGGATGAGTCACGGCTAATGTGTGGCAGCTTGTGACATCATTGCCTGGCACCACTACTCCTTTCCGAGCTTGTGCATGGCCCCTGTGTGCGCTGTTAACTAATACTTGGCTGCTGGGGCGATGCTGGGGCCACCTGGCTCGCGTGCTGACAGAGAGGGCTCTGTGTGCCCGCTGTGGCACCTGTGCCATAGGTTCGCCACCACTGCTCTAGAGCAGGGCTAACCATGAGGGCAGGGTTAACCATGTAGATTTCTTCCATCCAATCAGCAGGGAGCCATTCTGGTAGAAAAGGCTCCAAAAGTGTCCTAGACCACCCCAATTCCACTCATGTGGGATACCACCACAAGAAACTGTCCCTGAACTTCCAGCTATGTGAAAAGAACAAACATTTCTATGTAAATGTAGTCCTTGTTAATAAACCATCACATCCTGTATCCCTTGAATCCATAGAATGCTTTAAGAACTACACTATTTAATAGGGATAAAGTGCTGACTGGCAAAACATTCCAGACCAGCACCCAAATGACTTCCTTGCTCAGAATTCTTATTTTTACTTTCAGGATGTGAACCTTTAAAAAAGCAGAGAGAGCTTCTTATTTGCTGAAAAAAGTACTTAAACATGGAATTTGTTCTAGATTCTGGAGTGCCTCTGGCCACCAATCAAGGCCTAATTGGAGAGGATGAATACAGTATCCCCTGAGTTATGAACACCCAAGTTACAAAAAGCCCATACTTATGAGCAAACTGCCATAAAGGCTATTAATTTGAATAAAATACTGTGGAAAATGGTTGTCACCATTGGGATGGGGGGAGGGAGTGAAAGGGGAGAGATAGTGGTCTCTAAAACCTTCCTTCCTTCCCTGCCCATCCAGACAGGAAAATCTCCCTGGCATTTCCTTGCTGCAGAGGAGACACCGGTGAGTATGGGTGGGTGGGGAGAGGTGGCCTAGAGATATCTGCAGTTTTTCCACTTTCATGAGGGTCCTGTACCCCTGACCCCATGAACGTGGAGGGCTGACTACACATGATCCAACTTGCATACAAATTCAACTTAAAGACAAATTTCTGTTGTCTCTGGAAGGGAACTCATTTGTAACCTGTGGACTGCCTATACTTTTTTTACATGCCTGCTTGCATTCACATATAAAACAGAGGATAGGAAGTCTTCTGCTAAAAGAAATGTATGGGACAGGGGTATTGAATGGTCCCCAGTTTACATTATATTTTCCCTGAGTGTGCTGCTTCAGCCACTTTTCTCTGTGCATAGTTCACTCCTAATAATGCAGGAAGGGAGTGAGAAAAGTGGCTGGAACAGCAACATGAGGCATAGAAAGTGGGGTGGTGAGTGGGGCAGAACACTGGCATCCATCTCCTGGGTCTTTATGTTTAAAGAGATTTCTACACACAACTGTTAATTCACATTACATTCAGTCTCGAAGCAGAACTGAGATGTGAGTTCAACACACTATTCCTTATCTGCTCTTCTGCTACAGAACCTCTAAGTGGTGCTGTGCTCCAGTGAAATAGTGCAAATACACAAGTTTAGAGAATGCCATCTAAACTGGAAGATCAATCATATCATCTAAAGAACCTGTAAACAACTTTAAGGAATCCTGAGTGGACAATAAGTGCCACGTATAGAAAAATTCTAAGACTCTCCCAAATTTGTGGGTGCCGTCAGATTGGGGGGGGGGGGAGAGTCAGTGAAACTGTACTACACAGACTTTCTATTGCACAAGAAACAGCTGAATCAGCAAATTGTGTGTGCGCATGTATGTGTGTCTAGGAAGCAAATGGATGAGTGTTGTATCTATAACCTCACACATCAATGTATATCTCCCCTGCCAGTGTTGAGTTGATGGGGAGGATTGTTTGGAATTGAGGTGTATACTCAAATGATACTTTAATGTATTGTAAGCTGCAATACAGCTTATAGGCGGCCTATAAATATGTGTATAAATACATGCATGCATGCATGCATGCATGTTTTCTTCTTCTGAAAGCAACACAAGAGTGAACTGATTTCTTTTTCCACCATCTCCAATTGTAATGCAGTGAGGCTGTTAGTCAATCTGAGTCAGAGTGGAATAGGTTGTATGTTAAGAGCTTCCACTTTAGTCAGTTCCTCTGGCTTTGAGAAAACAAAAAAAGCACTAAATATATATATCCTACAGCAATCAGGATGTAAGTTATGCATCATCCATTTATGAAGAAGTTTTTAATTAGGTGAATGCTAATGGGAAACATTGTATTCAAACAACAGAGTGCTTGCCAATTGTTTTAGTATTGTGCACAAATCTCGATTTTCCTAATTAGTCAGTTCACAGACATGCTGCATTTCTAATTTTGCCATGAAGGATTTAATTAAAAATAAACTTGCTTAGCTGAGATGAGTTCTAAATATGAACCAACTTAGGTGCTGATCTGGGGGCAATAAAACAGATTTTCATTTTTTGTTTATGGTTGTATGAGATTGTACCAGTTTTTATTTTTAAGCATGTTTTCAGCTAAATGGATTAACAAAAGAAGGTGCAATTTCCTTCTGCCTAACAATATTTGTCTATTGGTGTATTTCTCATTAAACTGAAGCATAGTCTCCATATATAACAACTAAATACAGAGGCTTTTATACAGAGCCAAGTTCTTCCATTCGTGCCAAATGCTGAAGCCCTTGACATGTGGTAGAAGCATCCCAGGCTTCTCTCCCTCTTCAAGGCCACCATCTCTTTTGGGCTTGAAGTGGGAGGAACTATCCAGCTGTGCAAGCACTTAGTTGAGCACTGCCTTCTACTGGGCACTGCTGAAATGATTTCTTTCTCTTCAGGAATAGCATGTTGATTCAGTTTGCCAGTTGCTAATCTCTGATTAGGGAACTGGCAAATTACGAGCATAATTTAACTGATGCAAATCTAAACTTGCTTCAGGCAACTGGAGGGTGGGAGAGGTGAAACCTAGCCAAGTAGCCCCTTTATATAAATTCTGCCCCTCCAATTTCAGTTCAGACCACTGCTGCATTGGGTCTGGCCGGTGGATTTTATTATTTTTTTAAGCAATAGCTGCTTCTCAGTCCAGGGCAGCTACAATTTGCAGAATTACATCAAAGAGCACTGGTTTGTTTACTTTGAAGTTATATCTCTTAATACTAGAGTGTTAGGGGATGAAACACTCCAAACTAAAATCCTATTTTCAAAATGTTCAACAGTTCTTGTAAGGTGTTTGCTTAAAAATCAGCCTGCTGCATTCAGTGGGCCTTACTCCCAGGAACTGTGCATATATAGAATTGCAGTCTAAAGCTTTGTTTAATTGATTCCAGGGGATTATTCTCAATACAGAAGGTGACAATCAAAATAAATAGGAAGACTGTATTCTATATAGATATTCCTATAGTGCTCTTATATAGTGAGCTACATAAAGTTTAAAAAGGAGAAAATGCACATTATTGCATTCTGATGCTTGTCATCCATGATTTTGACTTGAATGTTTGATATTTTGTAGCGATGTTAATAGACAGCAATATTTATTGCTGATTTATGATTTTCATTTAAATCCTGGCACTCCTTCATTACTTAGGTAGCGCAGAAATATTGCAAACAATTGGCAGCACTGGAATTTGGGAGTATTGATAGTAGAAGAGCAGGAGATATGTACATCACAGCAAGCACTAGACTGGCTACCTGCAGGAAATACTTCCCAAACTGGGTAACCTCAGTTCCCAGGAAAAAGAACTTTGAGTTCATTTTCTCCCATGAGATTTATAAGTATCCCTCTCATTAGGCATTGGGAACATTTGGTCTGGATCCAGCCCATGGTTTCCTATCTGGGATGCACCCTCACCCCATCAAGGAAAAGGTCTTTTCTCCTATCAATAGGTGATCAGGTAGAAGAGTTTATCTTTGCTGAGCCCTAAGACTCGCTTTCTCAGTACTCAGCAATGAAAGGTCTTATCAGAGGGAAAAACTTTTTCCAGTTGGGTAGAGGGGCAGGCCTTGGGAGAGGAAGCTGCCAGGCTGAATTGCATGACTAGGACAGCCCATGGTATGATAAATAATGGGGTTTGTAGTACATATAGATTACCATTGTGATTATTCAGCCACAATGGGGATTGCTACAGTTGGTTGAACAGTCTAAATCTGGGAGGCAGGTGTTCTTTGAACATTAAACAATATTTGAATCATCCTATAACAAGCCATGCATTATTTGAAGAGCATCTAGTCTTCAATAACTCCCACTGCTTGGGTTTGCACAAAACAGCAGGGTGAGCCCCATGCAAGAAAGAGCATATGTAGGCACCCACCAAGATGTAACAGCCCCTGTGGGTAAATTAAGCCACTGTGGATTATCATATCATGAGAAACAAATTAATGAGTGATTCTGCCCTTAATTTTGAGGCTTCTCCTGCTTATTTTGCTAAGTATACATGCAAAGTTTTGATATTTTGGATGCTGTCTGAAATTTATCTTGACTGAGCAAGTTCTCCTTGCTTCTGAACATACATCCAAAAGCTTGTCCTCTTTAATTTAGAGTAGGCTTAGAGACAGTAAGGACCACATTTGTTGCCATGGGAAGTAGTGATGGCCACCAATCTGGATGGCTTTTAAAAGGGATTGGACAGATTCATGAGAGAGCAGGCTTTCAGGGGCTACTAGCTTTGCAGGCTATGTGCTTCCTCCTTTACCATGCCTGCATACACCAGTTGCTGAGGAACTGGGCAGGAGGAGGTCTTGCCCTCATCTTGCTTGAGGGATCCTCTGGGCACCTGGTTTGTCACTGTATGTACTGAGTGCTAGACTAGATGGGACTCTGCTCTGATCCAGCATGGGCTTTTCTTATGTTCTTATGGCCCTGCATCCTTTGCTATCTCTCCATCTCTCTCTCTAGAAATGTATTTATAGGATGCCTATAACTGCTGAGGCCTTCCTAGCATGCTTTTGGCCCTCCCATACCTCAAGATCATCCCCAAATTGGAATTCAGCCCTTGGACTGGAAAAAAAAAGTGCTTCATTAGATTTAGGTCAAATTAAAACTTAAGTTTTTTTAAAGTGTAGACTCAATTCTTAGTGCCCCCTCCCCCATTCCCAGTTTTATTTATGTAGGTTTTTTCCTAATTTGTTGATGCACTGTATTTTCTATCATCTCTACATATTCCTTTGCAGAGTATGTTACAGGATGCAAACTGAGTTCACATCAAGCACAGTTAGGTTTCACCATTGCTCACTGCAAACTGAAAGAATGTCTCAGAACAAACACATAATGTTTAATGCTGCTAACCCAATGCACTTTCCCTATCCTATATAATGCTGGCACAGAAAAGCATCTGAAGGGGTAACCTTTTGAAAAGCTGGTCTAGGGTTGTACTGAAGTCTCTCTGCCAGGCACTTTTTGTTTTACTCTGCACTTGTTAACTTCACTCTCCTGTAAAATGCAAAACGACAGAGCTCCCTCTATCAGTGATTACCAGAAATATTTGAATGACCTAGTTTATCAGCTGAATGCTGCTGTTGTGTTTTTATTTAATAAGTGCGATCTGTTCAAGTTCAAAGGCTTTTTGGAGCCAGCTGAGAAACAGCAGAGTTTTGCGATGCTTAAGGTGATGGAGCAAAAATCTACCATGAAAAGGACTGCTGCTTAAGGAAAGCAGCAGACCTGAGTTGAATACCAATAGCTTTAGGAAGAAAGGAGAGTGCTGCAGTGCTTGCAGAGATAACTAGGCCAGAATGTAAAATATGCACCAAATGCACTATTGGAAGAATCACAGCTTCCAAAACATCTGTTACCAGGTATTACAGTAGTAATTGGAGGAAAAAAAACATTAATACTTGCAGGAAGATAATTTTCGAAACCCACTGGATCCATTTGTGTTCTACATGCCCTGGAAGTGTGTTGGTAGTAACAGGCTGCACAACTGACACAGCCTTGACTTCCTCCCTCAGTGATAGAATGTGGTATCAACCCCTGGAACTGAATGGTGGGAGGCTTAGGGCAAATAAGACGACTTCTCATAGCACATCAAGTATGTAATCCATTCTCACAAGATATAATAACAGTTAGCAACTTCAACGACTTTAAAAGGGGTTAGACAAATTCATGGGGAATAACACTAACAACAGCTGCTAGTCATAATGGCTTTCTTACCACCAGCATAAGGGGCTCTGCGCCTCATGGGCTTCCTACAGATAAACTGGTTTGCCACTGTGTGAATGGAATCTTGGACAAGCTAGTCCTCTGGCCTGATCCAGCATAGCCCTTAATAAACTATTAACATATAAGCTATATATGTTAACTGGGCTTACTCTAAAGTAACTGGGCTTACTATAAAGTAGCCATAGGATTGTGACATTTCATTGCCTCATAAGAAGCTGAATATTAATAGGACTGAATGCATCATTTATTTCTATTCCGAATATATGAATTACTAAATGCATTTTCATTTTCAAGGCCATTCTGAAAATTATATAAAAAGTCATGTCTTAGTTTTTTACGTGTTAAATGCAACATTTTAGCAGCTAGCTTTAAAAGAAATACAAAAGAAACGTAACTGCCAAGAAACACCCCCCCACACACTGAAATAGATCGGGTATATGAAATGATGAAATGCACTCTGCATGTGTTCAAAAAACCTCTTTCCCTAAAACAATACTTTTTAAGATTTACCCTTAGCATTGAAATTAGGTTCCAAGGCTGACGCTTCATGAGCCCTTGTTTGCCCTAATCGCCGCCCACCCACGTACAGCAATAAGCCGCCAACCGCCGCCGCCTCTCTCTCAAAGCCAAAGACTGGTCCACGTGATCGGACCGCACTGCGTGACTTTCCGCACGCTCCTCTCCCCGGAGAACTACTCAGGTCCGAAAGGAAAACTTCTTTTCCCAGCAAGCTATGCAAAACTGAGCATGCGCCTAGTTGCCGAAAACTACAACTCCCGTCTGGCAGGCTTGGACCACAATTCCCAGGAGGTAACAGACGGCGCCTGCGCCATGGTTGCTGGCGCTCGGGCCATTTAAATGTGTGTGAGGGAGACGGCGAAATGGCTGCGCAGGTCGCTGCAGTGCGCGCCGTGTCCCGGGGCGCAGAAGAGACGCCTTCGCTTCCACTTGGTGACCGGCCTGGCCGACCGCGGGGAGGGGGGAGGAAGCGGAAGGGTCCACCCGGGGAGGTCGGAGGGTGCAAGAGGGCTAAGCTAAATCAACCGCCGCTTGTGGTGGGGCCCGCTCAGGCGGAGCCGCTGCCACCGGCCGCCGTCCCTGGTCTCTCAGTAGCCCCCGCCGTCCCTTCTGCCACAGCTGGACTCTTCACTTTCTCCCCACTCAGCCTCCCCCCGCAGGGCCCGCGCTGCGAGCGGCGGCACCACCACCGGCATCGGCACCGCCCGGACAGTGGCGACTCCGAGCCTGGGCGCTCTTCTGGGGAGAAGCCGCACAAGGGGAGACGGGGAAGCTCTGGCGACGGGGCTGTTGGGCGGCCCAGCAAGCGAGGTGAGTGGAACTGGGCGGTGACTGGGACCATTGTGGCTCCGTGCTCTTGGCGGCCCCGTTGCGGTAGGAATGGGGGGGGGGCGGTTCTTGGCGTTCGTGAGTACTTTGCCGCGCTCCACGCCCATCAGCCTGTGGTGACCCCATGGCGGGGAATGACATTCGCCTGCCTCCGACACCATTTCTGCCGATCTGAGCTCGAAGAGGCCATTGGGTGCCTTTTCTTACGTTAAAAGAATCCGCGGCTGGATGGTGGGCCCAGTAGAAGTCCCTGATACTTGTCTTGAGTGGTGCTGGGGCAGAGAAGTGGAGTTGTCCTGTGCGAGTTTGAGTTGCCAAGGGATGGGGTGGAATACGTTGCACCTGTTGGAGGGCTTCGCTTTCATTTGTCACTCTCCCTCCGAACGGGTTTGTGAAACTTACTGACCAGTGCCAGGTCCCCTTTCCTTACGTTTGTTTCTGCCGTTACTTTCTTTGCTGCATTTGCTTATCAAATCTTTTAAGCTTTTCTTCTTTCCTAGATATTCAAAATGGCATGTTTAATTGTCCTTCGCTTTGTCAAGGGAGAAATGGTGAGCTGAAGTGTTACTTAGATAGCAGTTAAATGTCTCTAAGAGTAATCTCCTGCTTCTTGACCATTATTTCAAGTCAGCTTCTTGGAAGCTCAGTTTTGTGGAAAGAAGAAATAGCTCTATTTTGAACACATACTTGTCTTATACATTGTACCTGTGTTAGTATAAAAGTGAGAACATGCTCAAAATGGAACTCTTCTGAAAGCAAGTGCTAATATAGAAGTACCTGAAGAAGAGTAATCCAGAAATGCAGAGGCCCGATTGGAAATTAACTTTTTAATGGCTAAATAGTTTGTGGTTTTATAATACCTCTTAAAGTGTTTATGATGTGACTTCAAATGATTACTTAACATCTAAGAGTCCTAAAATATTGACACTGTAGATAAAAGTGTTGCAATATATTATAGTACTCCTTGAACTTTTACTTCAGAGCAAGGCAGAATCTTTTAAATGCTTAAAATGTACATATGTTATGCCTCTAACTTTAAAACAATACTGTATTTTTTTTAAAGAGGGAGAGTTGAGTGTGTTTTGAGACTTTCATAGTAATGGATGGCTGCCTTTAAGGCAATTACCTATTATTAAATTTTTAGTACTAATGTTATACATCTGGTTTGGAATGGGTGAGTAGAAGCTTCTGATGTTTCCAAAACATTTGGCCTGGTTGTGTCATGTTTGTCATTACTAGTTGTGCTTCTGAAATATTCTGTGTGTCTTCTAATAGGACCTAATGGGGGGAGAGAGAGAATGTGTGTGTAATGTATAGCAATCAGATAATGCTTCTGGAAAACCAGTTGTCTAACACTAAAATTCATGCATACTTACTCAATAGCATGATCTAGTGTATCCAGTCCTAGTGCATAGGATTGCAGCCTAAGCACTCAAGCCAAGCTGAAGATTTCGAACTTGAAAACCTAGTGTGGTAACAAGCAGTTTCTGATTATATGAATGATCTAATGTTTGCTCCCTGGAACACCACCACTGACCCAAATGATATCTCAATAAGACAAAGATGGCACCTTTTTTTAGCAGAAGACTCCAGTATTGCAGTATGGTGGAGGTTCTTTAAACAAGGAAATATTGAGCTATGGTGTGTGGGTTATAGATATGAGAGTAAAAACCTGAGTAAATACTCTTCTGTGTTAGTAGTGGAATAACATCCTATGTAACAAAAAGAATTGGAAGTACTAGAAGAACACCTGTGCAATGCTAAATGCCATGATGGAAGAAGGCATGTTTAACCTAACACCTATAAAAGCTTGTTTTAAGAGAATGTGCTGTAGGAGGATGCTTGACCAAGATTCATCCTGTATTAATAACATAAGCTAATAAGTGCATGCAGTCAGGATTTTGCAATGTGAAACACTTATGTACTGTGAAGCAAAAAATATGAATACTTGTGTGACTATTTGCTTGTCCCTTAGCTCAATGGGAAGCCACTCCAACTTTGTACCCCAGTAGAATGCTTTAATGATTACCATAAATAACTGAATGACTTTGGTAATTAAGCAACAGGCCAATGTAGAATAATACTAGTACACAAATTTTACTGGTGCTTTGCTAATAGGGTTTGCACAGCTGAATAGGTGCCTCACTTTAGACTTCTTGGTCTGCTTTTTCTAACTTGTCAATATATCAGAGAGGAAAAAGTCCTATGCTCTTTATATCCTCTTGTTTATTTATTTTAATCCGCATATTGGGAACAACTGGAATCCCTCCAAATTCTCAAAATTATTTGAGGACTGTCTTCCATGTGGGAAAAGGACATATTTAGAGTTTTATGTGTGTCTGTTTTTTCTCCTTCAACTCTTGTGTTGAATTAAAAAGTTAGTATATTTACATCTGTAAGTCTTGGCATAATGAGACTTCCTTTTTCTTTTTATACTTCTGAGCACTACACAAAGTCTATCTTTTGCACTCACAGCATGAACATTTCTCTCTACTTAGAGATAATTAAGCTATATAGTAGGTTTGCCTTGTTCTAGTTTTGCCAATAGGCTTGCCACTATGTAACTTCCTTGATTTTTAAGTATAGCCACTCAAATAGCTGGCTAATTGTGAGAAGAATGTAAATAGAATTATATCAGAGGTGCAAGAAGGGATTAATAGCAATTGTTTCTGGATGAGACACAGGTTAGGAAGTTTGGTGCACATACTTTCTATCCTGGTTGGAAGAAGTACTCCCAGCTGTGTTATTAGAAAGCACTTTGGCCTCTAAAGATCAGGCTGTTGTCAAAACAAATAGTGGCTTAATTCACTTGAATTTGAAGGAAGACTATTGTTGGTAATTTTGGACAGTTTCAGAATGAAGTGGCTAGTATTGTGTTTAAAGAATGTAGAGGTAGCATATTGGGATGGAGGCATATTTAAAGGATGAAGTGCCACTTAAAGATTTTAGAGAGCAGGAGAGGAATGAGCCAGTAATGGATATGTATCAGAACATCCTCAAGAAATGTGCAGTTACCTTTTCTGTCTGTCACAGGTTATTTTTATGAAGAGAGTGAGTTACCAGTACAGATGCTCTGGTTAACATGTGCATAGGGGTTTTGTTTTTGGGTTTTTTTTTTTTTTACAATGTAGCTACTTGTCTTTCTGTATTACTAAGAATTAGCACTATTTTAAATGTAGCTTTGTAGCTTCTGCCATGCATTCTGAAGTGTTATACCACTTGATAAAGGACCCAACTTGTATAATTTCCCCACATAGCTGGATAGTTTTTTCATTTAGTGTTGGTAAAAATTCTGACATTTTCCTGGAGCTGGAATTTCAGAAGGATTAGGTGTCATGTAATTGTTAACATGGAGGCCTATACCAAAGCTGTAATTGTTTGTTGTCCCTCGCTGGCACAATTAACAGTAGTGAACCTGATTCCTGGCTTTTCTTTGCAATACAGAGCATAACAGTCTATTTAGAAATGAAAGTAGCATACCAAAATATTGCATACCTAGCTCCAGGAATTGAGTCTGTCTGTATGATTTATCTACAAACCTTATGGCAGGCACCAGGCATTCCTTGTATTGATTCATGTAAACACTGAAGACTTTAAAAGGAGAAGAAAAAATTAGACTATGCAATATAATCTACATGGCTTGAAGAATCTGAGATCTTGGTTCTTAAAGCATAGAAGGTTCTAAGTTGAAAAAAATGTCCTCAGCACCAACATGGGAGTGGTTGAGTGACAGCACACCTCGAAAATGACAGGGGTGATCTGTGCTGTAAACTCATAATGTTTCACAAATTTGCCATTTTTTCTCTGAAGTAGTATTAGGTCACTGCACACTAATAACTCTGCCCAGAACCAGAGTAAGTTGCTTAAAATGGAGAGAGTTAAGTTTATGAATTCCTATGTATTTAATGATAGTCATTTGTGTGGTGTATTACATTAAGAATATCAGCAGTCAAAGTGGAGAAGCAGCAAGGTAAAAGGCAACTGTGTGTTTGAGCTTGGAATAGGCAATAAATAGGGAGCTTGGAGAAGTGGCAAGTACACACAGAAGAGAAACTTTAAAGAATTTTTAGTCAGGAAGAGAGCAAGAAAGCCAGGTGGGACAAAACTATCAGTTGCTCAGGAAAAGTGGAAGACTGTTATGGAGATTCTTGATTACCAGCCAACATTAACTGCTGCTAATGTAAAGCTTGGAGGTTAAGCCAAATACAGAAACTTCGGCGAAAATATAGCCTTCACTGTGTACTTTCCAGTAGCTGACATGACTCACTCTGGTAAGTACCAGTAGAGAGGCCACAAAGATACAGAGTTTGAGACCAGAGTGGTGTTGATGTAGTTTGAAATAGTAAATGGAAATAGAAGGTCTCTCCAGATTTGTATTAATTCCCAAATCTTTAGCTCCAGTACTCACAAATAAACGTAGTGTACTGCAGTCTTAACATTTTCTGCGTTTTGTGCATATATGTTACTATAAATGTGGGAGTGGGCACTTCCTGCCCTGTTTCACTAATCAGTATTGATATGACAAAAGTTCTGATTTAAATCACTAGTTTTGAGACCTTAATAGGCCAAGCTGAACTTTGAAATGTAGACGCAGGGAAGTATTAGCTTGATTGTGAGCCCATTTATATATGGCAGAGGTTGCCAGGTGCTTGTGTCTATGGTATTCATATATAAAATATGTCTGAGATCTGCTGTTTACATAAGTGACTGAGACAGCTGAACACTTTCCTTACCTTGCAAATGTAACTTACTATTTTTGTTATGAAATATTAGAATACGTGTTGCAGATCTGGGCTATTTCTTTATTGTTTGTGGAAGTTTCAGATCCTGTCAAAGATTCAGACCGAGTTCTAGCTATGAAATAATACATTATGTACAGGAGCACTTAGAAGATCTTAGTGAGTATCAGATCTTCTTAAGAAAGACTACTGCTGGTGTCGTTTTTCCCTTTCCTGTGTTCTCTTTGGATTAATACTGGCTTTGTTCTTTATGAGGTTCTGAAGGTTTTGAATTGATTTTTGTTCACAGGTGGCAGGTGTGTGTATTGTACCTCCTGGCATCATTTATTGTGAACAAGTTTGTACTGGTATTTTCATAGGAAGAAAGTTATGCTTAAAACTTTGGCACCAAGTCTTCTGTACACCATGGAGATAACTGCTGATAAATGGCATTTGTATTTTCTTATATATTCTTGCCTGCTGAAACACAGCTGCACTATTTCCTTTGGTAAGGAAATGTGTAGAAGAGTTTTGTCTGTATGCTAGCAGACTAAGTAGATCAAACAGGGACTTTTTTCAAAGTCTCTTAAATAGTTTTTGTTAGGCTGACAAGTAGTTAATAGTACCCATCCTGAATTCTTTCTTTGCATAGCTGTATGGAATAGTACATGTTACCTGGTTCTGTATAACTTAAAACTGGTATTTATTTATCAGTTTTGCCCGAAACAGAATTAGCTTGAGAATCTGTGGTGATAGTACCTTGTGTTTATTTAGCAGTTTACAGTGCATAGTGCTGTCTTCTCCTAACTGAACATTGCAAATTAAATGCAACCACAAAGAAATAACAGCCGAAGGAAGTACTGCACATGTGGTGGGCCATATGTTGTGAAGCTCTGCTTTAAGACAATGCAAGTATCAAACTGCAGTGCTTTTTTTCTACTGTAAGTTTATCTCAGAATTTCTTTTTAAACTGTGGTAGGTATTCCTTTTTGTATGCGATATTCTTTGTGTATGAAATGTATGCAAAGGTGGTCATTGCAAGAAGACAGTATTTTAGAAGACAAATTTACGGAACAGTAAGTCACAACACTGCCAGCCATTTTTTGCTAATAGTTTTCATAGTATGTCATATTTCAGTCAAATGCTTTAACATAGTCTCCAGAAGAGTGAACTTTAGACTTCAAAATGGTAGAGTAAGATTCATTTAATCTATAATGCTTCTCTCTTTTTGTATGAATATCAGTGATAGGAAATTTCAGATATCTGAGTTCCATATACATTTGATCCCTTCAGTGTTATCTGTTACTGTCAGCATAATTTGGCTACCTAATTTTGCTCAAAATCTATTACAATGTTAGTGTGTTGTCACCTTTCTGGTATTGGCCTTAAGTATTCACATCATCATCATCATCATCATCATTATTACATTTCTATGCTGCCCCTTGCCGAAGCCTCATGGTGTTGTAGCATCTTGCAAACAATTCTGCTAACACCAACAAACTGTTCTCTCATAGGAATCTTCTTAAAGTGGGATACTTTTCATCTGATTACAATAGAATAGTCATTTAAATGAATTAAATTGAAAAACCCACTTAACACAGTGCTGAAGCATGACACCATTAAGGATCTAGAATATGCAATTCATGTATGTGCTACAAAATAACTTTGTGTTAGTTGCTAAGGCTTCTGCATTAAGCTGCATGGTGAATATATAATTAGGACTTCCTTTTTACTCAGCATTTCTGAAAACTTGTCATATCAGTTTATTGAGCTTTGATCACAGCAGCAGTTTGAAGTCAGGGCACTATTTGAGCAGTACTTGCTGTATTAATGGACTCACTGAGACGGATGATAACTCATTCTGACTTCAGGCAGTGCAACAAATGAACAGTGTGCTTAAAATAACCACTGGAGCTATGTATGGTGTACTTCCTGGCTGTACTGGCTCCTCATGCATCCCCTGGATGCCTATTATGCCCCATCTAAAAGCTTTTCAAAATGATCCTATGGCCACTCACTTGGGAGTAAACATGATTAATTTGATGGTGCTTGTCTTGGTAAAAATGCATAGCAATAGTTTTCATGTAGGTTCCTTTTGGGTAGCTGACTGATTAGAATCCCCCCCCCCATTTGGCCCTTCTTGCCTTTTGAGCATTATTATTGGACTGAACATACCAAAGAGGCTGATTCTTATATCCTCCTTTTGCCATTTAACTTCTGGTGTAAACCATAGCTAGATCTTCTGCTCTCCCCTGCCTAAAATTGCTGGGTTTGGCTTCATGACCCAGACCACTTGCCTCAGTCCTTACATGGGTACCAGAATTCTCTATTACATGTCGGTGTCCTGAATGCTCTTTAATTAGTCCTTGTCTCTTGAGTTACCATCTTAACTAGTTATCTTGAGACTTCTCAAATTGTCATGGGCAACTAGCCACAGTTGGTTGTCATGTTTTCCATAAGCAGACCACTTTTGTAGTGTGGCTTACATTTTGGAAGCAAGTCATCAGGACAACCAATGGGGTTGCTTGACCCACAGTGGGTTGCTGTGTTGTCTGAACCCAGCAGAGCTATTTCATTGTGGGTTGTAGGAATTGGCTAGCAAGTCTCTTGACAACAGGAGGAAAAATCCCCTGCCTAGTCTTTGAGCTTACCTGTGCTGCTATCAGTGGCAGCCCTTCCAGAGATGCCCAATTACCATTTTAGAGTGGCTATCACTGGCTTGTTATGTTGGGGGCGGGGGGGAGCCCAAACCAATTGTGCAATTCTTACAATTTCTAAGGTTGGTCTTCCACAAGTGTGCAGGAACTGTCTGATATGTGCAGTTGCACCTAGTCAGTTTCCCTTCAGGGAATGAAGTGGAATAGGAAAGATTGGCAGACTTGTGCACAGTTGCACTGGTAAAAGGGGGGAAGACCAGTGAAAATAGACATACCAAAAAGAGATGGGGGAACAATATAACCTTAGTAACATACATAATTTTAAGTGTTGAACTGATACTTCTCACTGTTCTCCACCTTTTCATCTTTTCAGTGAATCTCTAGTGATTCCAGAAAGAGGAGATAGTAACTTCTACCTCTTCAGTTCACTTAGTTTTGTTTAAAAAAAAAAAAAAAAACCGAGAGGGCAGTGGAATGGGACAGAGTAAATGGTATCCACTGCACTATCCCCCCCCCCCCCGCACGCACACACAAGAGATTTTTGTTTTTGGAAAGTATGGGTAACATAGTAACCTTTTAATTAAATGGGATGTATATGCAAACTTAATCACTTGGAAGTAAATAGCTGGAAAAATTGTGCCAATTTAGGGCTGTGGAGGATAAATTTGCATGCCTGCAGTAAATGCTTGATTACTGCAGGTGTGCAAATGTATCTTCCATTTACTTACCAGCTATTAAGTTTGCTCCTTATTTCTGCATTTAGAAAAAACTTGTCAGGGAACAGCAGTAACTGCAGCGGTAAGTACTTGGAAAAGGAACCATAGAAGCAGAATGGAGCCAATCTCTCTCCTTTCTGTAGTGGTTGAAGACTCAAAGTGTTGAAAAAGTGGAAAGATCTAGAAAAAGGCAAAGCCGTGAAGTCCAGTTTAATGCTTAATATCAATTATATTGCTAAGGGGGGTAATAGTGCCCCCTTTTTGATACACCTATATTTGCTGCACCCACTTTCACTATTGCTTTTCAGTTGACAGCTAGATACTTGGCTCCTTGCAACTGTGTGCAAATAAGTCTAGATGTAGTTTCATCTTGTCAGTTTCTGCGTAGGTTACCTACTCCACTTTGTTTCAGTTGTTAAAGGAATCAACTAAGAAATAGGCAAGAATATCAGACAGCCATAACAGTGCACTTGTAAAAGACTGGCAATAAATAAAATTCTCAATTTTGAATCTAAGAAAAAAAGAATCCCAATTGCACATTTTTGAGGTGTTGACAAATAAAATAAAGGGACAGTAATTGGGATGTGGGGGGAGAAGACAGGCTTTATTGCTGAGGACATTTATATACCACCTTCGATGACCAAGGGAGAAAGAGCAGGACAAGCCATGGTGAGTTCAGTCATCTTTTGTGCACACTGTAGCTTATTTAGCAGGCCATTTGATCATGGCACGTGAAAGTGCCCTATTTGTTCTTTTAATCATAATTACCAATAGGATCATATGGCCATTAGATTAGGGCAGAGATAAGTAATATGAGGGCTACTGGCAGCTGTCATCTTCATTCTTATGACCGTTTCTGGGCTAAAATGAGGCTCAGGCATGATTTTTATTTAATCATGGATAGTTGTAGACCAAGGCAGCATGCCCAGCAACTAAGGAAAAGTGAAATGGGGAAGGGTCTTCTGTCAGTTCAATCTGGTAAGCTGGATATGGGGAAGCTAAAGAGGGCAGTAGAAAAAATGGCTGGGAGATTGGGAAGGAAGCAGAAAGTGTGGGTAGGGAGAGATGCAGGGGTTAGGGGAGCTGCTGGGGAGCAATCTGGGGATTGGCTTGTGTATTTGTCTGTATGAATAAGTGGGGGCTTCATATGTGTCTCGGGGGGAGAGAATTTTGGAGCCACCCTGAAAGTGCTTGTTAAAAAGAGTAGAAGGAAAGAAATGTTATTTGGGGGAGGGCAGGTAGGAGTTTTACTTCATAATGGTTTATGGTTGTGAGCTGCCCCGAGACTTTGGCGAATGGGGCGGCATAGAAGTCCCCTAAATAAATAAATAAAAATAAATATCTTGATGTTTGTGGGTAGTTATACTACAACAATAGAATGCTGTTTTTTTTTTTCTAGAAAGCCGTGATGAAAATGGCAAGACCCAGAGAGCTGACAGTCTTATTGTAAAGAAAATAAAGAAAAAGAAGAAAAAGAAACATAGAGAAGATATGAGAGGGAGGCATCTGAAAATGTATAACAAAGAAGTACAGACAGTGTGTGCTGGTCTTACCCGGATCAACAAAGAAATTTTGACTCCAGGGGAGACTGATAACTTGGAAGAGAACAAGGAATCTTTTAGGTACCTAAAAGATGAACAGCTGTGTCAGCTGAATTGCGGCATGCAGGAATATAGGATACCCCAGGGGGTGCAGTCCCCATTTACTACCCACCAGGAGCATTCTGTTCGCAACAGCTTCTTAAAAACAGGCACTAAATTTAGTAATTTCATTCATGAAGAGCATCAGTCAAATGGAGGAGCTTTGGTTCTTCATGCCTACATGGACGAACTCTCATTTTTGTCTCCAGTGGAGATGGAGAGATTTGCAGAAGAGTTTCTTGCTTTGACATTCAGTGAAAATGAGAAAAATGCTGCCTACTATGCTTTAGCTATAGTTCACGGGGCAGCTGCATACTTGCCAGACTTCTTGGATTACTTTGCTTTTAATTTCCCTAACACACCAGTGAAAATGGAAATCCTTGGCAAGAAGGATATTGAAACAACCACCATTTCAAACTTTCACACTCAGGTAAGAAGTTTCCTAAAGATGTAAAAGAACTTAAAGGTTAGCATTTAAGTAATGTGAGAATCCTACAGTGATGAGAGAGGAGTTGTGAAGAGTCCTGTAACAAAAAGCTGAGCCAAAATTAGCAATTTGTTGATGCATTCTGTTGCCTCTACTTTTTTTCCTGGGCTGAGCCTCAAAAATCTATCCGAGTTGCTTCTCCTTTGCAAAACCCATGCTCCAGTTCCGGCACCTCATACTTTATCTACATATGGGTTGATATTTTCTCTGATTTCAAGCCATAGATGCTTCTAAGTTATCAAGTCTTCTGAATGCCTTTCCACCCCAGCTAGTAATTAAAATTCTAAAAAACTGGAAGGCTTGAGAGGGGGAGTGAGATTTTTTGGTGTTGGATGGGAACACATTAGAAAATGCAATATTTAGTACTCCTTACTGATGTGAGTTCAGTTACTTTAGGATAATAAGACTTAACTTTTTTTGCACTTAAAATTATTATTTGGTATACTAAATGTCAAAGTAAAATTTATTCAGATAATATACTAATTAACTTTTAAATGTTTATAAATGTTATAACCTGCTATACACTAATTTGTTATACAGTTTTATTAATATACTGCTTAGTATTATAAAGTCCTAAGGTGGTTCACATATAAATATTAGATTTAAAATACAGTATCAGACAATTCCATTAACAATACAAAACAATACAAGGAGTGGCAAGATGGCAAATTTGATTAATTACAAGCCAGAGGAGGTCTTGGTGAACAAGTGTGATGTAGGGGTTGAGCATGAGACTGGGACTAGGTGATCATGAGCCACTCGACCATGGATGACTTGGTGCCAGTCACAGACTTTCAGTGCAGTCTACCTCACAGGGCTGCTATTGTGGAGATAAGTTTGAGAGCAGCAGGAGAATGTGTTTTCAAGAGGTGTTTGAAATATACCACCTTTTGTCTCCTGCACAGAAGAGGGCTTTCCAGAGGATGGGCACTTGGAGACATTCTGTTGGTTGTGGAACAACCAAAAGCACTCCTCTGCAGTTAATGGTTTGCTGGTTGTATGTTAAACTGCTAGATATCCTGGACCCAATTAGTTTAGGGCTTTGTATAACCATATGATAACCTTGAACATGGCTTAGTAGCTAATAGGCAGCCAGTGCAGTTCTTTTAACATAGGAGTTACAATGAACACAGCAGGATATCCTAGTGAGCATTGTAGCTGGCTGCGTTCTGCACTAGCTGTAGCTTCTGAAATATGCATGAGAGCAGCCCCACATACTGTATTGGAGATATCATTATTAGATTACCAGGACATGAATGACTAGCTAGGCTATCCCTATCCATGTGCAAGTGTAGTGGTTGCATCAGCCACAGTTGATAATCTTTGATAACCTTGGTGGCCCCAAGTGCTGATTATCTGGGTCTCCAGTGATAGATGGATTCAGGAATTTAAATACCTGCATCAGAGAATGTGGGAAGTAGAACTGGAACTGCCTATGTGGCTTTGAAGTCTTGTTAGCTGATGTGCCTGAAAGTTTTGTATGCCCTCCTTGAATTTCATGCACAACCTGAGTGCATAACTCTAGTTACAATAAGTTTGCACCACCTTGCTTATTACATATGATCTTTAAAAGTTAAGCTTTACAATAAATGTACAGATATCTCAGATTAATTTCTATAGCTTAAATTTTGTTTCAAAGACAATGACTGATGTGACTTCCAGTTAGGCACATAACTACTTCATAAAATATTCTTGTCATGTCAAATTAATTCATAAGCTTCCAACATCTAGAAGCTTTCTAAAAGGGTCTAGCAGAAGTCTCCAATGTCCCATCCAATTGGGTCTGTGGGCACATTTGGAATATGAGAAACTGTAATGGACACCACCACAAAATGACTGCTGTAGATACAAAGGACTAGTAATATATTCAAACTAATATACAAAATACAAAACAAAAACATAATTTGCCTCTGTGGAGCACAATGAAGTGCCTAATTCACAGAAAGTAGACTCAGAGACCCAAGTTCACATGAACAGGGAAGGAGCAAGAAGCCATCATAGCTTATTTTCCTCTGTCCAAACGTGCTGATTACATGCCACCTGATTTTTATAATTACCTGCTCTGGAAGAAGGTTTTTATATTGTCCAAATCCAGAGAGGTATGTAGAAGGGGTGATTTCCAAACTACTCCAGGACTGTAGAACAAGCCATGGGTTATGGAATATTTTGAAAGTCACCCCTACTGCCCATCTTGCAGGATTCATGCAACATAACATCACATGCCCAGCATAGGTATTACAGAAGTGAGGCAGCACATGCAGGTTTGTACTGTGGCTTTTCCTTCTCTGATCATGTAAACTTGGTCAGAGAAACTTCTTCCCCAAAAACAAACCTACAAAAGCAAAACTACCTCTGTGCAATACACAAAAGCAAAGTAAGCGCACATGTGCCTCTACAGGGCAAGCATGTCCCTGTTTTTGATGCTAAAATTCTTTGTCAGAATCACGAAATATGGCTGATTTTAATTAGTAAAGAGCAGACTTTCTGCTCAAGTAGAATACATTTATTATTTTGTCTCTTGACGACATTAAGAGAAACTTGACAATATTTTGTTTCGTTTGGTTTGTAGAATCAAGCGGTACCTTATGTGAAATCAGCAGGGCTATATTGGCATCTATGGCAGACAGAGTATTTGAGATCCATTGTGCATTTTATACATATGTAGATTCATTTTATGTAGTGGCTGTGTATTGAATGGAAAGGGAAGAGGAGATGCGTCTGACTTAAAACAGCTGCAGTATGTTTGTACAGGAAAGTTCCCTGTTAACACTATTTGATTCTAGCTGTATGCCTTATTGAATATGGACTAGAACTAACCATAGCTTTCTAATGTGCTCTATCCTGAGTTGTAGTTTGAGTAATGTTGCTCACTCTTAACATTGTTTTTACCTTCTGAGATCTATCTCTACTCTTACTTCCAGTTAGATTAACTGCCTTGGGCTTTAATCTGGTCTTTAAAAGTTACTAAGTAATAATATAATACAGTACACAATTACATGTATAAGAAAGAATTTGGGTGAAGAAACTTAAAATACAAATACATTGCATCATATAAATCAGTCAATAAGTATTTTGCTTATTTGATACTATATACAAAATGTATGCCCCCACACCAGGACCTTCGGCTCTATGGTAGTTATACTTATTTTTCTATACCCTTCTTCTCCTTGACTACTACTTCTATGTTTCCCCTCTTTCAGGATGACCTTCCTCCATCCAAAATTGCATTGAATAGTACAAGGGTTTGATATCCTTCCCTTTTATTAATACATGTTCAGTAAATAACCACCAAAATGTCATTACAATTATTCTTGTTGTCAACCTTTAACACTACATGTTAACTTATTAACAGCTATATTCCAGATTTCCTTATTCATTCAATTGGAAATCCCATTCTTTATTCCATTTCTTGACTATTATTAATCTTAAAGCTATTAATAAATTTGTGATTGTTTAATATTCCATTTCTTTTCATGAAATAATTACAATAATGCAATGCCAGGGTCTGTTTCATTTATTTTCCCATTCTTCCTTATTTATATACCTTCCTAAATCAATTTCCCATGAGACCTTAAGAGGGTCATATTGATCCTCCATACCTAATAAAATCTTATAAATCTTACTTATGGTCCCTCTTGTTTGCATGCTGTTTCTCTCTTTATATAAAATTTCTTCTAATTTATTAGTATCTTACATTTACTATTTTCCTTTGCTCATTCTTTAGTCAATTGTTTTATTTGCATAACATTAAGCCAGGTTAATTTTTCTTTTGCTAGCGTTACCTTTAATCTATCCTTGTTATTCATTTTCTCCAACCAATCTTTTAACCAATAAACTTGATATTTCCTCAGTACTTTTCTCAAACTACCTCTCATGGTTTCTGGAAATCCTTTGATTTCTGTGACTGGGATTAATGGTGTGATTGTCAGTATAATTCTTTCTCTATACTTGTTCCAAATTTGAACCATATTCTTATGGAAGGGATTTTCCATCTTTTTAACAATCGTGTTATCTTGTTTAAAAAGGTTTATAAGTTCATCTTTCAGTTTGCTGGTGTTCTGGCATATATCTCATTTGATTTACTAAATTTGATATTCACTACCTAATCCTTCCATTTTTTTTTCTTGTAGTTTATTCCATTTTTTCTTGCTAATCCTCACTTTCTTTTTCCTGTTACAAAATTTATTCATCATATTTTGCCAATCTTCTAATTCCTTTCCTAATATCTTAATTGGTAACATCCTGAAGAACAACAACAAAAATCTTAGGTAACATTTTCATTTTGCATACTGTTGTTCTACTGAACCATGACAATACTATTTTCCTAAAGTGATGTATTTTGTCTTTTATTTCATATTTAAATATATCAAAATTATTATTTTTCAACACTGGAGATTTTTTGAAGTGTTTATACCTAAGTATTTAATTTTACATATCTTAATTTGAATTTGCTCTTAATTGCCTCCTTTTCTTTACTCATTAGTACAGTTAAACAGCATCATTTCAAATTTATCCCAATTAACCTTTTAGACCTGTTGTGTCTCCAAATTCTTCCAAATGAATTTTAACCTGATCTGTAACTTTAGGTGGGTCCTTTATTGTTAACAACGTATCATCAGCAAATAGACCAGTCTGGATTTTATTGCTAAATCTGATACTTTTCATGATACTATAATTTCTAATATTACTTGTTAATAATTCTGCAACTAAAGCAAGCAATATCAGGGAAAGAGGACATCCTTGTGCAGTAAGTACCTCGACTCAAGGATATTTGTTCTGTTAAGACCATCATGAAATATCACAGTTGCAAAATTTTCTTAATATAATTGATTTATTATACCCATAAATCATGTGTCAAATCCTAATATCTCTATCAACATCTTTATGGTGGGCCATTGCACACAAAGGCTTAAAAATATCCTATCCTATCACACCAGCTTTTAACCTTTTCTTGCATATTACTTCTGTTACATCTAATACTCTTCTAATCAGGTCCATCATCCATCTCCCTGCTATAAAACCACTCTGATCTACCTTGATATATTTTTAATAAAATTATCCAATCTTTTAGCAAATATTGTTGTAAAAATTTTTGCATCTTGATTTATCAAGGATATATGTCTATAAGCCCAAGGATCTGTCAGATCTTTATTAGGTTTTGGAATCAAAAATATTGAGGAATATTTCCAAGATGCTGGCATCATCCTTCCTTCCAATATATTATTAAGAAGAGATTTTATCACCCTCCAGATGATGCTAGACAACAGTTTCCACCATCTCTCACAATCATACTAGCTGCGGCTAAGAAGGCTTGAAATCAGTACCCGTAAGGCCACAAGTTCCCCACCCCTCTTTTACACAATTATTTGTAGAACCTCCAGTATACCAGAATACAAATCATTCTATTGAGAAGAATGGTAAAAGCCAATGTGCGAGTAACCCTATGAGTTTCTGAATGCAGATAAGATTGGTAAAAGGGTTGTTTGATTTTAGAAATAAGGTACTGCCTTTTACAAGAATTCTGTATATTTATTATGTGTGTTAATTTGTGTCATCTAAACAGCAAATGCTGTTTGGCCTGGCTAGTGGTCATGTCATATGAAAATAAGAAATCGGAACACTCCTCTTTAGGATACCTTTTTCACATTGATACAAATCCATGGATACAATACATACTTGCTTTCCAGTCTTTTGTAAAATGTTGATAGGCAAATCACTTCACTTACGGAAGCAAAACACATGGGGGGATACATATTTGATCCATTCATTATTATTGTATTTCTGCTGGAGAAGCAACAAATGTGCATATATGCTCTTCACAAAATGGTGTTGGTATATTCATGAGTGTATGAGCCCAGGTACAAAATGTCATATACAAACACTCATAAGAAATTGGTTTGGATGAAATCTGTTCAGAGCTTTGCAGACACTGATCTTTGACACAGCTTTTCCTCCTTTCTTTTTGATACTGTTCACTGTTGGAATCACACACTTTGGATTATTTAATTTTGAAGATGAGTAGCATTAGACATGTCTCAAAGAGTGACTATAGGATAGTTACCACATTACTGTGCTTCCCAGCACACAGATAATCAGATACTGTCAGGAAAGCCAGTACAGTGGTACAAAAATATCCCCAAAATCAAGCACTGTGATTTTTCTTTTCCTTGACGAAGATTGCAGGAAGTCATTGTTTAAAGGGCCTGGACCAGTCTTTGGTTTTTAATTTGGTGGATAGTACCCTTTTCCTGCCTCAATTAAAAAGATTGTATTTTATAGTTTATTGGAACATATCTCCAGCAAATGGGTAAAATAGTGTATTCCGGATTTCCCCCACAGTTTCTTATATGCCCCCCTATTTTTTTCCAAGGTGGTAGATGATACATCTAGTCAGGAACCCAAACCAGTTTGCTAGTTATGGTAAGTTATTGGGAGAAGGTTTTTCACCAGTGCTTCCCTAGTTGTTTACCATTCTTGGTTTAACTTATTTGATTTCTTAAGGTTGTCCACAGCATGGGTAGGCAACTTTTTAGGACCAGTGGGTAAGTTTGGATGTTTAAGAAACTGTCCTTGGCACTGTCACAAAAGCATGGCTATGGGAGTTATAGGTAGTTCCAGAGGACAGATAAAGTTGCTCAGAATACTTGTACTCAGTACAAGGAAGAGAACATTCATCTCCAACACACTGAATTCCTCAGAGCCCATTCTTTTTAGCAGAAGTAGATGGCAGCTTTTTCCCTTCCTCCTTTCTCATGCCCTTCTGGCAGCCTGCTGATTTTTGCTTGCTGGATCACTACTCATAGACATACACATGTATTTTCATTTCTCCACATCAGTCAATGTATCCTCTATCCATTTACACCCAAGTAAGTGCTCCATGGATCCATGCAAGTACATCTATGCGTGCTTGCATGTCTGTGCACACACACAAAAATAATATTCTGAGGATCTGTCCTAATTCTCCCCTTCAAATTATGTTTTGTACACTCATTCTCTCATACATGCTGCCACCTCCATTCAGTTTTACATGTGTAGAGTCCTGCCCAGCCTACACCTGTGTGCCTTCCAGCTAGCTCTCCTCATCATTCCTGACCAACTGCTAGCTTTCCTGATCCCCACAGTTGGCATGCTGCTTCCCTCCTTATTCAACTGCTGCTTATTTTATCTTAGTTTGTCAGAAGTGACAATAGTTTCCCCCCACCACCACTTTTCTTGGTGGCTGGACACACTGGAGCTGCCTGCCATATTCACTTCCTAAGGATGTGTCTGAGCCCCGTATTTGGGCAGAAGCGTTCATGGAAAATTTAGATAGAAGAGGCTGGAAAGTCCCACTTTGTTTGAAGTACTTCTAGGTTCCATTAAAAAAAATAAAAAGTAGGAGCAGTGGGTTAGGTTAGGTTAGCTTAGCAGGTGCCAGGAAAGGTGTCTAGGGTTGCATTAAAGCCTGCAGGCAGCACATTGCCAGCCCTTAACCTAGTTACTAGTTGTTTTGGTCTTTTCCTATACTGATTGATAAAGCTTTCCCTGCAGATAGGCAAGTTTCTATGTTTCAACTATATTATATAGTGACTATGATTATTTATATCATTGTCACTCTTTTAATATAATATAGATTATTGCATTTATTTATGTGCATTGCCCCGAAAGCCATTTTAGATGAAGGTGTAGTTTATAAAATGTATGCATGTTTCTTGAACTTGACTAGTAATGCAAGAAGAACACTATAGAAGAGTCCAAGCCTGCATTTCTCATATGTAGTCAATTCCAGTATTTTATGAGACTTTGTAATAACACAGCATACAACATAAAGTAGTTTAAATACTATGTCAATGAGTGAAAATGCATTTTTATTCTATATGCATACAGGTCAGTCGAACATACTGCTGTGGAACTTACAGAGCAGGCCCAATGAGGCAGATCAGTCTTGTTGGAGCAGTGGATGAAGAAGTTGGAGACTATTTCCCAGAATTTCTTGATATGTTGGAAGAATCTCCTTTTCTTAGAGTAAGAACTAACTTTTACTTATTGCAAAATTATTCCATAATGCTGATGTTAGCATTAGGGATGAATGTCTATAACATATACTACCAAGTGACTGAATAGTTAACTAGAAAGGCAAACCATGGTGGCATGCTACTTTTACTACATGACCTAATAAATTAATCCTACCTAGGTAATAACAATCTATTTTTTCCATTTCTATGCCACCCCATAGCCTAATTCATAAAAACAAATAGTTGTATATGGAGATACATTTGTAAACATAGGCACAACTTTCTTATTATAAGGGGTCAGTAGTACCTTGCCTTGCTAAATAACTGACATAGTTTTACTTTATGATATACAGATGACTTTGCCTTGGGGCACTCTTTCTAGCCTCAGACTGCAGTGCAGGTCACAAAGTGATGATGGTCCCATAATGTGGGTAAGACCAGGAGAACAGATGATCCCAACAGCTGATATGCCAAAGTCACCATTCAAACGGCGCAGGTAATTTAAAGGAAAAATGTGTAGCTGAGAGGAAAGTTGAGCTTATTGAATTCTCATTTTATATCATTGGTCTCTAGCTAAGCCGACTGCATCATCAAATCAGTTCAATTTCTTGTCATCCTATACAGAAACTAAGCTTAAGTACATTTTCAGAATCAAATAGTAATCTTTCCTTTCTACCTTTACTAGCACTTCTTTCTCCTATCTATACAAGTTTAGTTTATTATATTATAAACTTCTCAGGGAAGGAACTAGCTATGTTCACAAATGTGCTATGCACACTGGCTCTGTATATACTTACAAAATAGAGTTTGGGCCTGTAACATCCCTTCCTGATCATAGTAATTTAATTTCTTTATATTCTAATTGCTTGATTTCTTTCTACTTTGGGAAACGGACTGCTGCTTGGTGTTGACTTCATCTTGCCCCATCATTTTAACTGTGATCTTAGCATAGGAAATTTACACTGATAAATGAAATAGTGCCCTAATTATGGACAGGTATGCTAATACAGTGGTCTGCTAATCTGAGTGCATTGGGAACTAGCTCCATGCAGCAATGTTCTGAAGTTCAAGCCATTTATGATGCAGAGATTGGAGATCATTTATTTTTTGGTTTTTTCCTAAAACATACTGTGCCAGGATACAGACATTTATTATGGAATATACTATTGTACTAGTACCAAATACCATATTAACCTTGGAGTAATGTCCCTGATAATCCTTTTTTTTTATAGTATATAGTAGTTAACTTTTAAATGACAAGAAACTGATGGATTTCTGTGAAACAGAATCTTTAAGAACTGATGACTTTTCTGAGAAGTAAAGGTTTCTTTGTGTATTATGTCTAAGCTATTTAAAATGTAAAGAGAAGTTATGCACAACTCTTGAGTATTTTTTAAGCTGGTTGTATAGGAGTGAGTTCCCGTTGCTCCATCCCAGCCCCTGCCAACCTTGCAGTTCGAAAGCATGCAAATGCACGTAGATAAAAAAGTACCACTTCGGTGGTCAGGTAACAGCGTTCCGTGCACTTCGGTGTTTAGTCATGCCGGCCACATGACCACGGAGACTGTCTGCGGATCAGTGCTGGCTCCCTCGGCTAGGAAACGGAGATGAGCACCACTCCCTAGTGTCAGGCATGACTGGACGTAATGGCAAGGGGAAACCTTTACCTTTTATAGCACAAGATATCATCCAGTGCAATCAATCTACATAAACATCTTTTTTAATTTGATTGATTTCACTGAATTATCAGATTTCGCTTGCAACTATTACTGTTTTTAATTTAGATTAAAATCTGATGGAGCTACAACTAAATCTCTGAATAACTAATGCCTATATAGTTATGCAACAAAGCAAGAGAAGCAATTTTATATGTTTTATATGTTATTTATTTATTGCTTCTGTCATACAAATACAAACTGCATAATTCTAGCCATTCTTACTCTCTTCACTCCACTTGATAGATCAATGAATGAAATAAAAAATCTCCAGTATCTACCTCGGACCAGTGAACCCCGTGAAGTCCTTTTTGAAGACAGAACAAGAGCACATGCTGATCATGTTGGGCAGGGGTTTGACTGGCAGAGTACAGCTGCTGTTGGAGTGCTGAAAGCTGTACAGTTTGGTGAATGGTAAGAGTCATATCAAATTGGAACAGATAGATTTCTTTTAAGCAGTTCCTAGTTTTTGCGAAGTTAATTTTGAGTAGGAGACATCTTGTAGTAATTCCTAAAATCCAAATTATTTGTGAAAGTACAGTTTGAATTCAGAAAATACAAGTTTTCTCAACACTCCTGATGGTGTATATTTATTATAGCTTTTTCATTAGAAATTGCATTATTTTCATTGAAGACTCTTTGGGAAAGATATTCATATACAACACTTGAATATTCAAGGGGCAAAGAACATATGTGAAGATCCTTACATCTGATCTTTTAAATGTCTTAACGTGTGAGATTATTCATTTGTATAAGCCTTAAGCAATTACTGTAGACTAGGGGCTCTCAAATTTTGTCATGGTAAACTTCCTTGTGTACGATTAAACTCTGAAGCAACATAGAAACAGAAATAAGTTATGTTTTCTGTGTACAAGGCGCATAAAAGGAAAAAGGGTAACGGTACATTTTAGAGAAAAGGGCCCTGTGAAAAATAGAGTTCACGCTTTACCTGGTGTTCTGATCAACATTATGAAGCATAGGGCAAACACTTTCTTTTGCAGCACTGTTTGGGGCATTTGGGAGTGACAACATGGCCCAATGAAAGCATACATTTAAAACACCAGTCAACTACATTTGAGCTTGTATAATTCTCAGAGGTGAAACTGCATATTCTGGAAACTCATTATTAAAATCTTCATTTCTCTAGGAGTGACCAGCCTCGTATAACCAAAGATGTTGTTTGTTTTCATGCTGAGGATTTTACTGATGTAGTTCAAAGACTTCAGCTGGATCTGCATGAACCTCCAGTGTCACAGGTAATCAACACTGTTGTGGAAACTTAAGTTAGCAAGTTACTACAAAGCATAATCTTGAAAGCTTTCTCCTATACCTTTTTATTGATCTTTAAGTATGAAATGTCACCCAGGATGTGACACAGAAACCTAAAATACAGACATTCTTAGTTTGTACTATTTTGGTAAAGATTAATGATGTCCTACCACAAAGCAGGGACTATCTGTTTACCAGTTCCAGATATATCAGAAAATTCTTCTCTACCTCTGTCATAGCAGCACTTTGAACTAATCATTTGTTAGAAATGCCTTGCCTAATATACTTTTAAAAATTGCATTTGATTTTACTATACCCATGCTATGTTGACGTTTCTGTCACTTTAGGAAAACAAAAAAATTGTCCTCATAAAAGAAATGCACACGAACACCAGATAGCAGGTGTTCAGTTACCACAACTTCAGTTAACCCTCGCCCACCATCTAAATGTTATTGAACTAACAATAACTGGATGCAGCTATCTCCAAAGTTTAGTTTTAACTTGATTCTTTTGTCCTGCTACTAGTGGACAGGTGTCTTCTGTTTTTTGCTTGGTTCATGAAATTCACATTTCATATTGTATTGTGTAACATCAGTTCAGTACATACTTTTACTGAGACATTATACAAATAGAACCAAAATTTAAGATCAGAATTGGAAGCCAGGCTCTCCGACTTGTTATTAGAAAAGTTTTGCTTGGTAGCTGCTGGGACACATTCTTTCCATTTTCAGACAAGGTTTGAATTCTTTGTAATTCGTGAAGACATAGTTGTATTTTAATTGATTCTACTAGTTTGACACTGCTGTATTTTTACCTATTTTCATTTGACTTAATGGACTAGCTCACACACCCAAAATAAACTACTATGGCTTATGGGCTGGTTAGTTCCTTCTCCAAAATGCTATGCTGTCTGGGTTTGGATGACACAACAAGCCACTCTGGGATACAGATTATAGAAATTAAGCCCGACATGTGATGCAGCTTAAATAAGTTATGATGGCTTATTCTGATGGTACAAGCCAAGTATCTGCATGTCTCTGTGTGTGCACATATGTGTATGTTCTTCATTGTAAGCTGCTTTGAGATACTTTACATTAAATTTTTTTGAGCTCACCAGAAAGTGCTTTTGAGTAGCCAAGTCAGATTATTTGTGGACTAAGTGATGCCGCTAACTATGATAGATACTCAAAGCTCTGGTGTGGTTAGTTAGCTCAGGTTGAAAAACTGAAGGTTTTGACAGTACCTCACTTACCCCCGTCTGATGTAAAATGTACTGATGTAGGCCATTGTTGAACTTTGCAGGTTTTGCATTGCTTTCCTCCTGTTGCAGTGGAAATTTCACTGTATGTTATACATACTTCCTTGTGTAATAACAGCTTCAATTCAAGTCTGCTGCCATTATGTTTTAAAACTAAGAGATATGAGGAACCTTCACTTCAGATATTGTTGAACTACAGCCCCCAGCTGCCATGTTACTTGGGTCTGATGGGAGTTACAGCTTAATTGCATCAGTTTCCCACACCTCTTATTACAGCTCTAACCATGTTAAATAATTAGCTTTTTAATTAATGTCTCATGAAAATTGGGTTATAGGGCAGAATATTCATACCATAATCTAAATGTACATTTTGCACACAACATATGATTTACCTCTTAAATTCTTTTCTTCCTCAGTGTGTTCAATGGGTCGATGAAGCTAAGCTAAACCAAATGAGACGAGAAGGGATTCGCTATGCTAGAATCCAACTATGTGACAATGACATCTACTTTATTCCTAGAAATGTCATTCATCAGTTCAAGACAGTGTCGGCTGTCTGCAGCTTAGCCTGGCATATAAGACTCAAACAATACTATCCTGCAGGGGAGAATTCTCAAAGTACAGAAAGCATTTCAAATATGGACAGTAGCAACTGTGACAAGATGAAATCAGAAGGCGAAGATCAATGTGTGCTTATGAAAAAGGAGTCTGAAGAAGTAGGGACAGAAGTACAGACTACAGCAGTTGCTTCACCATCATTGTTTTCATCTCTGTCGTGACTTGCCCTGCAACAAAATAAGCTGGCTCAGCCCCTTCCAGTTTTTTAAACTAGAATCAGATCAGCAACATGATCCACAGGATGATCATATGTGCTCTCTTGTGTGATATGTATATAATCATATACATTTTTAAACAGCTTTTTAAAATTTTGATGTGAAGTTATAGTTTTATAACTGGGTTACGTTTTATTGGAGAAATCTTGCCTATAATTCTATAAAGAAAGGTGACATTCCAAAATGTCAAGCATATCTTTTTTACACAGATTATGCAAAGTTAGAGTTGTATTTTACTCCCTTAGTACAGCATGTAGTAGTGGACTACATTTTGTGTGTGTGCGTGTGCGTGTGTTTTTTTGTTTTGTTTTTTTAAGGAATGAGGTAATCCAACATCTCAATATTTTTTTTCCTTCAGGAACATCCAAGTATTTAACACTTGGTAAATTGGATACCCCCTCCATCTATTTTATCTTTAGCTTTCAGCATAAAAGGGATGGTTTCTATGGAGGAGTCACAAAGTGACTCTCCCATTTGATAAATTTCTTGAATGAAAGAGAAAGCACAGCACTTTTAATGATCAATGACATTTGTGTGTGTGAGAGAGAGACTTTGAAAGCCTGGAGGAAGCTCAAGTTACCAGCAGTGTAGATTCATTCTTTTGTTTATCAACACATTCTCAAAGAAGCTAATGTATGAGATTAGTAGCGGAGTGTATGATCTTGTGGAAATGTAATAACTGACACAACACTTCCCATACCTCTGCTTTTAACTGCATAAAGTAACACTAAAATGTCTAACAAAACCGTTGGCAGTCTCTCTAAGGAAACTGCTGTCTTTGAGCACTTTAAGGCTTTACAGTATCCTAACCAACTTGGTGGTTTGTTCAATTCACAGCATACATCTGGGATGGAAACCATCAGCTCCTTTGCATTGATGCACTTAATCCAGTAGAGTAGGCTTAACAAATATATATTGGTTGCCTTTATTCTCAGAAATTCTATATTGCTGTTTCACAATAAATTATCACATAAGGACTGCTGTTTCCACATGTAATGCTTGGGTTCCCTAGTGCTGTGTTGGAAGATTAAATGGCACATGCTAGTATGTTCAGTATAATTCGCTAAAACTGTTTAGCATCCACACTATATTTCCAAGTGTTAACTATAGTCAAGTTTCACCCACTGTCTATATACTGAATTACATTTATTTCAGGTACTGGAAACAGGCCCCTCACATGTAGGATGTAAACATTAAGATTTAATCAAAGGTGTTAAAAAGCAACTCTGTTCTTGTGGAGTAGGGGAGAAATCTGGCGCACTACACCAATGCAAACAAAGAAAGCAGCTGTTTTTTTCAATGCATTTATCAGTCTTTTGGAAGAATTGCAGATATTAATGTTTATAATAGCAATTACTTTGTGCAATATTGTTTTGTGTAGATTATATGCATATTAGCACCTCTGTATAGAGGACACAGTTTTAAACCAATAGCAAAATAATCAGAAAATATTGCAGTGATTTAGATAGAACCTGTATTACTCCTGATATATACATGTATATGTATTGTCTCTGGTGCATACCTGAAGACAAATAGAACATATTTCAACTTAAAATCAATTTTCAGATTGGAGTGATGGTGACTTGTTAAGTAATCTGTGTAAATAAGGTGTTAGGAAGAAAATCCTTTTACAGGTAATGTGTTTTTATGCAGGAGTGTAGCTTTTAATCTTAACAAAAAATCTAGATTGACCAATACTGGTTCAGAAAATAACCTCTGTACTCTGGCTTTTTCCACTTTTTTACTCTTGTCCCGAAGAATTTTCATAAGCTTTAATGGGCTGTGCAAAGTAAAATTCTTCACAGGCAATATGAGTTTCAGTGCATCATTTATATTTGATCAATTCCATCTTTATTTTTGCATTTCTATTCCATTCATTTTAGTCTTCCAAGCATTGATTTCCCTTCAGCTATGTGTTGTAAATGGCCATGTAAGCAAAGAGTCCTCTCTTGGGCATTTCAACTAGCATGGGTTATTGTCACCTGCAAGACAGCACTGTGTATAATCACTCAGGAATTGGAAAAATTTTGGAAGACCTTACAGTTGAAGGGAAAACTGTTTACTTGTCTAACCCTGTGTTGAAGTAAAACTTCTAAAATGTGTAATCCCACAAATGTTAAAATCTAACAATGTGTAGCCATTTTCTTTAATGGTGGTTTAGAATATGATGGAGTTAAGATAGAAATGGTGGATTGGATCCAAATATGCCTCTTCTGAATGGAAGGGCTCATTCCATGTGCAGAGAAAATTAGGTTCCAGCAAAGTCTGGGAGAAGCAAGGAGGTGCAATTCTCATTAATTCCCTTATAATTGTTGCAATTCAGTGCAATGCCCTTGCTGTTCTAAAGGGTGTCAAGTTTTTGGAGCCAGTTTTCAGTGGCTACGGGGGAAGGAGAAATTGGCAAAAATCGGCAACTTGCTCCCTCCAATGTGGGTGGTGTTCCGTTGTGCACAAGTCTGGATCCAACCCATACAGTATAAATTATAGCAGTAGACATAGGACAGAATTTTGTTTTTAAATGGATACAACTTACTAAAGGAGCATAATAATGTATTCCTTTTTTTTTTGTCCAAACCTTCAAGGCTATGTAGGTGAATGTTGATCCATTGCTCAATATTTTTCCAGCCCAAGATTGCAAAGTTAAAATTAAACTGCATTCATGTAGCATTTTGGGTAGGCATATTCCAAACAGTTAAAAGGGATTTCAACCATCTTTCTCTCCTGTTCACTTCTCTTAATTTCACTTTACATATAATATTTTACAGGAATACTTTTGTATCATCTTTAAAATGGTTTAAAAGTACACATTTGTCATTACTAAACTCTAGGACCAAGTACAAAAGAGTTCCATGCATGTAGTTCTGTGCACCTACCAGAACTATATTGATTTTCCTGTCTACAGCCCTTTGAAAAAAATTGGCTTGTACTCCAGACAGTCCTTTGAGATTCAGGAGTGGCTTTTCTCGAGAACTGAAGGGCTGCAGAGTGAGAAGAGGCTGAAGAACCCTAGTGCATGCATGGCCCTCTGAAATTTATGCTTGGGTCCCTCACTATATAAGAGATAAAACAGCTTGTAGGATTCATGTGATGATAGATAAATTTATCTGAACTGATAAGGAAAGCTAATAAAAATATCTGAGTGAAAAAGCAGAGTAGTATGGACCTAAAATGAATGACTGATTGGGTTCAAATTGTCAGAATGACTGTTTATTTGGGGAACATAGAATCTTTAGCTCTTAGAAGAGTTTTTTTTAAAAAGAGATTATCTCAGGAAAATGTTGGGAAATAGCTTGTATTCTGAGGATTTCAGAAATTTATCTTGCCAAATTAATTCTTTAATGCCTAGGTGTTTTGCAAATGTAATTTAAGATCAACAGGAAATATTAAGTTATAGAATATTTGGACATGATAGCTTCAATGAAGGTCAAAGGCAGAATATTTCCATTTATTTTATTATAAATAACTGGCCAGTTAGGAAGAAGCTTCTCCCTCTCTAAGTTCTGTAATTGTTCAGTACCAGTTACATTCATTATATCCTGCCTCATGTTTGAACAATTGCTAAATATTTGCTAAACAATTTTTTAAACGTTTCAGTTTTTGCCTAAATATCCTGGGCAGCTCTAAGTTGAAAACCGGAGACTCCCTTCTATTTTATTAAACACACTATTTTTCCTTTATTAAGAACCAGCAAAGAGTGTTGTGTTCAGTTGGTAATTTTATTTAGCCATTGATTCATTCAATAAATCAGCAAAAGTAAAATTAAGAAATAAGTGAACTAGGTATTTCATATCTCCGGTCAAATATTTCTGAACAGTTTTATAAATCTGACATGTTGCCTTCCATGAAGGTTGAACATGTGGAAAAGTCATGGAAGATTTAAGAAACACTCATGTTTATCATACAGGTTTTCCCATACAGTAAAAGGGCTCTTGTTTTGATAGTAGGTTAGTAGTTTTCTTACATGTGAGAACTTAGCTGTTAAGAAACAGAGAAGTTCATTTGTTGTCAGAGCCCCAAGATGGATATTTGTTTTTCTCATGCTGCCATTCACATGCTTGAATTTTTTCTGAGTGGTTAGCTCTTCTCACTTGGGGCACAATCTGTTCCAAGTTAAGCATCTTTAAGTCCCATTGATTTTAGATGGGAGATAAGCAGGTGCTTAACTCTCCATTACTCTCCATTGAAATCAGTGGTACTTTAAATATGTTTAATGTTGGCAGGATTGCACTCTTATTTCTTTATAAATGCTGAGTATTTATAGCCATATTGGTTGTGTCTGAAAGTTGCTATGAGTGGGGATGTTCATCTTTCAGCTCCTGAAAGCTTTGTACTGTAGATAAACTTCGTTGGTCCAATAAACAACTTTCCAATAACATTATGGCCTTCCATTGATATACATAATAGTTTTAGGACCCAACAGCACATGTAGTTGAGAAGGGGCTTCTCTTAATATAGCACTTTCAATTCTGTCTAAGCAAATACTTATACTTATCTTTACATGTTGTATAAAATAGATTTGTGGAGTGTTTTGTGATTAAATTCAGTTTTGATTGGCAGCTAAGATATTTTTCTGTGGTTTTAATATATCTAAGGTCTTTACATATAGAGGATATGTACAATTGCCTGGAAGACTGTTTTTTGCTTTGTGTGGCCTTAGTATATTTATTGACATTTAGCAAGTGTTTTAAAGAGGTTTTTATACTAGTGTAAACTGATGGGAAGATTTTAAGCCTCTCTGTGAATAATCCTCTAAACGCAGTGCATTTCTTTTAGTAGCTGACTGTACAAGCGTATCACTGTTAAAGCTAATTCTTTGTAAAAAAAAATAGTACAATGGAATGCATAGATTTTTCCCCCTTGTAAAGTATTTTTTTAATAAACAGAAGTCTGATTTGTCCTTAATGAAAACTGCAGTTTGGCAGAGTGCTGGAGAATACTGGGTAGGGTGGAATGAATGAGGAAGGGCCTTAGAAATTATCTCCCAACTGTGTGCAAATTAGTCCTGGTGAACTGCAAGATATGAAATAATAGTTGGCCTTTTCAGATTCTCTGAAGTGGTGGATCTTTAGCCACTAGCTCTGTATTGTAATATGACACAGATGACATATCAATTTATAGCTAACTCCACTATATCACAATAACTCTACTGTGATATAACGATTGCCAAAAATAGCCTTTAAAATTGAGCTGAACAAAGATACTGTGAGCTAGGTGACAAGTGCCATATGCCTTGGTTTGTCTTCTTGGAAAGAAGAGTTCTACAGTTATTTTGTTGCCTTTATACCTGTGTCATATGCACTACCTTCAAGGCACTTAGCTGACCTTAGATATACGAGAGAGAACCTCTATCAAAGTATACAGAGTATTAGTTTTCAACATAACTGCCAAACTATGTGAAATAAACACAAATGGATCTTTGTGTTCAGAGTTGCTGTTGCATATTACTTCCATAATGTATATTCTATAAAATCTGAAAAGCACAATGCTTTGCCTTTCAAAAGTTAAATTATATTTCATGCAAATCCTGTGGTAAGCAGGATTTCTGCATTACATCCCCATAGACTGCTATATACCAAATGTATGCATACAGTAACAGATGATGTCGCACTTGCAGTTTCTATTGTTTTTCAGTCTTCATGTTTGCCCCGACCCAAACTGGACTTGTGTTCACCTATCCACCAAATGTAGGTTACAAAATGGATGGTGGACAAATGCATCAAAATTTCACTACTGCCTCAACATCTTTTTAAAAATTGAAAGAACCTCCAAAACTCTGTCCCAGTAATTCTAATACTGAAAACAGCACCAGCAAAGTAATAATACGCCTCAAGTGACATTTGATGGAGATACTGTCAAATTATTGATGACTAACATCAATAAATTTAAACAACTATCAGTCTCGGTAAGGCTAGTGCCTAAATATGCATAGATCAGCAGTAATGAGCTACACTGGATTATGCCGAGCACATACTGTTTATGGATAATTATGAAACTAAAAGCCAGGCAAGAAATCTTCACCTACCCTTTTAGCACCACCTTCACTGCAAAAAAGTTTTTTTTTAAATCCTGTTTTTTAAAATACACTTGATGCTGAGCAATATTCATAAAATTGGTTTTCGAAAAGCACCTTATCCAGTTTCTTAAAATCTTTCTAAGATTGGTCAGACAATGGTGCATTCCCAGACAGACTTTACCACAGACAACTAGGATACGTTTGCTGTTTAGCAGAAAACGTAGGTGTCGCAAATCTCACGAAACTTTCGGACAAGAGCCAATGCGCAAGGCCTTGTTGCGGCCGGGGCCCCCTGCCAGGCAACTGTTTATTTCCGTCAGAAGAGAAGCGGCAGGTTCTGCTGCTCCTTGAGCATTTCGTGGGCGAGAGAAGTCTGAACCATTGTTCCTTAGGGAGCTCCCTTCTTCCTTACCTTTGCGTGCGGGTGCCAATCCAAAGTTGTGCTTCCTTAGAGTATGACTGACTCCCTTGATTACTCTAAACTGCTACTGTTAGGTGCCCTTTCTCTATTCGGGTATTTACTTAAGACTCGGCGCTCCACTGCTGCTGTCTGTTTGCCATTCCTTTGAAGAACGGCGTTGAAGGATCGGTGGGGTGGTGCTCGGCTGCAGCTGCCTGCCACCGCAGGGGTGATCCAGGCAGATGCAGCCGAGAGCTTGCTTGCCGATCCGGGAGCTGCTCTCCCCTTCAACTTGTCCGCGTTTCCATGGTAGCGGTAAGAAGCTCGGAGGTCAGGGCCTGGGTCTGGGCCTGGGCCTCGGCGAATTCGCGGAATAGGTATGGAGGTGCGGTTGCAGGGGAGGTGATGGGCTGGCGGGTGAGGCGGGGCGAGTGTAAAAGAATGGAATGGGCAATAGGTTTGCAGGCAGGGGACGCAGATTGCGAATGAGAAAAGAGGATTGAGGTGAGTGGCGGAGTAGGGTGAGAAAGGGGGTAACCGTGATTGAGGAAGAGGGCTGGAGACATTCAGGGGCCAACCTGAACCTCTCCAAGCAATGATTCATGGATTCTCTTAGGGAACGACTGAGGGCTGGCATTTCCCGGGAGCGTCGTCGTGTCGCTACGGTGTAGGTTCAAGATCCTACATAAGTCAAAAGTTTTTCAGTTTTTAAAAATATACAGAGCGGTGCACAACAACTGTAATGAAAAACAGCTTGTATGACATGCCCCCCCCCCCAAAAAAAACCCTGTACATCTCTACCCAACAGAACAATCTCTGAGTGGATTTAAGACTTCAGGGTTTGATATCAATCTCTTTTTATTTTTATGCAGATAGTTTTTTTTTTATTAATGTCTGAGATGCCAGATGGCCTCAAATGATGAAGATGCAATTGCTTGGTACCAAAAGAAGGTTGGTCTTTGAGCTTGTTTCTGAGCACAATAAAATTCATTATTTAAGTTGATGTATGTGAACTATTCGCTGTGTCTGCTGTAATTAAAACGGTGTCATCAGGGTTTTTTCTGTTAAAAGGTTTTGTAGAAATTTTATTTCATTTATTACTGCAATGTAAATTACTTGTTTTTGTTGCTGCTCCTAACAAGTTACTGTAGTCGGCTTCTGTGCTTCAGACTTGTTTTCTGAAATATGGGTGAATAGCACATGCATGCCAAGTCAGGTGTGTGAAAATGATTATGCTGCAAGTACAAAGTAAAATTATACACTGATTTTGCTTAATGACAAATGATGTAATCTAGTACCCCTGGAATACTTCAGCATTTTCTGTAATTATGAAATGTTTTGAGATTTTTGAAAATTTTACTTCCTACAAGAGGAATATACTGAAACATCTGTAATCCTTTTGCCAGGACAGGGTTTGTACTAAAATGATCCTTTTTCATCTCCTCTTAAATAGAAGAATTTGTTGAAATAACTTGGTGGAAACTCTTTTTATATTATTAATGGTTGGTTTGGAAACAGAAGTAGGGTTATTGAGATAGGGGAAGTAGGTTAGCTCTCTGAAGACTATGTTTTGTTTCTAAATAAAAGCTCTCTTTCAGATTGGAGCCTATGATCAGCAAATATGGGAAAAATCTATAGAACAGACTGAGATGAAGGTAAAAAATCCTTTTGCAGATCATTTTGTTAAACTCATTGGTATTTTGTTTTGTGGATCTACAGAATGACAGAACTGGAAGCCTTTTGTACATTGACAAATAGAGCTACATATTAGACCAGTATGCTTAGTAGAATTAAGCTGAATGTGATAGTCTTACAGAGAATTGCCGTAACCTGATGTAAGGACTACTTGCACTATGGGGAGTTCTGATGTAGGCATGGATCTATTACATATACAAGGGCTTTCCAGCTCACAGCAACACTGTGGGAAAATGCAAATACATCTTTATCCATAAATGGGAAAATTTATCCTTGCTGGGAACTTTGATGTCCTAAGCATCACTGGAACACTCAACTGAGAAAAATAGTGTTATGTGAAATAATCTGAGAATTGTGGCATGCCATTGGCAGCATAGTTTTACTTTCATTTTAGTCCTTTAAAACAGAATCTTATCACACGGCAATACTTGGCTGTAACTGCACTATCTCAGGTGTAACCTATTTGTCTGAAAAAATTAACAAAATATAATTTCAACTTTATTCATATGGTTGGATCGTTAGACCCTAGCATTTAATATATTTATTTCCTATAAATATATTACTTGCCTATACTTCTTTTGCAGATCAAACATATCTGTAGAACACTAATGACTGTTGACAATTTCTAGTGTCCACTCTAGAGATTTTGCCAATGCTGGTCACTCTACTGATGGAAGATCAGTAGACACCTGGAGAATGGCGTAGGGGACAATTTTCAGTAATTTCCCTTTTGCTTCCATCCCCTTCCCAGACCTGTTCTGGAATGTTTGGAGAATATGTGGATTAGATTTGGAGAGCAGAATCAAAAATGCCATTCTCCATTTCACTGTGGTTGTCTTCAGTAGGGGAGTGACTGTGTTGGAATTTTGCAGGTAGGTTCTAGATAGTGGGGACATTAGACAGAATAGAACACTGGGTTTGTAAAGCAAGGTAAGTTTGAGGGATTGTAGAGGAAACAGGAAGTCATGCAGCTTCCAAAAGTCACATGTCCTGATCTGAGAATCTCACATACTCCTTTTCATATAGGAATACTTTAAAGTATATACTTCTCCCACATTTTCACATATTATCTTAGCAGAGAAAGCTTTAAATACTGTTTTATTTGAAAAGGCAATGAAAGGTTCCCTGAATGGATTCATGGGATACATATTGTGATAGGATGGGGTAGGGAATTCCTTTTAGCTTGAGAGCCAATTCCATTTTGGAGAAGTTAGCAAAACTGCTTTTGGCCACACCCAAAATTAGGGGCTAGTCTTCCTGCTTTGGTCCTTCCCAATTTGTCACAGGCTGAATGGGGATCAGTACCTTTGTCAGTGCTAAGCAAGGAAAAGCAATAATTACTGAGCAGCTGCTGATAGGAGCTAAGAGCTCTCTTCTTTGTGGCAGAGTGGGAGGGGCCAGCAAGAACCTCCTGTACAAGATGGGGAACCCTCTTGGTTCCATGGACCAGAGGTTCCCCATCCCTATGCTGCTGTATTAATGAGAAATTATAAACCAGTCTATTCCTGGAATTAGAACCAGGAACAACAAGTAGACAGCCTAATAGATTGACCACAAAATCTATTAATTCTTTATGATTGCATTTGTAGGGCTTCAAAAACAAACCCAAAAAGAAAGGCCACATACAGCCTGACCTGATAGATGTTGATTTAATCAGAGGTAGGTATTGTTTGAATGTTTGCATTTCTGACTGATGGCTCATTTTGTACATGCAAAATAGCCTTGTTTTATATGTGTCTGTGAAGGTAGGTAATTATATCTAGCATGTAAGTATGATATTTAATAAATATTTTATCTATCTTAATTCCATTCACACAGCTTTTGTACCCTCAAGATAGCTTTGATAATTATAGAAATAAGACAAAAAAGAGCTAATAAACAACATTATGGTGAAATAAAATCTCTGTATGATCTAAACATTTGGTGAAAGAAAAATGTTTTCACAATTCACTGGAAAATCAGGGCTGTGCCAGTTGCATTTTTGAGAGGAGAAGAATTGGAGGAGCTGTACTTGAAGATGTTTAGGTGTACCTGCCAAACAAACCTCAGAAGGCAACGAGACATGGAGCGATATGCAGGCTGGCTCATGTGGGAACTGGCAGTCCTTCAAATAACTTGGTTCAAAACAATTTAGTGATTTATAATTAACAACTTTAAATTGGGTCCAAAAAAGAATTGGCAGTACTACTTTGACAGTGCAGATTTTATGGTGCTGTTCTCCAGCAATCAGTCATTTTTATTTGTTCTGGGTGATGCATTCCCCCCACCCCAAAGTTTCCAAATTCATTTCAAGGGTAGGCCCATGTAGAATGCACTGAGGTAATCTAACATAGCCAAAACATGTGCAGTGGTGGCCTGACATGCTCTCTGCAAGACATGGCACAGCTGGTACACCAGCTAAAAACACTCATAACCACAGCAGCTACCAGACAATCTAGCAGCAAAGCTGGATTCAGAAATACACCTAAAGCTATTGATCCTTCAGGGAGATTATAGTCTCATTCAGAACAAGTTGAATACCTGATCCCAAAATACTGTGTTGCATGGATTGAGTCAGAGTAGGGGGGTGTGTGTGTGTGTGATAGAGAGAAAGAGAGGCAGGGAGAAAATGCTGAGTGAAATCAGCATATTGGTGGCATCCTTAAAACTTCCTTTATGTGGCTTTATGTAGATGTTTAATAGCACTGTGGGCAAGGTGGAATCCTGTGGGATGCTGTAGGCTAAGGAGTCAAACCACAGCCTTCCAGCACAGACTTCTGGAATCACCGTTTCAGGTGAAGACCAGAGTCACAATGTTATGTCCTAAAACAGTTGCTTGTAGCCTGAAAAGTTTTGCTATATAGATTTCACTGTCTGTACATATAAGGATAAATCTAAAGGCTAAGAGCCATTATGAACTTAATAGAGCCAGAGGTAAGACTAAGATGGCTGAAAAGGCCAAGTTACATGGAGCTGAAGAGCTCTCCTTGCATGGTTGGGAGGCAGTGAGATGAGTAGGTGAGGAACATCATTGAAATTTAAGGAATGTATATTTCTTAGCCATAGTAGAAAACAGCCCAGACAAGGGTATCACTTCAGATGGCAGAAGGGGCTCAAATGATTGAATATTCCTCACAAAAGCAGAAGAAAGGATTCCACACAAAGGGAGAGCTTACTGAGTTCAGTGGGATTGCTCATTGGTAAGTCTGTACAGGGTTGCAGCCTACATTTTAGAGAAAGATTTTGACTTCTCTCTTTCTTTATGTGAAGGTATGTTCAATTGCGTGAGCTCCTTTGTCATGACTTTGCCATAGCTAGTCTAGTTCTGTGACATTTTCCCATGTTTATTTTTAAAGGGAGTCTCAGCTTGAGTATAGAAGAAATAATACCAAGTAGATTTCTTCTGATTCCCAGCTGAACCACCCTGTGTTCAACCTGCATACTTTCTAGGTTCCACATTTGCCAAAGCTAAACCTGAAATCCCATGGACATCTCTTACAAGGAAGGGGCTTGTGCGGGTTGTGTTCTTCCCATTGTTCAGCCGTTGGTGGATTCAAGTGACCTCCTGGCGTATTTTTACATGGCTGCTAGTACTCTACCTCCTTCAAGGTGAGTAGGGACTAACTTATGCTTGAATCATTGGAAGAAAAACTGGGGTGATTTATTTTGGGGTTGCCAACTAATCTGATGAACTGGAAGAAGTAGATGTGATGAACCAGCTCTAGATAAATAATAAGCTGTATAACTGTCTTATGGCATGATCCAGAAGCAGGAAAAATCCCATAGATATCACTTTCAGCTTTTATTGCTTGGTAGATTTGTCTATTCCATGAAAATAGACAATATAAAATAAATAAAAAGTTCTATTAGAACCATATTGCTCAGAAAAAAATAGACAAGGCTGCATGGGAATTAAGAAGGCCTTAGTTCCTTGTAATATTAGTAGCTAATCATACCAATAATCCCTTTCTTCTTATATTAGTGTTTGCATGATTATTTCCCCCAACAATTGCATTTCATATTACTAAAACAAAACACTTGCTACTCTTTTTTCAGTTGTCGCAATTGTGTTGTACTCCATGGTGCCAGTTGTGAGTGCAAGTGAAATTATTGGACCTTTGTGCCTTATGCTACTAATGGGGACTGTACACTGTCAAATAGTATCTACTCAGTTAACCAAACCTTCAGGAATTGATGGAAGCAGTATGAGCAGGAGAAGGAGGTAAGAAGAAAGTGCAAGTAATTTCTCACGGGGAAGACTTTTCTGTATTTAGGTGCTTCTTGGAATTGAGGTTTTTAGGTGCTTGTTTGAACACAGGTACAACTTTAAAAGTCACCTTTTGATGTTTTAATAGCATATTTCTTTGGAAATGCATCTGTATTTACTCTTTCATTGCTAATATCCTTTCAGTGTTTGTTGGAACACCTGCCGGCAGTTGTAGGTTAGTACTTCTTGTTTATATATGCTGCCATTTGATTTCAATGCTAGGGATTTTCACAGAACATGGTGGCATCGACTCTAGGAGGAATATATCGGGGAGGGGGTTTCTCTCCAGTGAAGTGGTATACTTGTATTTCTCTCCCTTTCAGTATTGCTGTAGTTTTAGCATTCCCTTTTAACACAGTCACACCAGCAAATCCCCAGCTTGGTAGGACCGGAAGTGCTGGAACTAAAGAGATTATGACTGATTATGTGCTGGGATAGTGCATATATAGACCAAAATCATCCTTAATTCCAATTACAATGACATTTTTAGCCGAAGTTGTTGACCTTTGCTAGTATTTTTTTAGAACACAAGAGAAGGCAATTGAATCTGGATTTTTTATGGTCTAACAGAAATAAAAGTTTCAGCAACTCAGAGCTAATGGGAGCCCAAGTGGCATTGTCTTAGATTTAATGAATCAGTGGCACTAAGGCTATTTTTTGCATTTATATATAGGAATTTCAGTTCATTGTAATCATAATGGCTAATCTTACTTATTCCCTTCACTTTTCTTCTGCACAAATATAAAACACATGTACACAAGATTTCCTGGGTATGGCACATTCATTATATGATAATCTTAAAACAATACTGCATCACACGTTTGTGCATGTGGAGGTCTGATGATGAGCACCATCTTCTTGTGAAGTGTGTAAAGGAGCCTGCAAGGCAGGTGTATGTGTATTTTTTATTAAATTATGATGTGTTGCTAAAACTTCTTTTTTTCCTAATGTAGAAAAATACGCAAGTTTGCAGGAGGTGATGGAAGTGCAACTTACTCTTCCTTTGACAAAATAAGCAGAGTGGAGGAGCCACCAGAATTGTCATCCAGGATCAGCAGCTTCTTTGACTCAGTATTGCGCAGAAGGAGCAGGGAGGGGTATGGTTGGTATTGTTGACTTCTCTGAGAGTTAAAACTGAAATGATAATTGAGGATCTAGTTCAAGATACCATATTGTCAAAGGCCGCATCAGAGCACTTATTCTGCTTGGGTTATGTGCAATGGTGGAGAGGGCTTATCAAAAGATTGCCCTTAAAAGGAGCTGTTCTAGAGTTGCTACACTTTTAAAGCTTTACAATCCCATCTCAAGTCCATTTTTACCCCATTCCTCCTCTGGGAAGCTCAGGGAAGCCCAAACAGTTTTGCCCTTTAATCTCACAACAGCTCTGTAAAGTAGGTTAGGCTGTAGCAGTGTAAGATGCAAGGTCCCACAGGAACTGTTACAACTAAGTGATGGTTTGAACCTTCATCTTCCCATTTGAATTCCAAATCTAGCCACTACATTCTCATTACTTTGCCTCTGAAGTGGCCAGAGTAGCCTTTGCCCTGATTTTCTGTGTACTGTTAGTAATCAAAGATAATGCCTGCAATCCTACACTTTCTTTTCATGGGGTATTCTCATTTAGTTCAATGAAACTTGATTCTAGAATTAAACTGGGTTACAGAGAGGAATGGTGTTGATGCTGTTCCTTGTTTTTTTCTGAATGGGTTTTTAGGCAGATAATTTATTTGTTTGAGAATACATTTTAGACAATTTAAAAATGGCAACAGGATTTTTTCTCTTACATATTTCTGATGTTCTTTCCCTGCCTTCTCTTAGGGAATTTTGTAATTCGTTCCTTTTAAAAAACAAAACAGCAAAAACCCCCAGTAGGTATAAGTATATTTTCATTCTTTTACAAGTTTATTTTTTTATTAGGATATTTTTATCCCAAGTCATCTCTAGATGGTTTACAATATAATAAATACATCAAACCATCACAGGATAAAATGTGACTGAGAATCTGTCAATAAAAACATAAAATATTTAAACTTTAAAATGTTGGGTAAATAAAAAGGTCTTGACCTGGTGCTGAAAAGCATATAACGTTGGTGCCAGGTGAACTTCTCTAGGGAGCACATTCCAGAGCCGGGGTACCACCACAGAGAAACCCTCCTCTGAGAGTTTTTCTCCTAACCTCCTTCAAGGAGGGTTCCTAGAGCAGAGCCTCTGCTGCAGATCTTAAGGGGCAGGAGGGCATATAGGGAAAAATGAGTTTAAGATGGAGAAGCCATGGGGCATTCAGCTATTTGTTGAATTTAAAGGGTATGAGAGGAAGGCCTGCTATCTATTGCATTTGCTTCCTTAGGATGAAAAGAGGGAAACGGGTAGCTGATAAAGGGACTGAAACTGAACATAGCAGTGGGACGAAACGCAGAATTTCCAGATCTGAGCATACTTTGCAGTGGTCCAAGGATTTTGGAAAGCTATCAAATATAGAAAAAAGTCTGGTAAGATATAGGGTGAATGCTCTTCTTTGAGATCCAAATGTCAAGTCTCATCTGCATGAGCAATGATACTTATTATGCACCCCCCCCCCAACATGCACAAAATAATTCTGGGTATATAGCCTTCTAAAATGAATTTTATCATTGCTGACATAGATCATTGAAAAATATTTCAGAGGACTATTTAGTCATAGAAATCAAATACTTCTGAAAACAATTTAAACTTGCCTGGATGCTTTTATTCTGCGTGAAATGTGAAATTCAAAGGGGAGAGTTTAAATTGAGTCTGCCATCAACCCTAACATTTCTACTTTGGGTGCTTGAAATATTGTCCTTAGATTTATTTAATATTATTATTACAGTTTTCTTTCCTCAAAGAAGCTCTAGTTGCTACACATGGCTCCCCCTCCCATTTTATACTCACAATGTTATTATTTTATTTAATTAATTAATTCAGTTTCTATGCTGTTCCATAATCCAAAGATTCTCTGGGCGGCTTACAATACTAGAACATAAAAACATACATAAATTACAATAAAACATGTGAGTTAAGTTACATGTTAAGTTACTCTGAAAGATAGTGGCTGGCCTACAATCACTTCATGACTGAGCAGGGATTTGAACTCAGGTCTCCCAGATCCTAGTCTAATGCTTAACAATGATAGCATACTGCCGGTATGCCAATCCCCAGGAAGTGTCATATATGTGTCCCATATATGTGTCCCAAAGCAAAGGAAATGACATTGCTTTGAGAAGGGCTACATATTTCAAGATTGTTACTGAAAAGATTTATATTTTCTATCTTGTTTGTTGCTGTTGAGTGAGAGTCTGTTTATAGCATTTTGCTTGTCCTGTATCAGTGTTTGCTAGTTGGTTGGATAGTACAAACAGACTGCATGAATATAGACTGTTCTATCTGCTTGATACTTACTAGCTTTAATTCTCATTATTGTTCTTTCAGGTTAGTTCCAGGCATTCTGGTGTTTCTGATGAGCTGTCAAGCGAAGAGGATACAGATACCATGAGTCAGAGAGTTTTACTGCGTAGAAGTGTAGAAGGTGCCCTTACTGTCGATAACAATCAGAGCGACAATCAGAGCAAGAAGTCTTCTCTAGGTTCTATATCTGCTTCTCCAAACCAGTCAGTATCACAAGTAAGTGTATGGGCTACTGTCAGCAGCTGAGCTCTGAGAGAAGTAATTACTCCACTCACCCAGGCACATCCCGAGTGTCACTTTTAATCAGAATCAGAAAGAGAGTAGTTATTGAGTGTTATCACTGACCCTGAACTCCTGGATTAGACACTGGATAATTGGAATATCCCAAGGTACCTAGGGATATTTGGAAAGAAACTGAAAAAGTATAATTGGGAATTAGCGTAAATTGTAAGCAGCTTTTTTGAAATTATTTAATGTATTAATAACTTTTGTTCTCAAGATAGCAATTGTGCAGATATAAAACAGAGATCAGAAAGGAGTGACAGCTTTCTGTTTTAGTAAACAGGGCTCTTCCTAATTCACTATTGCTTCTAAGCATCTTGCACTTCTAAGCACTATATACTTTAAGCTATAATTAATATTCAAGAGCTTTTAATAAAGTCAAGCAAATGTGGAATAGGTGTGCTTATTCCAAAATAAAGCCAAAGCAATGCATATACAGATTTACTTAAAGAACAGAAAACGGTCATAAAGAGATAGCAAAAATATGCAAATGCACTCCTAGATAATACTGTTTTATCCAATGTTAAGGTTAGGAACTAGATATCCAAGATGAGAGACTTTGCATTTTTAGCTATAGTATCTTGCATTAATGCTAGCAGCCAGAGCAAAAGCAGAAAAAGTCAGTAATGTGTCGATACACATTTTAGGAACAAAGCATCCCATAATGAACATATGTCGATGAATATTGATGATGCGTCCTTTTCTTTTGAAAGAAGCTTGTAGTTGGTTCTTGTCTTCCAGGAAAATAATATAACAAACAAACAAAACCTTTTATCTTCCTAATGATATGATTAGCTAGGTTTGTAGGTAATCTACATATGTGTAGATCTTTCTGCTAATTTTTGGAAGACCGCTTTTCTATGTGAGACTCCTATACAAAGTCTCCTATCTTGATACAGTTGCATCTAGATCTGAGAAACTGACTATAAAAGAGATGTTGTCTCAGTGCTCTAGTGCAAGCTCTTTGTCTTTCCTTTGAAAGGAAAAAGCATCACCAGGAATATGCAGACCACAAGTGATTTTATGGCATTTAAGCAGACATATTATGGTGCCCTACCAGGTGTGATGACTCCGAGAAGACATCATCCCTATGGACATTGGGTAACACTTTCAAGATGCCAGAATTTGATGATCTGGCCAAATGAAAAAGATATGATCTGAGGCAATTCACAACTTGCACTATAAGCAGTGTGATTTATACCATCCAATGCCCCTGAAGCAAAATGTCATGTGTTAAGAACATCCAAGCCTCTTAAATTACAACTTGGAGAGCATCTGTGTAATACTAGAAATAAAAAAAATGGCACACACTTGGTAAGATATATTGTAGAGCAAAACCATTCTTCAAAATATATTAAGTTTGGAGCTTTGCAAAAGCTTTCTACAAGGGATGATATAATTCTGTTTAGAAAAAGAACTTCAGTGGATTTTAAGGTTGAAAACTCTGAACCCTTGGAGTCTTCATGAAGAGCTAGAGCTTCAGCCTCTTTTGTCATGTTAAATATTTCTGAGACACTCCCTAAAGAAATGGTGGATGTCTAAAACTCAGAAACCATGAGTCTAATCAACTAATCCCATGGATGCAACTAAAAAGTTTTCATACAGATGCATAAAAATTACCGCACATCAAACATCACAAGTAGCAGGAGTCATCCTAGAGGCAGACTTTTTCAGAATTCTGTGCAGGCATTTTTAGAAACATTTAAGAAGAAGACAAAGACATTATCACAGTGTGATTATTATAATTATTTTTAATTGGGATGTTTGTTTTTAACATGTATAATTATGCAATCATATCCTTTTCTGCTTTTGGTTAGGCCATGAAGATGGCCCATATTTATCATGCTGAGCTGAAAAGCATTGGGAAACTTCAAACAATAAAACTATATACTTTTTTCAATATTTTGAGTCTTTGTCTCTTTATTGTGAAAATGAAGCTAGAAGTAAGGTCTAGCTTTGAAATGTCAGTGGGTTTGCTGTTAGTGTGTGTGTGTGTGTGTGTATATATATCTCCTTTGAGCAAAATATAAATAGGAAAAATAAAAAGAATATTCTATATTTAAAGTTCTCTACTTCTTTTTGTATGCTGAGCAGGTCAAGGAAGTAGTGAAATCTATGCAAGACTCTGACAGCGTAGTGGATTCAGAAGTTGACACAGCACTTCTTCATGAGGTACTCAAACATTAGTATCATATGTCACATAGCTTGAATGCAGCTGGTCACCCTATTGCCCATTTGAAACATGAGATTCCCACTAGGGATATGTGAGGAATACTCTTGGAAAGTCAGAATCTGGCAGATTTGCCTGGCTAAGTCTCTTGGTTTCTAGTTCATCTGTCCGGTGCTGGCAGTGACTTACTCCAAGCTGCCACATGGGCTTCTGCTCTTAAAATCAACAATAATTTGCATGTTTTTTCCTATAAAAGTAGATAAATGTGTGTAGAATATGGCTGCATCTTTTCATAGAGGATGGCCACAGTTTGCATAAATATTTGTGTGCAAATGACAGCTGTACAATGACAAATTGTATTTTACATAAATCTCTCTGCTCAAAACAAAGCAAAACAAACAAGTGCAAATTTTGCATCTTCCACTTTAGAAGCAGAAGCTGCAAAAATATCGCTGACTCAGCCAACCATCGGCTCTGAATTCAGCACAAAGCACTGAAGTGTGCCTAGCACAAACGAGTCGAGTTTTCAGTGTTACCATCCTAATTCTCAGCATTATGTAAGAAAGAATCTGTCTCATTGTGTTATTTAAGAAAAATGAGTATCTACAACCCATGCAACTTGTATCTTTGTGGACAATGGCAATAGAAGAAACAATCTATGCAGTGCGTTTCCAGTTTATTTTCTCTCATTGTTTGCTCCTTGCATTAGCAGAAAAAGCACATTTGCCAGTTCAATGTCAAATAAATGTAGTAGTTTTGGTTTAATTCTTTGGTATATCTGTAGATAAACTTATTGTTTGTCATGCTTAGTCAGGCCTGATGCCAGGCTCAGGTCTATAGGAATGAAGGCAAGATTACATATTCTTGTTGTAAGGAAAGAGTGTTGTGATGCACATTTTCACTTGCCACAAAAATCTGTAGTTACATCTGGTCTGTTTACAGTTTAGCTATTCAACATGCTAAGGCTTCATAATTCAACTTTATTTGGGTGAAAGAGGAAAACACGCAGGTATAATTAAACACTCTCTACTTTAAGGTGTATGTGGTAAAGCAGGAAAGGAAAAGTGGCAATTTTGTTGAACTTTGTTCTAGCTGAACCTTCCAGAATGGTTTCCTTCTGTTTTCAGTGCTTTAAGCTTTGAATCTTCAAAGCACTCTGCTGACAATAGAACCTTGCACAAAGAGGCCACACATATTAGATCCTTATCCACTGTTCTTCATCCATAACTTCTCAGGTTTCTGTGGGACACAGACGTGTTACAGTTCTCTGGCAGGTGCTCTTTATGGGCCATACAAAAGTGGAGTAGCCAATGTAATCATAAAAGAAGGCAGTAGGAGTTGACTTGTTTATTTTATTTTCTAGGGAGAGGTTTGGTCTTACACTGTTCCAGCTTAAATGAATAACAGGATTGTACAGTTAGGGACGTTAATTAAAGTCTACAGGAATTTAGTAACTTGTCTCATTTGAATCAGCATTGTAATAATAGTTTACTCAACTTCTCTTTACAGGAAACCAAATCCCATTACAGCAGTGGATCTCGAAGTGGCAGTGTATCCCATAGAGACTCAGAAAGCACCCGTCATGACTCAGAGACAGAGGATATGCTGTGGGATGACTTGCTTCATGGGCCCGAGTGCCGCTCCTCTTACACTAGTGATAGTGAAGAAGCCAAAGGGAAAGATGCAAAAGGAAGCAAACGAGATCTGAAGGAAGATGTCTTTCAGCAGGTCTGTAACATGCAAAGGTTTTCTCTTAGGTTACTATTGTCTTTGAATTAATAATCAAATGGAAAGCAGGAGAGGAAGTGCCAAAATCTCCTGTAGTTGTTTTGTCAGCAACAAAACATAAAGCCAGTTTGTCAAAGATTTCTGTACACTTATGTCACTTCTCTGTGCTATTTATCTGAGAATACAAGTTGGGTTTGTTGTTCAGGTCATGAGTATCCTCACCCAGCAAGAAGCACAGAGAGTTTGCCTCTTCCAGTAGCATGACGTGGTTGCAAGCAGCAGATGCTAAATGAAATGTGCATTGATTGCACAAAAGAGTCAGCAAATACCTGTGGACACACTAATGAGGCCTTCAGACCATGGCTTCAGAGGAAAAATATATGGGTAACTTCTTAGCTTTGGGATCATCTAGCGCTTCAGTCTCCAAGATGTTAAAGTGGGCTATATTTTTGTAGATGCAGTAGTAGAACTGAAATTGCTCAAGAAATAAAGAAGCTTGGGTCTCAGAAAGTATTCCTGATTATTCAAATATGGCCCATCTCTTGAGCGGTATGAGCTCATAATGGCAAAGTAATTGCTAGCATAGCTAAAGCTGCTGTTTCAAAGCTATTTCTCCCCATATTAGAGGCAAATTTTCCAGAATGTGACTCCAAGATGCATTTTCTCCCTCAGAACCACTTGTTCTGGCTTCAGAACACAAGTCCTGCCTCTACCAAAGTGAGTGCTCTTATCTGGGAGGGGAATGAGTGCAAGAAGGTGGACATGTCTGTACTGGAGATCAGTGGGATCATCATGAGTAAGGTAAGGGGTATGTAAATTAAGTGTACTCTAAAGGCAAACAATTCCCTGTTATCTTGGGGCAGACAGAAGATACTATTGTTCTGTCCACAAGCAGAAGTTGCAACTTACCATTCCTTTTTACTGCATTATTTTATGAATTTCTCTTGATACTTATATATGTACTATAGTAGAATTTGCAAAACTGGAACTTGTTTAGCACATCATTAAATGGTTATCTATAAATCATGTACTTTTTCTTTTGTTTTCCTAATCAATAGGTCAATGCTTATCAACAAGGAGCTGGTTATCAGTGGCTGGGAAATATTGTCACCATTGGTTTAGCCTTCCTTCCCTTCCTCTATCGACTTTTCCACACAAAGACCTTGGAGCAGTTGTGGTCACTTTCTATAAAAGAACTTTTATATATCTTCTGTGGGGCTCCCACAATTCCTCCTGTTGTTATGCTTTCTGTCATCATCTTCCTTGAACGTCTGTGCCTCACCTGGATGTTTTTCTTCATGATGTGTGTTGCAGAGAGAACATATAAGCAGGTGAGTGAAGATTAAAATGTTCTGGGCACTCACAGAATTATTCAATTAGTTGATTAGTTCTCCACCATTCTACCAAGTGAAATGACTTTGAAGGCAAGCACTGAAAGTGACAAATGCATGTCTCCTCTTCCTTCCTCCTAGGTAATGTATAAATCCACAAAATGAGTGTAATAGCATCATGCTGCATGTTTCCTCGCAGCTTGAAATTAGCAGCCTCTCTTCTGATGTTATATTTGGCAGTAAACTTGTTACTATTCTAGAGAAACATGTGAGGAAAACATTTCCCTCTCTTAGTCTTCCTGTGCAGCCTTTGAAAGGTATAAGAGAAGGACTAGGTATAAGATCAAATGACAGCCACAGCGGGCCCTCCCAGAAGACAGTGAGAATAGGTGTAAATCAAAAGGAGTGGTGGATCATGCCCAGGGTCCCTGCAACTGCTGGTTTGCCACAGCAAGGCAGGAAGCCAGGACAGCCTTTTCTTCTTCAGCTTTTGATTATCCCATCTTAGCCAAAGTGACAGAGAAGATTGCCTGGGATGTTGGATGCCTGAAGGGGCCATTTCCTGCTTAGACAGTCCCTCCTTCTGAGCACATGAAAGGAGGTGTCAAAATACATACTACAAACCCTCAAGCAGTTGTGAAGGATAGTTTCAGGCTTGACTGGCTACTGAAAAGGTTGTGTGGATTAGTACTACCCCGTGTGCATATGAGTGACCTTCTGCCAGTTAGGGGGTCATCATGCTCCTTCTCTCTCAGTCTGGTTTCCCTGTGCAACAGTCTCTTCTCCACCACCTTGTTTTCCCCCCTCTGGCCTAGCATTTATCCTTCAGAGGAATTCCCTCCTACAGTCATGTTCATTTAATGAGATAAGCCTTCCTGAAGGCACTGGGGGTTCGTTCTGCATAAATTTGTTTAGGATTGTGCTTTAGCACATGGAGGGAAGCAGCTGAGCTCCCACTTAGTTGAAATGAAAGACAGACTGATGATTTTTGGCTTGGGAGTCACTTGTGGAAAAGGAGTAGAGGGGCATAGCTGGCCTGCTCTGTTTGTTCAGTGAAGTTATTTGTCCCTATTAGCAACTGGCTGATCAGTGTGTTAGTGAAAGGGCTGTGTTAGTGAAAGGTGGGTTTGCATGGCATGCTTTTCTCCATTTTGTTCTCTGAGGAGATGGAGGTTCTCGAAGCCTTGATTGTGATTTCCTTTGGGAAGGAATGCTGCTGAGAGTGGAGTGGAGTGATTTTCCTAATTGAATGCTTTGTGGCTCACCCTATCATGAATCACTCACCATTGCAGCTTTGGTGCTTGACTTGTAATCCTTATCTGTAGTGAGCTTATAAGTAATCTTTATCTGTTGTGAGCTCATTAGTGATTTAAGCTGATGTCTGTACTGGTTTTTTTAATGTGTGAATGCACAGTGTTTACACAGTCTTTTTTAAAATCTAGCATTACATTTGTATCATACCTCTTATCTCTTTACAAAGTATGCAAGGCAGCTTATGCAGTCCCCCTCCTCTCTGAATTATCCTCATGATACCTCTGTGAGGTAGATTTGACTAAAGGTCAGTGAGCCAATGAACTTTATGGTTGAGTGGAGACTAGAACCAGTATCAGTTCAACAGTCTAACCACTATATGCTAGACAACTGTATTGAACTAATAATAAAGTAGGTTATTGTCATCCTTGTATTGTCCCTGGGCCATGGAGCTCTGCTGAGTTGTTTTTTTAAAAAAGATTTTTACATTTATATGGCACTTTTTCTCCAAGAGCTCAAAGAGGATCTACGCAATCCTCCTGCTATTTTTATCCTCACAGCAGTCCTTTGAGTTGGGTTAGGCTCCTAAATGTCTTGGGCTATCCCTGATAACAGCAGTATGCACTTTGCCATGATTGACACTGATTTTTCTTCTGCAGCGATTTTTGTTTGCTAAACTTTTTAGCCATATTACCTCTGCTCGGAAAGCCAGGAAATATGAAATCCCTCATTTCAGACTCAAGAAGGTGGAAAACATTAAGATCTGGTTATCGCTTCGCTCCTACCTGAAGGTGAGCCTAAGCTAAAAGCATTGACACCTCAGCCTAAAGCAGATTAAAATTGTAGACAGAGTCTCAAGCTATTGTAGGATTTAGGACATAAAATGTTGCAGTATGTATATCTTGCTCTCTCTGGACATGTTCGTGTACCTCTGCATTTTCTGTGCTCTAATTCATCTTGTTTACCTTGGCAGAGGCGAGGCCCACAGCGATCTGTTGATGTAGTTGTATCTTCCATCTTTTTACTGGCTCTTTCCATTGCTTTCATATGCTGCGCACAGGTAAGATTTCAAGTATTATTTACAGAGATGATACCATCAGTTAGAAAAGTAGGATTCCAACATTTGGGACTGGGGTGATGCAATTCTCATGTGAGGAATTCTCATGGTCCACCTCAGTTTTCATATGGGAGAGCTTTCTGAGAGTGTCCAGTAAAAAATCAACCACAGCAGAAGGCTTCTAGTTTCATTTTTCTTGGATTTGATACGTTCCCTACATGGAATGTCATTTTTACAGATAAATGGTATTTTCAAATAAATATCTCTGTGGAAGCTGATGTACTACATAGTCCTTGCATAGATTGTTCCTACTCAGTTAAGGCACAACATTTGATTGCCTTTTAAGAGACTCTCTCATATATTCGGGAAATTGGCAGGTTTGTGCTTTTTCTTTCACACAATGGAATGTACTTCATAGTGCTGCTCTGTTAGTGGACAACTGTTCATCCAGTCAGTTGTTCTTGAAGCATAAGTGCTTTTTCATAATACAAACTAATCTAAGTGACAGTATTGAAAATGTAGGACCTAGAATTAGTTTCATTAACATCAGTATGCTGCTTCCTTAATACTCTTTGACAGGGTTCACACAACAGAGCAACACATCATTGGTGACAAGCTATAGTGGGTTATTGACTTGTATGAACATAGATAATTTTGCATCCCATGGCTCGCTCTAGGGGTTGTTGGACCCAAAATGGGTTATTTGAAGCACAATGGGTTATCGTGTCATCAGATCCCAGCTGACCAAACCCATCATCAGTTCAGGGAAGTGACTAGCAAGCCACTTTGCAGATACATTAATGCTGATATTGCCAGTGATGCTACCAGTACCAGCCACTCCACCAATGCCCGAGCAGAATGATAGAATAACTATCACTAGTTCAGTATCCCCTGCCCTGACTGTAAGCCCCTCTTTGATTTTATTTAAAATTTTTCTATATGGTCTGTTATTTTCACAGAACATTTCAAGATGGTTTACAATCATAAATAAATGCTCCCCTCCATTTATGAGGTCACTGTTAATGATCTCTGAGTTGACAGTCTATGGCAGCCCTTCCAGAGTACTGAAATGGCACATTGGTTCTTCACCTTTTAATTTGCTGCCCAAATAGTTTTGTAACTGCTAACTTTTTTGCTGTCAGACTTCTCGAGGTATGCATCTCTACATTTTGAGGGTCCAGAATGGGCAGCCTTGCCTGGGCAAGTACAGCAGGCTTTTGCCATGGACATTGGCTCAGAGAGGCTGCAAAGTGGTTTATTTTTCACTTTGCTTTACACTGCCAGCTGTCATAAGGCTATCCATCAATGGAAGGCAAAGCTCAGCGTGAGCTTTGCTCACAAAATGAGGTGGTCAGTAGTAGTGGCAAGATCCACTACTTTTTTTGGCTGGACCTGACTCTTCTAAATATTCTGACTCATTTTCACCCTTTTCCAAGACATTAGGGGCGTGGAAAGGCCCTAATAGTACAGGCCACAACTTTCATAGAAACATGGAGGTAGATTGACAGTTATCAAAGTTCAGGCTTCCTTTTAAAATGAGGTCTTTAATGGGACTAATTAGGGGATTTTGATAGGGACACAGAAATATGCAAATTCCTGGGATACCAGCTGGAGAACAGTGGGGAAGGCAGCGGGAGAACCAGATCATCTGTAGCTTATTCATGGTGTAGGTTATTTGAGACACATGGATCTGCCCTTTACTTCACAAATGCATTTCCCCAAGCAAAGATCGACAAAGCAGTGTCAAGACATGCCAGGTTCTGTAATTAATAAGGTTTCTTGTTTATATGTTTTGTACTCTCAATATTTTATCCTTTTTTAATAAATGGCTTCTGGACTCCTTTTGGTTCAGTAAAATGCTGATGAACAAAACAAAACAAAACTACATGCAATCTTGCTAGGGCATTTCTAATTATCAGTTTACTCTTTCCCGGTGGATTAGTTCCTCATCATAGCTTGGTAGATTGGAAGGAGTTGCCTAGTATAAGATATAAATTAGTAATCGCTGGGGACCTAAAAGTTTAGTTGTCCTTTCTGCCTCTACTAAACCATCAGCTACAATGCACACTCAGTACTGTTAAGAAATGTTCCTTAACAGTCCACATCAGTACTTGTTCTTGTTGGTCAAACTGAGAAGGTTGGACCCAGAGCTACTCATCCATTGAAGGCAAAGGGATTTAGGTTAGATTAATAATGACTAGCTTAGGTCCCATTGATTTCAGTGTCTCTAAACATGACTAAGTCCAGATTCAAGCCAGAATGGTTAAGGGGCTTATCACAGTCATTTCTTAAACTTCTCTGGGTGGAAGCTTATCTTTATCCTGTAAAATAAATGTGGGAGCAGAGATTTGTATGAGAGAATTGGAAGGTCACGGTAGTGATACATAATCCTCCCTACCCACTGATCTCCTCTGCAAAGGTGGCTTAGACTGTAGAAGCATGAGCTATGAACAGCTGCCGGGGGAGCAATGTAAGGAAAAATCAGCAAGTGAGGGAAGGGTAAAGAGCCCCTCTTCTCACCTGCCAATTCTTTCTTCACCTCTCCTTCCATGCAGCTAGGAAAGTAGCCTCACCATCATCATTAGCATTTCTGTACTGCCGGATAGCCAAAGTTCTCATTATGGCTTTTGAGGCCAAAGGACAGAGGTGTTCTTGCTACACAAATGCATTGTGCAGAATTTACTCATGCTTCTTCTGCTTTGCAGAACTGTTATTGCAGATAGCAGAAGAGAACATTCTAGTCTGTTTGCTGATGCTGCTGTGTTCTTTTTCATAGGTTTTAAAAGGTCACAAGACATTCTTGAATGTAGCTTACAACTGGGAATTCCTAATCTGGGAAACAGCCCTGCTTCTCTTCTTGCTACGGTTGGCATCCCTGGGCTCTGAAACCAACAAGAAATATAGTAATATTTCCATTTTGCTCACTGAACAGGTATTTTTCATTGTATGCATTTTACTTACAACCACATGGGGAAAGCAGCCCTTAAATAACCCATGCCGCCCAGGCAAGCAATTAGGCAAATGGTACCCAGAACACACTGTGGCTTATACAAGCTTGTACAAGCGGTGGTGGTCATGTGAACTGAGACATTTTGTCTTCTATCAATTTTATGTTATTTATTTACCTCTAGATAAAGTTAGTAGAAACACCTTGCCAGTGTCAGTTTCTGATGTATGTCTGTAAATATCCATAATCTGTCTTCTGATGGTGAAGATCCTGTACAGTTCACAAGATGATATATTAAACAGTAGATACAGATTTTGCAAGTATAGAAGAGCAGGCTTGTTTTTAAACCAGGTATTCAGACAAAGGTCAGGTTTGTTTACATGCAGCTCTACAATTTTAATGTGCAAGTGTGAGATTTTGTCCAAGATTTCACTGGTATACAGGTATATTCGCTTTTAAGGAAAAAAAAACAACTTTGTACTTTGCAAGCACTGTTTGATGAAAACTGTAGGCAGAGAGCAAGAACTGTGCTGAACTTTTTCTCATTAAGTGGTGGGACTTCAGTGCCCTGTATAATCCCTTGCGAATTTGCCTTTTCCCCCAAAGCTACTACCTTGCTCTTTGAAGAACAGGGAATATACACAGCCTTGGCAAATTCCCATGAATATCTTTGCCAAACCATTCTTTAGAAGTGTGGATTCTTAGAAATCCTTTCTCTGCTAGCAAGCCTCTTAACATTTACTCCAGCCAGTGCACATGTTCATTCATGTATCCCAGATTTATTTGAAAGCTTGCCTTCCTAGGGTCTGTTATTATTCTTATCTCATACACATTGGGCTATGTTGCGAGTATAGGAAGTGCTGAGCATTTGCAGTTCCTTGTTTTGGTGATAAATTGTTTACTCATTCTTGGCTACGCAGGCAATTAATCCTTATATGTATTAATGCTTATTAATTCTTTAAGTATTTAAATTAATACCTTTTTAGCTGTTTGAGGGGTGCATCTAAGCAGTTTTTTAAAGCTCTTTGTGGGGAACATGTTTGTTCAACTGTCAAGGAAAAGGGCAAACACTGAGTTGCTGTGATTAATGTTTTCTGCTCCTTAGGTCTAAGGTTAGCTTTACAGAAGAATAAAGAAAAGTTGCTTGTGCTATAGCAGAACATACCTGTTGTTCTTACAGTTACAGAGCAGACACAGAGCAATGTGTGACTTTAGTAAATGTTTTAAAAAACCTCAATTGCAGATAAACTTGTATCTGAAGATGGAGAAGAAGCCAAACAAGAAGGAACAGCTCACTCTGGTGAACAATGTCCTAAAACTCTCTACGAAACTCCTGAAGGTGAGTAGGTAAGAAAAGTATGTAACCCTTTGCAGCAGTTTGCTTAATAATTATGTTTTCACTGGAATATAGCTGAAAGTATGTTGATAGTTCCATTACTAAGAAGGACATGAAACTGCTGCATAAAATTCCCTTTTCTTATTGTAGGAGTTAGATACACCCTTCAGATTGTATGGCCTGACAATGAACCCCTTAATCTATAACATCACACGTGTGGTGATCCTGTCAGCAGTTTCTGGTGTCATAAGTGATCTGCTGGGATTCAACATCAGAGTAAGTACTGACGTGTTTTTGCTGTGGATGTTTTCCTGAAAACATTAGCAGTGTGCATATTTTGTCAATTCAAGCAGACCACTGAAAATCAGCTGTTGTTTGCAGGAGCATCTCATATATTGTTTCAATAGAGCAGCTTATTAGTTGTTTGTCCTGCTTAGAAAAGCACTGATTTTCCACTTTCCATAAATGCGTAATACATCTTTTCAAAAAAATTCTCTCGCACTCTCTCTCTCGTTGAATATCTTTTCCCTATGTGAGTACATTTACTGTCCAAATATAATTAATTTTGCAGTTGTGGAAAATCAAACCATGAAGAGAGAAGGCCCCAAGCAAAGGCATAAGAATTAGAAGCAGTCCTTCATAGACACGTATGGCAGTTGAAGGTGCTTTCGAAATTGTGCCAGTTCTCACATCAACACAAATTTCATCCGCTCTTTGTGCATTCTCAAGACTTCAGAATAAATTAATTTATTCTCATTGAGCCTGTGGCTTGAAGAAATGGTTAAAGAAACCTTAGAAAATGGTGAGCTTGTAAAATAAAGCAATTTTAATGAAACAAACCTGCAGCTCCTGTGGAGTGCAGCAGCAGGACATTAAGTCTTGGTTGCAGCAGTTTTATGGTATGAAAAATGCCAATATTTGTCTGATCTAAAATGTCTTGTTCTGACAGTCGTTTGTAGCCTGAAAAGAAAAATGCATGCATGCTACATACATGTTGGATTCTTTCAGAGGCAGGTGGGCTACTTGTTACTTAAGTTCTGAGTTAGACAGGGCTTGTTTTTTTACAGAATCACTGTCTTTATGCTGCTGTTAACTTATTTTTAACTTTTCATTAGTGCCTCTGCTGAAAAGCCTTTTCTTGGATGATAGTAGGCTTCGCAGCAGAAGTTGCCATGGGACTCACCTATTGATGCTGATTTGGGAAGAGAGTGAGAAAATGAAATTCATCTCCATAATATGAATGCCTCTTCTTCAGGCATTTGCAGTTCAGGTCTCTAGTTGCTTAGTAACACACAAACAGTACCAGAAGGTGGCCTACAGTAGGTCTGCCACAGAGAGAGAGAACATTTTTCTGAATAATTAGCATTCTCCACATAACTTATTATATGAATGCAGACCAACCTATACAAGCAAAGCAAGCTCTCCATGAGAAATTACAGCAATGTTTATACACTACTGCAGAGAATGGGATTGGATGTTTTACATCATTTAAAAGGCACTCAGCCAGATTTTTGCTTGGATACATTATACTATCCATTGCTGGCATGTAGTCCTAGAGAGGCTATGGTTGGGGCACTGTAAGTCCCTGTTTGTTAAATCTTTGCACACAAGCTTTCCCAAGTAGGATACTTTGTCCGTGGCTGCTTCACCCATGGGAATTTTGTAAAAATGTAATGTGTATACCATGTGGAAAATCACATTACCACACACACACACACACACGGACTCCACAGCATCTTCCAAATGTGTATACATATCCATCTCTAGTTCTTCCAAGTCCACTTATGGAAACAGTGTAAATTAGTTTTACAAAAGGACTTGCCAAATGATACTGCCCAGTGGAATCTCATCAAGTATTGTATGCAGTAGTTCAATAGGATCTCCTTCAAACAATACACTTGTCTTAAATTTTTAAGTAGAGACACTGTCTCTAGAACATTCAAAGCCACATATATATTTTTTTTTTTACAAAATTGTTTGTATATGTGTAAACTGTTGGGAGTTTAAATACTGTTGATACAAGTTCTTTCAACTGAATGTTACCAACATGGGCAAATAAAAAGATCAAGGTAGACACTGCTGAGTTCTATTGTGTTATTTCTCCCCAAATGGAGATACGGCTGCTTGAATACTTGGATGTGTTAGCTTCACTTCATAAAGGAGTAGCTTTATACCTTGTACTAAAACACTGAGGTAAGTGGAATTAAATGCCAATTCAGGTATTATGTCAGCATAAAGTCTAGAAATTCATGCAAGGGGCACAGGACTGCACATATTGCCTCCCACCAGTATCAGATTCAAGCAAATCCAGGTGAAAGCTGCACTGCAGACTTTACTGAGCAACTCAAGGTGGTCAGACACTGAAGGGACACACATACCCCGTAAGTGACTGAACAAGGCTTAAATTCTGTCTGAGCAATAGTAAACATCTACAGAACCTACCTATTTACTTTGTCAACCCTTGGAGATTTGTAGAACTGTGACGGCAACGATCTCCCATCCATTCAAGATTTTAAAAAATCCAACCCAGCATTGTAATGTGTACAGCACCAAAAGGTGACACTTTAAAATATATTTAAATTACAGTAACCCAGAGGCTATGATCTAAAGTATCTTTTTAATGTTTCTATATAAAAAATAATGAGCGATTTACATGTCTTTCTAGTCAGAACCTCAGAAGTATATATAAAGGTGTGCTGTACAATATATAAACATTTACATCCAGTACAACCATAGTTTTCTCAACATTCCAAGGCCACATTGCTAAGTCATTTTATGCAGTTAAGTACAGGTACAAAGTCTCTGGACAGGAAGGTTCACATCAAACAAAGGACAACAAATTAGGTCACACCATTAAATGGTTGAACAGCATCTGGACAATGGTTATTTGTTGAAGAGCAGAAAAATAAACTATTTCAATTTTACTAAGTCATCTTGATATTTTCTGTAGTTATCATTCAACACTATTCTGTGATAAGAGTGCAGAAAACTGAAAGGATGCTTTATGGCATTTGTCAAGGGCATTAATCTACATAGGCTAACTCAAATATTAAATATTTTCACAGTAACATTCTACAATATTTGCACATATTTCCTACAGCAAGTTGGGTTTTTAATATGAGGGAGTGCAAACAATATACTTCAAACTCTATTTTCAGATGACAGCATTTAATCAGAGATGGTAAAGAAAACAAACACTTGATTCCATTTGCTGAGAAATGATCTGTTTGTTTCAGAAGCTTCACTCTAAATTCTTCTTCAGCAAACCCAAGTCAAAGGAATATGGAAGTGTTTTTTTTGAACTTCCTCTTCTGAACAGCACTTCCTCTGAGCTATGTTATAAGTTTTCAAAACTTGGGTGAACAAAGCAAAAAAAAAATGATGCTGTAAGGTTGGAAAACAACAACAAAACCTCTGCTGCATATGCACAAACCCATGCAAATTTGTGAGGGACTTCAGATTTAGAGTCATAAATCTTGCACAAGTTTTTTTTAAATAAAAGACTGATGTTCCAACATGATTTTCATTGGGCATCCTTGTATATGATACTGGCTGCCCATGAAGAATACCTGTTTGTAGAACTAACAGGTAACATTGCACTCTTCAAATTCCCACTTTTCTGTAACATCTGTAGTCCAGGAGGCACAGTTCTGCAACTCCTCCTACATTTGTTTCTCAGTGTGCTATCAGCTATCATTGCCCTCGTGATGGTCAGTCTGGGAAAAGGTGGGGAAGAAAGAGTGAATCGGCAACAAACCTTTCTGGGCGACCTGTGTGCGGGGAGTTACGTTATCAGCAGGTAGCTAGCATGCTAGAAAGCCAGTTGTCACTGGTGTCACTTCGTTGTGATTAAATTAGATTAGCAGGCTCAACCCAGGAAGAACAGTAACTTCAGGACAAAATCAGCACCAAAGAGCACCAAGGTACCACGACAATAGTAGGTATACATCTTCAAAGAGAATTCCTGAGTTCAGTCCCAAAATTATGCAGGAAAGGATTACAGGAGTTTCCCCCACAAACACTGCACACTTGAAGAATTCACAGCACTACCAGTGTCCTGGCCATTTGCCCCTTTTGGCATTCTGAAGTATGCATGCCAGCAGGACCAGGGGGAAAAAAACCCTATATGACCAATCTGGGTTTCATTTTATACCTGTTGGAAGTAATGGCTCTTAAGCCTTCAAAATCTTGCCTGTAGTTGTTACTAACCAGTGACATCTTTAGCTGCTTTCCACAATAAATCTGGGAAGTTTGATGCAAGCAAGAAAAATGAAGAGAGAAATAGAATTCTGAGTATAGGTGAGATTTGTACAGACAATCATTTCAGAAAAGCAATGGAAATTCCTTGTTGTCTCTGGGCAAGTGACACAGTTACATTCACTGCACAGCTACACATGCAAGTTGTCTCATGACAGTGAAAAAAGCAATAAAACTTAAGTGCCAGATTGGAAGCTGCTTTTGGTCTGGAGTAAAACTGATTAAAGGAAGAGTTCTTAATGTATCAAGGGAACAGGCAGGTTCATAATCAGATTCAGTGATTTTCTGAAATGTTGGGATATTATTCTGCAATAAGCCTTTACACGTTTTTTTCTTTTTATGAGGCTACATATTAAATAAGCGAGGGTTGTCAACTTCAGGCCAGCCTAGGTTTTTGGTCAGTTCCTCCAGGTTCCCTCGACTGCCAAAAGGGGGAAAGAGTGTTGGCAGTGTGACAGTTCTTAGGTCAAAGTTAACAATCTATTCTCACAGTACACACACTTATATTGTCACAGTGCTGGCTATGCGACTGGGAATTAGTTCTGACTTATCCCAAACCTTGAAGTAAAACACAACTCGCAAAACCCATTAATCAAACATTTTAGTAAGAAATGAATGCACACATTGCAGGCAAAGTTCTATTATAACATCTGCATTTGAGAAATTGTTGTCTGCACACAGGCAAAAAATAAGGGCTCAAGAAAGAAACCAGAGGGTGAAGGAAAGAAAAAGGAAGTTAAAAAAAAAAAAAACCCACGAGTAAATCTGCCAAGCTGGATCTGGGACCTGCTTTCCATAAGAGGAAAGGACTTTTAAAGAGTAGAAGGATTCTGCTACTGGAAGACCCCAGCACAGGATTTCTGAGAATACCTCCCTCCCTTCATGCTCCAATTGACCCCTTTAAAGGTTCCTAACTTTCTGACCTGGTTCTCAATGCAACAAGGCCACCATAGCCTTTAAGGGCTGTTGTGCTGGACAGATGTGAAATCCGCTTTTGCATGGCAGCAGCAGGTGTCCAGGTTGCCATGGCTTGTTGGATGATGTGAGCCCAGGAGGTAAATTATGCCATCATGGGTTTTTGTGCTGTGTGAACTGGCTATCTGTGTATCATTTTCAGGTAGCTGGAATCTCCCTGATGGGAAGGAAGGGGTGGCAAAGTCCACCTCCACCAGCACAGCTGTTCTAATGTAAACCTAGATCCAACCCATAGCAAAGAACAGAAAGTCTAGAAAAAAAAATGATACCTGGGAACAAGGCTAGAAACCTGGAAGAAAGTGGACTAATACAATATATGGGAAATTAAACTTTTAAACTACACCATGATTTAGCGTAATGTAGTTTTCTATAAGAAACAATCTCTGAAAGGATTTTATTCAGGGTACACATGGATCCACATATTCTCTTTTTGTTTTCTGTTTTCAATTAAACCAAGGAATAGTAGTTACCTTAGCTCAACTCAATGGAAGGCAAATCCACACAGAATTCTTTAAAACCCTAAGGATTTCATTTTTTACAGTCTGACATCTTTCCATCCTCACCCCAGTTACCTACCTGTCAGGGGTGCAAACTGTGCTCCACTGTTAACATTTCCCATTATCTTTATTTACACACATGCAGAAACAAGAGAGAAGTTTCATGGGTACTATTTAAAATTAGCAATTTTACATACAAACATGGAAAGCAAAATATAAGAGGCTTCTATTAATAGGCACAAGCAAGGACAATTTGTAAGAAGTTGACTTTGGTGGATTGATTCTAGTTTACTCTGCTTGCCAAGATTTAAGATCTTCAATTTTTAGGCAAAGCAGGAAATTTTCAAGTGTTTAGCCAGCATTAAGGGGGGAAAAAAACCAAACCCACACACACATACACAAATGCAACCAAACAACAGATGGGAGATTCTGACAAACAGCATGACAGAAAGCTTGAAAACATATGCACTCTCCGCGTGTTTAATTTCTAATATTAAAGTGTTCATTGAAAAAAAATTAAAAAGTTCAGGGCATAATTTCATAGCAATCCCAAAATCACTTATTTCTATGCAGTCTCACTGAAATTGATAGAACATTCTGTGGTGATTTCAAAAGCGCTCAATTTTCAAATTTAAGTTGGTATCGCATGTTAAGGTTGGCATCAGTAATTCAAACAAAATTCTTAAAGAGCAAAACAACCATCTATCAGACAATCTACAGTCCTGTTTATAGTTATTTTGCTGATATTGACGTATTTGGGGAGAGGGAGAAGAGTTTTGTGAAAAACGCCTTTGGGGTATCTTTGCTTCCTGACTTCACTGAGCCAAGAGAACCAAGCCCACCCAACTTCTTGCTTGAGCAGTGAAAACTCAGAAGTATTCCCTATGTAAACATGCAGCATGCCTGAATAAACACTCGTTTTTAAACAAAACCCTTTTCTGTGGCAGTGGAAAATGCAGGAGAAGATTCAACAGGATACAGTAGATAACTTGGCACAAGAACAAGTACTGAGTCATGATTATACTAATAATAGGCATTAAACATTTTTGTTCATTAACACACAACACTATCAGAAAGCCTTAGCAGTGCAACATCAGGAGCAGCAGGACACCACCTTCAAAGGGGGGAAAAAAGGACAGCAGCTTCTGAAAAGAGTTTCTCATATGCAGTCCAAAAGGTCCTTCATGCAGCCTAATTACGATCAAATCAAATGTACTTTTCCAATCTGTCAATCACAGTGTCTGGAAAAAAGCAACAGTTTTGTGAAAAGAAAAACTGTTTCAATGACCACATTAGAAACCTGATTAAAATATGTTCTAAAAAAAGTTTGTCAGTCAAACCCGTTTGTCAGTCGAACCCGTTGCTTTTGTGACTCTACTTGCACTTGGTACCTTCCAAGGTCCAGGTGTTATTGTTTTCTTCACTGGAGATTGGCTCTCATATTTAAAAATTCCATCCTCTTTGGTTTTATCAGCTGGCTCCAAGTCATTGTCTGTGGATTTGTTTGGAACAGGCTCTTCTATTTCGAGTCTAGTGTGTTTATCTCCAGAAAGTAGGGAATTATCAGGAAGACCTGCCATTTTGATTTGATTAGAGCTTTTTGTTTTCTTGTCTTCCAATGCTTTCTTCCTAAGTTGATTAGTCTTAGAAAATGGAAGAGATTGCTCCCCTGGGTTGGTATGTGTTGTCTCTGAAGGGCATTTCTCATCCTTCCTAGATGTGTTTTGCTTTGTGATTTCTTTCATGGGCCCTAATTTCACTGTTTCATCTTTTAGCAGTACAGTAGTGTTTTTATCAGCAGCAGATGTTCTGCTTTGAATTTCTATGAACTCTTCATCTGTGGTCAGATTATCTTTACTTCTGTCTTTCTTTGGATATTTCTGGGGACTGGCAGATCTATCCCTCTTTTCCTTGGCAGGAACTTTTCCAGTATCTACATGCTCAGAGCTTCCCAGGTGCTTGTTTCCCTGCCTTCTGGGACTTTGTGGTTGATCTAAGCAATCCTTGTTTGTGTTCTTAAGGTTACCCTTTTTAGGGCTCTTGCATGCTGCTTGATTATGGCCTCTGAAAGTACTATTGCTCAACTTTTTGGGACTAGCTGATCTGCCTCTTCTGGTTGCATTGCCCATTGCTAACTGTGCAGTGCTATGCATCACCTTATTATTTGTACTGGAGGAATGGTCCCCTTTGTTCACATTTCTTTGCGTAGAAGTTGCATTCTTTACTTCCAAGTGGTTTTCCATTAAAGTGCTTTTCTTTTCAGGCACAGTGTTCCTCAGTTCTCCCAGTTTCTCAGACATCTGACCTTTCATTAAAGCTTCTTCTGATCCTGGCAAATGAGATGCTTCGTATGTGGAAGCAGGATGTGAGGATGAAGGTAGTGGTGTCTGTTCACCATTTGTTATACTTGAGGACATTGGATTAAAACTATCCAGTTCACCTACATCAAAACAAGGAAAGATATGCAGCTAAACAATAAGGGTGCATTAATATCTTAAAATTTTAATGCTAAGCTCTGGAGAAACATTAGAAAAATCACACTATAGGAAACAAACATATGTTTCTATATGGCCTGACAAAAATGGAAGATTACAGACTTTAAGCCATACATTCTTTTACTAATTGCTGTATCTAATACATACTGCATCCCATCTCTTTTGGTAACCCAGTCACTCCCCTTCACCACAAAATCTTTCAAGCTATTTTAACCTAAATCATCTTAGTCAATCCCATTCCCATTCATTCTACATAGCAATGCAAAGAACAGAAGCTTTCACCCCCTTGCAGCTGGCCATTTTATTCTCATCACATCTCCTGGACCTCTGTTATTTTACCTACCCATCAGCCCTGTTCCTACCTCTCAAAACCTCAGTGACATAGAGCCATTCTCAAGGTTTGCACCAGGCCACAAGTTTCTAGCTGAAATGGGCACCCGGGCTAAGCAAAGGGCAGCTGCCAAATGTTCAGCAGTTTTATTCACCCTGCTCACTTACACTGGTGTGGTGGGATGGAAGAAAATGGGACATGGCAGACATCCTCTTATTTACATTTTAAAGTTTCATCCAAGCCTGTAGAAAAAATTGTGTATGATGTATGCTAAGTGGGGTGGGTGAACAAAAAAGAGACAAAGCCTTAAAATGGTGTTGCACTATGCAAGGAAATGTAATTAAAAGATACAAAGCGCCTAGCACATTCCTTTCTAAGAAACAAATCGCATGACCAACTAGAATTTTCCAATAAGGCGCTGTGTCTCTAATTCAGATTAGAGACAAAACCCTTAACTATATTCTAATTTAAAAGGATGGCAAATAATACATTCGGCATTTTGTATTTTTTATCAAGTTTTTCTACATATTTCATCAACAAATAGGCTTTGCCACATTTTGTCATTTCCTGCATTTTGGTGATGCGCTCTCATGCTTTTGGAGAGAGGGTAGCCACAATCAAAAAAGATTTCCTTCAGATGTTCATTGTAGGACCAAAACTAGCACCAGCAATCTAAATCACAAACACAGGGATGTACTGGAATGACAACACCATCTTTTCTGGCACAGAAAGGGCTTGTGGCATCTGTAGTCCTGCATGGGGAATTTAAGGCTCTTAAAATAACTTTGTATTGGCCACAGCTACATTTATTGCAATTCATGTCAAAAGAAAACTGAAAACGGGAGAGTGAAAAAAACTATTATTCAAAGCAAATAAAAAGAGGTCAATCACAAGACATGCAGATTTACCAAGTCTTTAAGGAAAGACCAAGAAAAGCACTGAAAGCTTTAATGCTGCTCAAGTTTCACGTAGGAGCACAAACTGGAAGGAGCCAAACCTGAGGGAGGAAGAGAAAAAGCCCAGGACTACATACCAAAATTATAGCACACAGCAAAAAGATTTAATCAGAAATGTATGATTCACAAGCAGAGTGCAAGAGCGCTGACACAGTGAGAGTAATGCTTGAGTAACTGGAGAAATAAGAAGAGGAGTCTCAGCTGACAACTACTCTTTCCAAGGGCAGCATCCTAGCGGAAGCTTTAGGCTACTTTAGGCTGACTATAGGTTGGTTCTTATTAATTTCCATAAACATATTTCCAAAAGTGATTAACTGGTTGGTCTAATAAAACAGATACAAACAGAGGATTATGAGAAAGAAAAAGGGAGAGGAAGGAAGATTCTGCTGCTTTTTAATCTACTCCACTAGACTGTGAGAAAATGAAGAGAACAACTGTCTTTCTAATAGTATAAACTCATCAAAACGCTGAAAGTTTGGAAGCTTGCTTGTATTTTTGGTCTAATTACTAGACTTCTTTGTTAGGGAACTAAACTCAATTCATCTAGACATCCAATTTTATGTAAGAAGGGCTCTGCCACAAAATAATTTTTTTTCCATGAAGATAAAAACCACATGAGGCATCCAAGCGAGGTGTGATGGGTGAGAGAGCCTTTTTAGTGGTAGCACCCTGGTTCTAGAATGCTCTCTCCAAACACACTTGCCTAGAAATTCTTTTCAGCCCCAGGTACAAATCTTTTTAGTTTTCCTGGATATATTTTAAGGAAAGTATTTCTGGGATTTTAGGGTCTGTGAGACTTTTGTGTGTTCTGTTATATTGATGGTATTCCCTGGGCTAGATTTATCATACATCAAAATTCATGGTTTTCTTTTTGCAATAGACAATTGGAAGCTGCCCAGGCAACTTTTGTTATGGGCACATTTCAGTAAGTAAAATAGAGCTGGGGAAGCTAGTTTGGTCAAGGAGCTGAACTGTTCTAGAGACAAATAAGGCAGGTCATCAGCGGGTGGAGCTATATGGCAAAGACAATATCCTGACATCATCTGCTCTATGTATTTTGCCTTTCTCACTGGCCCTCACTGCTGTAGAAAAGATCACAAATATTTAAACAGGAAATAGATGCCACTTTCTTGAATCTGAACTTTCTAGTCAACCAAATGTTTTGGCTCTTTCCCAGACATCAGTATATTAAGCTGGATTGCACTGGCAGCATCAGCGGCAAAAGACACATGCATACAGACATAGCATATCTGAAGGATTAAATTATTCGGCCCTTAGAGCACACACTGCTGCAAAACCAAATCATGCCACTGATGAAAATTTATTTTGGAGATTTCTTGGACTCAAACCATCCAGCCTTGTGTCAGAATTCTGACACTCTTCTGACTGCCAGTTAGCTCATCAACTTGTACTTTGCCAAATTGTTTGGAAAAAGCCACTGAGTTACAAATTAGAACTATTGTTCCATCAAATATTACTCCTTAGAAAAAGTATGTGTTGACAATTTTTATTTAGTAAATTAAAAACCCAACAAACATTTAGCATTCTGGTTTGAAACATTAACCACTGATTAAAACATACAAGAAACACTATCTTTAACTGTAAATGGTAAAGAGAAGGTGACTCCAGTAACATGTGACTTAAAATGCCATTTATGAAAAGATTCTGTGGGCATATATGAAAGAATGAATCATCTGTGTAATTTTTCGAAGAGAATACTGGATGACCAGGATTCAACAGAAATATAGGGACCTAGTATTCAAAATATTCTGGAATGATTACATGACCAACACAGTCAAATAAAGCATTTTTCTATTTCCATGTTCATGGAACTGCACCTTGAAGTCACAATGTGAATGGGAAACAAAGTATATGGAAAAGTCAAAATAATTTAAAGTGCATGAGGAACTTTGTGTCAACACCAGAAAAGATTGTTTATAGCACATCCAAGGCATTTCATAGGGCACTTCTTTGGTTTTGCTACACATAGTTTGTCTTACTGACAAGACAGATGAATGCCTTCAGGTTCCAGATAAATACTAGGAATATGCTGGAAAGATGGAGATCTGGGTAGGGAAACTGCTGGACTCTAGATGTTGCTGGAGTGCAACTCCCATCACCCCAACTGGGACTACCACAAGTTCTCTATCCCAATGGAGATCATGGAAAGCAAAATACCCTGTAAGATTTTAACCTTTTCATAACTGCTTATGGAGTTAAAAAGAAAGCTGGACATCAGAAAGCATAACAACATAGGATAAAATGTTAACTGCTTTTCTCTTTCAGAAGGCAAGGACAACACGTTTAATGGCCTTTCCAAGACTAAACTTCTGCTCAATTTCAAGATTTAACTTCCATCTTGATATAAATTAAATCTGAACTAATCAAAATGTGGTGGCTTCTACTTTTAAACTCACAAGCAAAGGAAGAAATGTAATTTAATAAACTGGAGAAAGACTAGTGAAGCATATCATTCAGAAAACTGCCTGGGAAGTGAACTATATAAAAGGCAAGTGGATATTCATTGGTTCTAAGATAAGCAGATGGATTTGACAGCTCTTCCTAAAGTCAGGAAAAGGACCATCAAGGCAGTTACAACTTTCATTTCTTTGAGTATCAGAACGGAAGCCAGAAGGAATTCCAAGAGCACAGGCATCAGTGGGGAGGAGGTTAGTTGCTAACCACCTTGTACTTTTGATTTTTAAACAGAAGATGTTTTATTCTCTATGTAAGGAAGCTTCAGCCAAGGTTGAGGCACTGGCATTATAGTCTTATATAAATGAACATTTAGGCTGCTCTGCATGTACACTCTAAGAGTTAGTGGTAAACATGCAGAATTCCCTCTCCCCTTTCTAAGGCAACACAGTATCTTATTTCCTTGGAAAATCATATACAGTGTCAACTATCTGCACCTGGCTATTTTCTTTTGACATGGAAAGGACATACATCCAACTTCTCCTACTTATTCTTCTTAGGGTGAATCAGTGAAGAACTGAAACCTATTGAGAACCACTCCATCCTTGTGGAAAGTTATTATGGGGTAATCTTTGGATCTTTTACCAATTTATCCTAACCCAGCAGCTTATTTCTTTCAATAAGAAGTAGCTTTGCATGAGGAAATAATGGCTCTTCCTGAACCATGCTGATTGGTTCCCTGTGTCTCGCTCTGCCGTTCTTTGCAATCTCCACCTGAAACGCTTTCCACAGGTGATGCAGATAGAAGCTTTACAAGGATAAGCAGCATCACTACTTTTCTTGTGGGCTGGTGGAGGGTAGAATTGTTGTGAATACCTCTGCTAGCTTGGGTCTTATAGAGATACCTCATTTCCCTGATACAGGGAAGCATGGAAAAAGAAAGTACAGAACAGAAGGAGGGAATGGGGAAACCTCCTTCTAGATAGCAGTGGACATTAGCAAAACATACCAAAGCTACACTGAACCTTCTATATCTGAAGGCAGCATTAAAACTAGGAAGACAGTCAATGCTTGTTGGACCAGTCTTCTGAAAAGCTCCTTAATGCTCTCTTAACACTGAAGAATAGCAGCTTCCTCAGCATACCATACAGGGTAATATAAATATGCTCTCCCATTTCCCTACCCTGCAAACTAGCTGGCAGTCCCCACTTCTTACCATGATCTGGTATTAAGCCAGTTCCTGGTCGCAAAAGGAGCAGAACTTTATTTCCTCCAGATTGAATCAATTCGATTGCTCGAGTGTGGGTGATTCCTTGGGTTGGTTCTCCATTGATTTCAACAATCTGATCACCGACCTGAGAAAGACAAGCATCCACATTAAGCTACACATAACATTTTGAATGCCAACCTTTAGTACCAAACCTATGTATTTTAAAATGTATCCTGTTTTATCATATTCAATTTGAGTTAACTAATACTATTCATATAAAAATGAAAAATTGCAGTCCCATAGCATCATCCATCTCTTAATAAAATCTTGATTACTAACTGGGGACTGCTGGAGTTGACCGTTTTTCTGGATGCTTTGAAAACACTTTACACTCTATCGGATGTCACCTGCATGAGCACTGATGCTAAAGGCCAGCTATGGAACTGGTTATGGAACTAGGGTGGCATTAAGATTGTGCAATCTAAAGATCATGGTGCATATTGCAATTTAGTGAACTGACCAGCAGATGTTGCTGTTGCATGCAATGTAGTTGAGGGGCACAAAGACCGTCTGTGCGCATGTTTTAAGGGCTATACAATTACTTTCTCAAGCACATTTCAACCAATCCAGTGTTTCTGCCCAATACCCCGGGGAATAATGAAGGAAAGGGAGCAGATTCCATTTAAATGTGGGACAATGGTCTTTCAATCTAGTAATCTGGAGCAGTTTCTTGATTGATGAATGGGAACAACTCACAAGAGCTGTACAAAACTATCTATTTACAGTGAGGTTGAAAAGCCATTTTGAAGTAGAAACTGAGTTCGTTTCAGTGGAAGCATTCATTTAGACAGGAAGATTGTATATTTGTAGGAGCTAGTACAGGACAGCTCTTGAGGCTCAGATTCATAACTGGCTTCAAGTTGCATTAGTCTGACTGCCTATTGTCCAATTAAAGTCTCTCTCAGACTTCTATAATAAAAACTGTGGAAGCAATGCCCCAACAGTTGCATACTACAAGTTGCAAAGCTGCATACAGTTTCCTATAAACAAAATAAGCTGCTGCTAGTATACATATATTTGCCAGCATAATTTTATGAGTCATAAACTGATCACCAAATAAAAACTGGCATATCACATTAATAAAATTTACTTAAGTACAGTTATATATTTCAAGTTACATTGTTCAAAAGACTCTTGAGAAAGAATCCAGACAAAACTCCAGCCAGTCAAAGTAAATACAATGCATGTAGAGGTGTTCACAAAGCCTTTATTTTTGTTATGAGAATCAGGCAGTCAAAACGGCTGCTCTGAGAAGGTGATGGTCAAAAAACGAGGATTTTTTGTGAGGTGAGTCACATCTCAAATGTACTCAAATGTGTGTAGTCTTAATGGATAGTGTGCTGGTGTTTAAGCCTTTATAACTTATAGCTAAGATTTCTACTGTTTAAATGATCTAGGGTTCAATCCAATGTGCGTTTGGACAGAAAAAGACCTATAGTATGTAGGACTGTTATCTTTCCATCATAACATGCATAGGATTGTATCCCTACAGACTTAAATATATTTTTCAGGTACCAATACTAAGAAGAGCTATACTGTGATCAGGTGAGGTAATTCTGTGCACAATGATTTATTTCCATTGCTTGTCTACTATCCCATTTATTCCAGTGGGTCCTGACCAGGGGTCCTCAAACTTTTTCACCAGGGGGCCAACTGAAACGTGCCGGTGCTGGGCGTGGGCCGGAAAGGTGGTGCCAGCGTGCGTGCGTGGGGAGGCTAGGCAAGGCGGGGGCAGGCATGTGCTGCGATGCAGTGGCGGGCGCGTGATGCTGCGGCTTGCTCGCTTGAAGACCGTTTGCTCTGAGCGAGTCCAAAATGATCTCCTCGTGAGCAAGCTGCTGCCTCCCTGTGCAGGGGGCAAGGTGGGCGGCAGTGGGTGCACACAGTGCGTGCATGGTGCACAGGTGCGTGCTCGGTGTGTTAAAAACCTCTGAGGTGGGCCGGATAAATGGCCGAGGTGGGCCGGATCTGGCCCCCAGGCCATAGTTTGAGGACCCATGGTCTAGACTAAGGAGGACTAATATGGGATACAATTCTATATCTGTGTCTTTGCAGTAAAACAATATATGTACTACCATTGTCAAGGCAAGAGTAGCTCTTAAACTGCAAATTTAGACAGCCGGTGTGATATACTGGTTAAGAGTGCAGGACTGGGACTCAGGAGATTTAGGTTCTAGTCCACACTCAGCCATGGAGTCAACTGGGTCACTCACTGAGCCAGTCACACACTCTCAGCCCAACCTATCTCACAGGGTTACTGTTGTGACTGAGTGGAGGAGGAGAATTATGTAAGCTCCCTTACACTGTGCATTCCTTGAAAGGAGGGCTATGTATATAATATATAAATAAGCTGAGATCTAAACTGGTACAACCATGATATATTTTCTCAGCCATTTATAAAACAGTTACAGTATTTTACCTACACTGAATGAGCCTTGCATGAATTAAAATTTTAGAGATATTTAGAATCTATTTAATTAATTTCTATTCTGCCCAATAGACAAAAATCTCTAGGAGATACATGCATTCACTAACACTAAGGAAGACATAATACCTGGGACAAGACCTTTTAAAAAGATAAACACATTTACCTTCTAAAACCCATCCTTAGTAGCAGCCTAAAAATCCCAGTCATACTGTTAAAAGCTCATTCACCAACTTTATGACACATGTGATAACATTACCTTGTTCCTGTCTACATGTAAGAAATCTCTGCGTGAGAAGAGAAATGGATTCAAATCTAACATAAAATGGCAAAATGCAGTATCAGTAGAAAGGCAATATAATCACCAGCAACTGTTCTTGTGAATGGGTCACTCTGTTCATGTTTTATAAACATTTTGGTTCCATTTACAATGGGTCTTTTAGTTCTACCATGTGCACTTTTTATCTGTCATAGTATCTCTAAGTAGGCTGATGCATTTGTGTAGTAGCTGATGTGTTGGATCCTGATGCAAACTGGAAAGAAAATCCTGGATCCAATCCCATATTATATTTAAGTCTGCTGATCGAGGATAACATTTTGTATACTTGACAAAGCGGACTGCAATCCATGAAAGCTGAAGCCTCAATATGCCTTTTAAACCCTTTTAAAGGCATAAACAATATGCCTTTAAGGTGTTACAAGCCTTTGTTGTTTTTCTGGCATGGAATGACAGCTCTTCCTCCAATATCTAATTGACTAATTTTCCAATTAAGCAGGTCAGGCAACCAGTTTCTCAGTTATGTTTAGATTTAGCACCTCCTGAAACATCTACATTGACATTATTTTTAAAAAAGATGGCAGAAAGTGGACGACAAATTCCCGAAGAGCACAAAACACCATAAAATGTCTAGAAAGAACTTTCCAAAACAGCAGAGTTAAAAACCGCCACCATCACCACCCAAGAACCAAATGGCTACTCCTCCGTTCTATGGCAGAGCAGTGGTACAAAGGGAAAACGGAGAAGCACCAAGCCTAATACTTCAGCCTTAAACACTTGAAACACAGTCAAAGTCTTGAGAGACATACATATTTGATTCTACTGGTAAACTCAACTGGGAGAGAGACAGAGTGAGTGCAGCCTTGTTGAAACTGCTGAACCTCTTGGCAGCTTTTGATATCATTGACCATGATATTCCTCTGGAGTGGCTGGCTGAGATGGGATTAGGGGGCACTGCACTGCAGTGGTTCCAGTGCTACTTGGAGGAGCATCTCTGGAAAGTGGTGCTTGGGAAATATTGTTCAGCCCCCCAGATTCTCCAGCATGGAATTTATCAAGGGCCCGTTCTTTCCCTCATGCTATTTAATAGCTACATGAAACCTCTGAGTGGGGTTCTGGTGCGTGCTACCCATGACATGCAGCTCTACCTCTCCTTTTCATCATGCAGGTGAGGCAGTAGATGATGCTAAACCAATGTCTAGCTACAACAATGGATTGGAAAAATGCAAACAAACTGAAGCTCAATCCAGTCAAGAGTGAGAGGCTGCTGGTGGATAGTTCCTCTGACCAGATGGGGGTGTACAACCTGACCTAGATGGAGTCGCATGCATGCAAGGGAACAAGTTCATAGCTTGGGGGAGCTCCTTGATCCATCCTTGTCACTTGAGGCTCACATGGCCTCAATGGCTCTGAGTCCCTTCTACCAGTTTCATTTGGTGGTCCACTATGTCTCTATCTGTACAGAGATAGCTTGGTTACAGTAGTCTATGCTCTGACAATCACTGCATATTTTTACTGCAACGTATTCTATGTGGGGCTGCCCTTGAAGATTGTTCAGCAGGTGTAGCTTGTGCAAAATGAAGCAGCCAGATTAATAACTGGGACCCAGAGGCCCAAAAACGTAAGACCAGTTCTGGCCTACTTGCTGCCTGCTTGTTTGCTTTCACATTTAATTCAGTGTGTTGGTTTTAACGTATAAAGTTTTACATGGCTTGGGATCTGGGTGCCTCTTGTGACTCCAATCTACTTGATTGGATTGATTAGGCACTCAACCTCTGGGCATTCTCCTGAGTGCCAATTCTGAGGGAAGCTCAGAGAGTAGCAACAAGAGGAGTGCTTTTCTCTGTGATGGCATTCTATCTATGGAATGGCTATGGGGTGGTACAGAAACAAGCAAACAAACAAACACTTCTCCTTTAGAAAGTCCTGCTTTCTTAATTGGGAAAGCTTTGGTTACACTTAAGAACTAAGTGCCTAATTCAGATGCAAGGGAGTAACAACAAAATAGCAGCAGTGCTTCAACCCTTGGTGCTGCTTGACGTGCTATAGTATTTTGCAGATTTCAGGCCTGAACACCACATGAAGCCGAGAACAGCACTGTAGGGACAGAGAACAAATCCCAGGCCTGCAAGGCATATAGATGAGTAGCCAGTGGTTTGCACTGCTGGAAGTAGGTTTGAGTTCAACTACTTAGGAGCAGAACTGGTTCTACAGGTAAATAAGAGGGTTTCTGAGCTCAAGCTAGAAAGACCTGGTTGCAAAGGAAATGTTATTTGAAGTGCTTCAAAATGCCGCCATAGGAAAAGCTCAGCATAAGCGCAGAAAGACTGAGCAGCTGGACAACTGGATGGATGCTTCATGTCCAAGTTCTCCCTCTCTCCAGGGACTATAAGCATGCATGACTGCATAAACTGGACACAGCTGGTCAGGACAAAAACTCTCAGGCAACTCTTCTCCTGGCCTGTATCTTACTCCTCCCCCTGCATCAGATGATGTCACATTTTTCAAATGCTCAGTGTGTTACTGAGCCAAGCAGTTGCTTAAACCTTAGACGTTTACATCCCATCTACTAATATTTAAAATATATATACTACATTTATTACTGGATCAGAGGAATCACAGGGTACTCTCATGTCCTAGGAGTAACTGTGCAAATTCAGCATTTAAGAAAAATCTAAATTAGAATCTGCCAATTAAAAGTAGCATCCTAATAAGGGACATTACCAAGATGAAGTATAGGACTTATTCCTAGAAAGACTGTTGGTGCAGATAAATCCTTAACAAGTACACAAACACGGGAAATAACTCTTTGTGATCTAAAGAATACAAGGAAGAGTGACAAAAGCAAGAAACCTAATCAAAAAGTTGTATATTTAAAAGTCACCACATTTCAGCTTAAAGAACTCTGAGTTCTACCTTTCAGAAATTAAAGCCAACCAAATACTCACATGAATTCTCCCATCTTTAATGGCAGGCCCTTCCTCAGCAAGCCGGAGAATGAACAATCCCATGTTATACTCCTTCCCCCCACGAAGGCTAAATCCAAAGCCCCGAGGACTTCTCTCCAGTTCAACCGGATAACATCCAGGGCTCTGGGTAGCAAACAAGAGAAGGCAGGATAATTTCCTAAATTCAAAGCAATATCTAATAATATAATTGCATTTTTACTCCAAGTTAATCATCATCTCTAATTTTATTTGCTCATTTCTGCTGTAATTCTACATGCAGAACAGATACTCTTCCAAAAAGAAAAGAATTTGCATTTTTCAATTTCTGCAGGACTAAAGCCCAGGCCTAAAACACTGCTTAAAAGGGCTGGTTGGAATTTCTGTAGAATTATAAAAATGTGGCTTTTCTTCTTTTTGTTCCTTATGAACAATTGGAGCACTAAAGGCTTAGTGAGAAAATTAACAGTTAGAATTATTAGATCATTTCAGTATAACTAGTTAGGGGTAAATGAATGTGAAATATCTAGAATGAACATGTGGTGATAATTGCAGTTCTTTATCGAAAGTGGCCATGGTTTCTTTTACAGATAGAAACAAATGCAGGCTCTATGAAAATGCACAGCATTTTAGAGATTTGGACTCTTCATTTCCTCAGCAGACTATTAGGCCTTTTGGTACACTCTCATTTTCTATTCCAGATTGAACCTATTCACTTCAAGAACCAATTGATCCTCAGCCTCTCTTGAAGCAGAAAGAAGCTGTTACTGAAATGTCCTCCCCTCGCCAGAAGGCAAAAGAATAAATGCATCCTGTTGGGGCTGTTTCCAAACAAGTCTATCTTTCCCCTCAAAATCCTCAGTGGAAGCTCTGCAGTCTAGAAATTCAAATCAACCACAGAATACGTATTTTGTTGTTGTCTCCTTTAATAGCTAGACTCAAATGCATGAAGCATTTGATATACAGCAAACCATGAGGTAATTTTAACATGGTGTCCTTGGAGTTCAATGCAAGAAGTTTCACAGGATTTTATCAGAAGTCCAGCTCTATGCAGCAGAAATTAAGTGAAACTAAGTTATTCCCCCCAGAGAAGTATATACCTGAGAATGTTTGCTCCCTAAAATAGATGCTATATCTTCTGATGGTAAGAACTGTTTGTAACCGCTGCATTGTTCTTTTCCAGCATCAGCTTCTGCTGCACCTCTGAAATAGAAGGAAGCAAAGGGATAGCTAAAATGGTTGCTGTCCATGAACCCCGAAGGGAGTTAGGATAGATTTCCAGAGGATTTCACCAGACCTGAGCCCGGTTCTTGACTCTTCAGGGATACTCTTTCATTTATAAAAACCAAACAAGTGCTATATATCTTTGTACATGTTGCATGCGTTTTAAGTTTTTGCACTTTGCATGCAAGTGGTGTAGACTTAAAAATACAAGATAAGGAATTGACAAGACAGTATACAGCAGCTTCCTTGGATGAATAAGGGTTGACAGAGCCACACATGCTCCAAGAATACATGGCCCAATACAAACTAAGGGGATATTCTGGTGGATTTCTTAGGGTACAATCCTAAATTCCTGTTTACACAAAAGGAAGTCTTACAACTCCCAGGAAGCTGCAAACAGGCTTTTCCCTGTCTAAACAGGAATTGGACTGCACACTCTCAGAGTTTTTGTCCATATCCCATTAGTTAGCCAGGACAGTCTCCATGCAATAATGACCATAGCAGGTTTCTTCTAGATGAATAGTGCTACAACATCACCACAATATTAAATTAATATGCTGCCTTTCTTCTTCTTGCCAGCAATCCAGGATGACTTCCAATGGCCCCTTCTCCACTTTATCCTCACAACAACAACCCTGGGAGGTAGGTTAGGTTGAGCGTCTGTGACTGCTCCAGTCACCTAGTAAGCTTCAGGGGTGAGTGGGGACTAGCACTTGCATCTCTCAGATCGAAGGCCAACACTACCCACCATGGCACATTGACTGCATGGGACCTGAAGGATACAGTTTTGGTTATTTACAATTAAACAGATTGAAGCGATTTTTCATAGATGCTCTTTAACCATTTATCTGTTTAATTTCTGTTTACTGTCAGTACAGAAATAGATCTAGTCAGAAAAATTCTCATTTTAATATAGTCATTAAGAATCCATCTGCCAAAATATTATGGTCACAGGAGGTAGGGGGTATCAACAATTATTTTTGTAATCCTTATGCAACCATGCAAGTACCACATTAGTTAAATAGCTTAAAGATACTGTTTCATCTGGGCGGCAAACACTGGAAAATTCTACAAGAGAGAACATATGAATCCCCTCGAAGAACAATCTGTGGAGACTTGGGGGTGTTTTTTGTTTGATTCTATGATATGCCAGTTTCGCAATATACACATCTAATGAATGCAATACAACAAGCAATGTATGTTTGGGAGAAAACAACTATAGCAACCAAGAAGAAAATTCCACAACTTTGGGTATGCACAAATAAATGACAACATTAAGGTTACTAGATGAATCAATACTATTCCAATGGTGCCAACTATAGTGAAAACTGACTGCAAAGATCAGTCTCTTACATGTATGGAAACTGGAGGGCATTTGGCAGTCCTACTAGTCTTCATTTCTTCCATTTTTTACAACTTAAGTTTTAATTTAGCCTTCTTTCTTGTGCACTATGTTTTCTCTCAAGAATTAAATTTTCTGCATAGAAGAGCATTTAAACAAGCTCTGTGGACTGAAGTCCCTGTAGTAGTAAGTACTACAAGTTTTAGATAACTCTTTGTGACAGAAAATTAATGCTGGTATGCTAGAAAGTCATAAGAGCAGTCCATAAAAGAGAAAAAATACATGCTATACAGGGAGCTGGAACAGTGCAAACATTTGCCACAAACATTTGCCTAAATGCCACAATTCTTTGTACCTCTCAGTGGACATAGAGCTGGTTGGTGCCATAGGTCGGTGCTGCAGAGCTGGACTTTGTCTGGCAGAGTTTGTTCCTGATGGGGGACCACGGTGCTCTAATGAAGACAGAAGTGGCAGATTAGAAGTATCCCTCCATATAATTAAAAGGCAATCCTGTGAAATATACTCTTACATTTCCAATTGCTTTCATCAGGGTATCAAATACTGTTGCTAATTCTAAACTAATACTTCTTACATGCATATTAAAAATGGCCTTGTGCTCCACGGCAAGCCCATAGGTGTGATTGCACAGAGACCACGAAGAAGAAAGCAAGGTTGTGGAAAGATTACTAGCAACAGTACCATAATAGTTTGTCAGCTTAAAACATTCTCTTAAATAAAAGGAAAAAGGCCTCATTTGTACTTTTCCCTGCAACCCATCGATTAAATGGGCACAAGAAACAGAACTACACTTGCAAAGCTTATGAAAGTTTCTGAAACATAAGCTGCTTCTGTCATTCAGACAGTAACAAAGCATAATCTAACAAAAAGGCTGGCTCTCAGCCAAAAACCCAAAAGGGCAAATTTTATTTTAATGAAAACTGAATGGTAAATCTTGAAAGAAGTGAAAAAGCTTGCAAACATCAGATCCTGTTCGGCGTGTAAATTCATTCACATTTACCAGTCCTTGTGGAAAAGTCAGTGGTTTTGAATCATACATATTACCACTCCAATGCAGATTATGCGATTAGATTCTATTTCCCAGCCACGTAAGGCCCTGAAGAGTTCAGCACAGGATTGCTGGGGTTTATTACTATTACATGTCTGGAAGAAAATTTTTCCATAGAAACAAATGCCAACATTTCCCCCTGGTTACACTCAGAATTTTAATTAAGAAGCACAGGTAAGGGAAAGGCCATCTGTCTGTATATATTCCTCTCTTCACAACTCATCCACTTTTCCTTTTTTTTTTTTACCTTCTACATGACTGGGGCTGACAAGCTTCTGTTTCATGCAAAATGTTAACAGAATGTTTTCTGGAGCATGAAGCATAATTAGTCTTTTCCCTCACATTAAACTACTGGAACAAAAATATATATATATAAAAATTGTTTTCTGGCATTTCTGGATGCTAAAAGTAGAAGTGGGAGGATTTTATAGTAGGTGTTTCCACTAGATTTAAACAAAGCAGGGAAAACAAATACTTTGAATGTTATGGTAGATGGTGGCTGAAGCACTGTTTTTCTTTCTAGGATTCTATTGACTAGCTAGTGGAAGCAGTCACAAGATGGTCCTTATATTCTACAGAATGCAAAAATGATTGTGTAGTCCATTAGCTCTCTTAGATTGGTGATGGTAATTACAACCACCAAATATTTTGGGCTCTGAAGATTTGCTATATGCTAATACTGCAATTGCAGCTTCAGGAATTCTACTTTACAATAAGCAATTCTTTTAACAATAAATTTCCCTGCATGTAGATCCTTATATTATGTAACATAAAGGACATTCTGAGAACCACAAAACTTATGATTGCTTAGTCAATATTTTACAATTAGTTATGTTTTTCAGCACATCTTTTTATGCATTGAAGTTTTAGTTCTAAGAGATACCTAATGCATTTCCTGTAAATGGGTGCATGTCCTCAGGTACTTATAGGGCATACAATGTGCCTGAAATACAAACAATTCAGACCAAAGGAAAAATACAGAATAGAATATCCTCAATATCATGTTCATCAGTTCCTCAGACATCCTATGACCTGTTTTAGTGGTGGTTGTAGCATGAAGAGTTCTCTGAACTTGGGTGGCTGATCACATCCTGGGCCCAGGAAAGCCATGAGCGATTTGCATAGCAAGAATAGTAACACCCCTGTGCTAGTCCACTCAGTCTTCATGCTGCCATTGACAAGCAATCCACCAAATGCCCAATCAGCATTTTGAAGCAACTACCACAGGCTCACCTTTTCCCTCTCCCCAGCTGCAGGTTCCTTTGTTTTTGCTGGGGATTTCCCCCTTCCCTGCCTTTTTTGCAGACATCACTTTATGTAATGTCCGAAGTTTTGGGACAGCCCAAAGTGTTCAAGTAGGCCACTGAAGCAGGTGTTGCTGGTTTACCACCAAGTAAAAAAGTAAAAGAAATACATAATAAAGAGAGAGTATGCGCGGTTTACTGGTCTTTTGCAAATGTGCAGTTGGCTTTTCTGAGTCTGAAACGTCTGCCTGTTCAGTGTCCTCAGTGTTAAAGTGATACTAAGCAAGCCTGAAAGCAGGTTTATTTCATACTTCGTATACAACACCCTGCAATCCCAAACCTTTCTGAAAAGCTAGTATGGTCCAAGGTACTGAAAACTGCTGAGAGATGCAGGTTGTGCCCCAATATCACAACCTGATATGTCTTAATTGTGCAGAAGTACAGGCATAGTGGATACCTCCTTACCTTCCTCAGCGACAACAGTGAGTGTAACAGTGCTCCCTGCATCTTTGATCAGTTGCACAATATTTTCATGGGAAAGGTCTATGATTGACTGCCCATTCACTGCTGAGATTCTGTCTCCCACCTTCAGTTTTCCACAATGATCAGCTGGACTCCCTTCAATGACACGGCCAATCTTGTGAGGAATCACTGCGGAATGAACACAACCAAGTAAGTATCTCTACTATGCATTATGAGCAAGGCATTGTTATTAACATTTAAACAAATAATTCCATGAGAATATAGTATTGTTGGCAAATCCAACATAGTATTGTTGGCAAAGATCTGAAATCTCTTTATAACTACAAAGTTAAAGCCAAAGTCATGTTGGCTTTATAGGAGTTAAATTGGCATTGCAATCCCCACAGACTTCTGGGAATTGTAGTTTAGTAAATAAGATATTCCTGTAAGAGATTCTTAGCCCTAACCTCACAGAACTATACTTCCCAGGATTTCTAATCATACTTTGTGATCTTGACATCTGCTAAACAGCAACAGTAGGTGGGACTGATACTTATTGCATCACGAACAAACAATATGCATCTTGATACGCATTTTGATATCAAAATATGCATTTTGATGAAAATTCAGTTTACTTACTATTTTAAGCATTCTACAAATACTATTAAGCATTTGCACAGAACTTTCAAAGTATTCAGTCTCAAAAATATACTTTACCTTCAAAATCTTTACAGTGGGTTAGATTAGTATTATTAACCCAATATTTCACGATCAAGTTAGGAGCCTTAATGTTAAAATATGGAGTCCATGTTCTTTACATTGAGACTATAATATATGAATAACACCAGAAACCAACCAAATCTACTTTTCCGCACTGTGAATTACTTTTAAAATCCTAAAAACAAAAAAAGGCTTAAAGATGGATTAGCTCAACCTGCAACAATGCTGCTGCAGTCTCCAAATCAAATGTATTCCATTTATCTCTGGAGAATGTACTAGTAAATGTGGCTACATGCCAAAAAACTGAAAATTTGTCTTCAAAGTATAGTTGCAAGTTATATTGTCTCAATCATAACCTAAATAAATGTAAATAAGATTATTTAAAAAAGGAAACCAATGAAAAAATATCTTATCAGAGCTTCTGAACACACACAGTAGGACTAGTGTCCTTCTTATCAATATTTTTAACAAAGGAAACAAGTGGAGCAAGCTTGAGATATTTTATGCTGAACAAGTGATAAGTGTTGCTCCTAAAATGTCAGACAGTGGTAATGGTGTCCAGGAATGAATTCTACTGGCTTTAGAAAAATAGGTCAGTGGCACTGATTTCTTCAGAAGAGGTTTCTATAATTCGTATCTGAGAAACTTCCTGTGTGGGTGTCATCCAAGTGCGCATACCCTGGGAAAAAGTAGGTACACAAACAGCCCATATTTGAAGTAGCCAGTGGAATGTTTCTCCTTTTTTAGGAAAGCTTTTTCTCCCCCCCTCCCCCAGTTGATTTCCAAGCTCAATTCAAGTGTTGGTGCTCCTCTTTAAACCTCTGAATTTAATTATCAAAAGTAAAGTCAGATTTCTTCAGTCTGATGGCTACTACCAGAAGAGTTGCTAAGTAGTCTGTCATTAGAATTCAAGTATGTTAAAATTTCATTTTAATGTATTATCATCACAAAGCCTAGTTGTATTATTATCACCAAGCCTAACCCTATACCTAATTGTTCTTACAGAGCTTACCTCATCAGAGGACAGTGCAAAGTGATGACTGGCTGGCCCTTCTATCACTGTACCCTTCTCCCTCCCCCCCCCCAAAAAAAACAGAAAAAGAAAAGCTACCAACCACTTTCTGACCAATTTTTGAAATTGAACTGAAGTGCCAATTCTTTTTATGCTTCAGTCTAAAAATGCAGAGTACACACAGATAAAAAGTCTACCAGAACAAATCAGGGGAAGTTAGGTGGTATATAACAAGAGTAGATACTATATACAGCCCAACATGCTGTCCCATACTTAACTTGACATGCTATGAATTGGCATGCCATACATAGAGTCTGGCATCACTTAATCAACTAATCTATTATAGGTATTATTGAAGAAAAATTGAACGATTTGCCATTTTTCCAATATCTGGCTCCAATATCTAATTTATTTTTAATCTGATTTCTACACCACCCATTAACCAAGAGGCTTCTCCGGATGGTTCAGTTTTTTATGATCTATTATTTGGATCAAGTTATACGATTCATATTTACTTGGGTCTTCCTTTAATAAAGACTAAACCATGCATGCCTCCAGTCCTCTTAGATCATGTGAGTGTTCCAGTACCTTGAAATAATGTGTCTAGTAGTTCAGAACTCCTTGCCAAACATAGAGATCTTGGGAAAAAATTACTGAATCCAACCGCATCTGCTGATGTCCCATCATTCTATTTTTTCGCAAACCCTGAAGGCCTACAGCCAAAAGAGCCTTCATTCTGAGTCCTTGCAGCTGCTCACACGCACTCTTTGACTAGCTGATGCAGAACACTGACACTTGCGCAGGCTTTGCTGTGATCCCATTTCCAAGATACCAAGTACCAATTCTTTATGCCAGCAGCTTTTTTCACAAATGTTGTTAGCATTCCAGGTTAGCCCACTTCATACGCCACCCAGGGTTTTATTCTAAACCCTGCTTCATAAGAAAGCAGATGGGCCAGAGTGTCCTAAACAGTAAATAGAAATATTGCCAAATGGCATTTTGAACCATGCAAGTAAATCTCACGTGGTTTCTGAATGTGATCAGCAATTGGAGATTAACTTACCATTCAGTTTGTAATTAATGCAATAGCTGGCACAAAGAAGGTAGTATATATGACTTCTAGCTTCCAGCTCCATTTGAAGATAAGCATATTTGCTTGCATTTATTCTTGATTTTAATTGACTAATGACATTTTGTGATTGCTGAATACGAGAGCACTGCAGGCTGCAAGAGTACAATTAGCTAGTAAGATCCCAATTAACTAGATGATGTAGTTCATACACAACCAACTAAGCAGGTCACTGCCCACTAACTCCCTGCTTCTGCTTTTCATCTGATTTCCAAAACAACCAAGAATTCTGGGTTTGCAGGGATTGTTGAGGGAGAAACAACCTAACCTAATCATAGAATCGTAGAATGGTAGAATTGGAAAGGGTCAGAGGGCATTTGGGTCCAATCCCCTGCCCAGTACAGACTCCAAGTTAAAGCATCCCTGACATCTACATCATGAAAGCTTCCAATATTGGACAGCCCACAACTTCCCTATGTCATTGGTTCCATTGTCATACTTATGTAACACTAAGAAAGTTTTTCCTGATATCCAGCCAAAATCTGGCTTCCTGTAGCTTGAGTCTATTATTCTGTGTCCTCCACTTTGGGATGACTGACACTGATGATCCTGTCCCTCCTCTTTGTGACAGCTTTGCAAGTACTTGTAGAGTTATCATATGTCACCTCAGTCTTCTTTTTGTCAGGCTAAACAGGCCCATGCTTTCAATCTCTCCTTAAAGGGCTTTGTTTCTAGTCCCTGGATCTTCCTTGTTGCACTACTCTGAACCCTGTCTAGCTTGTTTGAATCTTTCTTAAACTGTCGTGTCCAGAACTAGTCACAGTACTCTAGATGAGGCCTAACCAGCGCTGATTAAATGGGAACTACTACTTCACATGATTTGGAAGTGATACTCCTATTAATGCAGCCTAAACTAGCATTTGCCCTTTTAGCAGCCACATCACATTGTTGACGCATATTCAGCTTGAAACAGGGCCGTCTTAATGCATGGGCCTGATGGGCACTTGCCCCTGGGCCACATACTAATCTGTGTATGCTAACCCTTAGAAAATTGGAAAACTTCCAAAATTAACAGTAGTTGTAGTTGTCGTAGGGGCCCCAGTACACTGCTTTGCCCGGGACCCATAATGCTGTTAAAGACGGCCCTGGCTTGAAATCTACAAGAATTCTGCAACAATGCTGCCACCAAACTCCTCTTTGCTCTCCTTGTTCACTCTGATAACTCACTCACTGACAGCTTGGTTGCTGGTATCCCAGAGTCCCTAGACCAACTGGGGCAATTAAGGGTTTGTTGTTAAGACAATAACAAACCCTCAATAACCCAGAGTGCTGAGTTACAATGAACAATGCAGGAATTAGGATGTTTTTGGTTTGTTTAAAAAAGCAAAAATGAAGCAAAAGTAGCAAATGACCTTGCTTGTCCTGACAACCTATGCTTTAAACAATTTAGCCATTGATGTCATGTGCAAACCAATCAACATGAAACACAGTAGGTTAATTTTAATTGGTAAAAAAGGAATTCAAGTGTACACAGTATTAAAATAAACAATACCACTGAAGTATTCCATAGAACCCAGAGCTGCTATTTTTGTTCTTATGGTGATAAAATATAGGTTCGACATCTTTATTTCCCATTACCTTCTAGAAAAGTTTCCTATTTTCAATAGCAGTGCCAAATATAACACCTTATTTTTCGATGCTATGCTTTGTATTATGCAGCATCAGAATTACATAGGAGAATTTGGCTTACATAACAACAATAATTTCCTCTTAGATGTTGTTTAGACTCTGACTAGGTAGCATGAAAATCATATTTCATATTTCTAACACGGGACATATAATCTATAGCATCAGAAGGTGACAGCTTCCAATTCTAATGGTTTCCATAGAAACTGATTTTACAAATAAAAAAGAAGAATCGCTATCTCCTGACCTAGCACCATAGCAATACTTCATATTTCACAGCCAGTTGCTACTTCACTAAGTGCCCTGTAACAAGGCACTTATACTAAATGACGTATAAGAACAAGTCATTTAAAAAAGCATACTCCTAGTCCAAGAAATCTGAAATTAGCTATTGTTGTTAAAATAGTCCTTAGCTCACAGGCACAGGTGTTACAAGACAGTCCTAATTTTGACCCGTGGTAGAAAAGCAAATCCATGCTCCCCCAATCCCTGGATTGTTCTCCTTCACCTGGTCCCTACCTGTTTTCCAAATATCTTTGCAGTACTGTAGTATAGCTGGGGACTTTTTAGCATCTTGCATACCCACCATTTTCATAGCTTGATGAAACAACCTATGAGCATGCCACAGTTTTGGATTGACACAGAAAAACAACCCATGTTTTAAACGATGGAAAGTTCACAACCCAACAATAAACCATGGGTTCATTCACATGTCACAGCAGGAACTCATCGCTTAATTAACTTATCATTACCTAGGACATACACTGTGTGCAAACACCTTCCATTTTTTGTAAACAATTTCCATTTGGAGAAATGGAGGCTGTCAGCATGACATCTGAGCCTGGACTATTCAGTTATTTAGGGGCTAAACAACTCAGAAGTTAATCCAATAGCAAAGCATAGGTTAACCATTGGGCTGTTTAGCCCCTAAATGGTAAATCATTCTAGGTTCAGATATCATACTCACAATCCCTAAGCATGCTGATTGGTGGTTATCTACAGAAAGTAGAAGTGGCTTGCAGGTGATGTGCATCCATGATAACTAGGGGTAAAAAATCAATAATGTGCTGCACTGATGTATGAACCAGAGTTAAGTGCTCTCTTTCTGGATTGTTCAGGGTTACCAAACCATGGTTTGTCAGCAAAGCAACAAAGAGAGCAACCCAGAATTCAACACCCCATGCCATGCATTAGCATTGTGTATGAACCCAGCTATAACTTCAGCAATAGCAATCACTATTATTAGAACAACTATTAAAAAATGATGGATTAAGATTTACACATAGGTAAAAACAGACATATATAACCAACAAGAATTCAGAAGCTAACATCACAACTAGTTATTACAAAACATAATTTATCCATCTAAACAAACCTACTATTCCATTTTTTAAACTTTTATATGTTGTTTTAAGTTTTTGAACACTCTAAACAAAATAAATTATGTGTTGGGTTGCCAGCTGATCAGAAAATGCCAGCCCGACCTGCTGTTATACTTTTCATGCATGTTTTATATAAAGAAATCAGGAGCTGAAACTGTTCATGCCCATTTTCTATCAGCAAATAAGCTGGTTAGACAGAACAAGTCTCAACACATCCAGTGTTCCAAGAAATCTACAGCTATCTGCGGCAGAAATATGTTTATTGACATGCCAAATAAAAGTTTTAAACAAAATACTGTGTGTAAAGACTGCCAACTAGATCAGTATTCCTGAGTTCACATAAATCAGTAAGTGCTATATAATAATTCTCATAAGGAAATATTGCCATACTGTTCTATCTGCATTCTGTATCCAAATGTCTAGGTTGGAGCCACAACTAGAAATTTTCTGAAACTACATTATATATTTAAATAATAGCTCAGATCCAATGGTGCCTTGTACAACTAGAGCAGTACTTTCACTTGCACAAGGTGAACCTATTCTTTTAAAATAATTAACCAAACACACTGCAGCTACTTGTGTTCCATCCCACAAGTGGAAACCTCAGAAATAGCTTTTGGCAAGGAAGAACCAGAAACTCACTTCCCTGCCCCCATACAAATATTGTCCTACCCCACAATATTTCAAGATGGATAATTATATATCACAATACCATAATTTTTAAACAGAAGAAAAACAGCTCTTAAAGCAGCTTGCATAACATTGCGTTAAAAACAGCAGGCATGGTAAAACAGCAAAAGAAAGGAAAATAGATAAACCACAATGCACTTCTGAGCTAAAAGATCATATTTCTAATATGTCGGTGCCATTTTTATGTGTAATGTCAAAATTGCTGAGAATTCTGATTTATTGTATATGAGCAACATATGAACACTTTCCGATAGCCTCTACTCCGATAGCGTCTACTTAGCTTTCCATGTAAACTTGAGTAACTAAACTGTCCATAAACTAAAAAAGTAATAGCTTTCTGCGAAAGACAAACTTGGGCTCCTAATTTGATAGTTTTGTAACAAGCCAGAGCCTGAAGCTTTCCTGTTCTGGTTTGTCAGCAGAGCAACAAGCCACTGTCTGGATTACAGATTATGCACAAGCATGTTGCTTGTGAATAATGAGCCAGAATTCTGCCTTATCTGACTGCAGCAATGTTCAAAGACAGCTCATGTACAATATGCTGCAATGGTCAGTTGTGCACGTTACTCAAGTGTGAATGCCAGCAGCTGCAGGCAACCATTTACCTCCCACTGTCTCTTGGTATGATTGCACTACTAGTTGACAGTATTTGCTCTACAAAGTTGTTATTTCCAAGGGAAGAAGACATTTTTCAGACATTGAGGAGAAAAGGTATATGTAAGATTTTAGAAAAGGACTAATTATGTCGTTATAATAGAAAAAACAGCTTTAAGTTATTTGGTCAAACATTCTGGACCACAGAATCAAACAAGTCTATCTTGAATACCTTGAGCAGTAAGGCTGACGACCCACAATACTTACCTCCAGGTGGTGGCTTGTTTTTTGAGGTAAGGATTACAAAACCAAATCCTTCATTCTCCTTCCGTTGCAGCACAACTTCATAGGCCTCTGGGAGCTGTTTACTGAGTAGCTCTACTCGGTTTGGCCTAGGAGAACCATTCTGGGAGGAGATGGGAGCTTGGGATGATGACTCTTCTTCTGATTGCTTGTCTACTATAAATACCACAAAATAGGCACAAGAATGAATCAGTAAATGTAAAGCCCACATGTAGAGTACGTACCAAAATTAGCCATAGTCTGGCAGGGTAGCTAAAACACAGAATTACATCAAAAGTATACTGTATAACATTTACATCTCAGATTACATTACTGCAAGGAATCCAAACAGATTGATTTAATCCAGCTCTGATTCATTAGGAAAATATCAAAATTACAAAATTGATATTCATAGGGCAGCCATGGCTCTTGGGAATGCATGTCCAGTGATTCTGCCCATTTACTTTTAATTATGACATACTACAAAGAAGAATAGGCCCTCTTTGCCACTCTTAATCTCTAATCCCAGTTCACCTGTTGGGGATGAAACTGGAACCCCTCAACAGTTTTATCCCCATTAGCTTGTTCTGGTGATAGAAACTGGAACCTCTCCACAGCTCTAACACACAGCAGGGAAATCCAGATCTTCAAAACTTGCGAGCTACACAGGGGATGAAGACAAATGGTTCTACCCAGCTGAATTGCAGAAAGGCCACAGCCTTCATTTCCAGTGTAGCACTGGCTGGGACCACTCCACAGTCTAGCTGATCAGAAGCATCTCTGCTTCAGCTGATTTGTACAGCTCAGATAAGAAAGAGCAATTCTGGGAAGACCATCTGTGCATCACTTTCTGTGTGAATCTGGGGTATATGGGTGTTCAGTCTGTGTGCACATATATGGATACAGAGAAGAGTATTCCCTCAAAATGCTATTCCTTTTATCAGGCTTTTAATGTCCTATAGATTCCTGAGCTTTGGAAATGAGAGTTAGCAGTGATATATTCCCCCCTTTTGTTGCATGAGTCCTGTGTGTTGCTGAATAACTTTAACAAATTTACTTTTGCTTCAGAAATGATACTACAACAATGAACACCAGTGCTGGAAATAATATAGGCTAAGTTTCAAAGACAGAAATTTGCTTTCTTCTTCTTTCTGTCCTTCAAGAGATGTTCCCACATTTACAGCTCTTCTATAAAACTGAATGACATCAGCCTCCAGCTAAAATACAATATATAAAATATGATAGGTACCACATCTTTGATATTGTATATCTGCCACTTGATATAGTGACAAATATATAGGGAGGGAGAGGGAGATTGATTGGAGGGAGCACATGGTGAAGGGGTTTGAACACGTCAAAGAAGCCAAGAGCAATGCTGTCAGGGGCCAGACTCTTTCGCTGGCCTAGTCTCCCAGCAGGGTCATCCAAGGTGGAATGCTCAAAGCTGAGACATCTACTTAAGGTGCATCCACCTTCCTCAGGAGTAGCTGAAAAGAATGGTGATGGGGGGAGGGTGCAGAAACTCCTGAATGTGAACTACTGCAGTGATATATACACTGATGGATGATCTTTCACAGACAGTGGCAGTAATGCTCAAACTAACTCTGGTTAATAGTATGCAAAAAAGGCAATGGTAAACAACTCCTGAACATTTCCTACCTTGAAAAGAAACAGCATTCATCAAGTTGGAACACAATGTTATTATTAGTGCCCAAATAAATAATTACTGCATGATGTCAGCTTCAAATCTGGTACAAATTTATATATTTTTATATAATTTGGTTTGCACCTAAAATTTTATTAATTTTAATTGTTTTGAATTTTAAAGGTAATCTTATAAGCAATTAAATAATACATAGCATATCTTATGTTACTACAATAGCAAAGTAACTTTACAAATGTACAGAGTGCTAAAACTAAGTATGTGGATTTTTTTTTAAATAAAAATCCTTCTGTATGGCTTTACCAGCAAATCATTTCATCCCATCACTGCTACCCCACAACATTAAAATTTCTGGAAACTTTACATCACTAGACAAGACCTAGGTCTCTCTCAATTTTCTAAAGATGCCCATTCAATTAATTTATTCAATTGATGTTTATAGTCTTGCTGTTCTCTGCTCTATCACTTTACTTGAAACCTTGATAAAGAAGACTTCAAGGATTAAATTGTGCCACTGGGGTCACCAAACAAAATTACTACTATCCAAGACAAGCCTGGTGTGGAGCTGCAGCCTTGAAAGTCAAGCCATCATAACAGCTGCCTTTATCTTTTCAAAAATGGCAGTCCTAATCTGAGTTACAGCATGGGAGGTAGTCAGGTGACATTGACGCTGGTTGTCTGTGACAGCACAAGTATCAGTATCTTTCCCAATATGGGTTTGGTGAAAGGCGGAAATAAATGCAAGTGGTTGTGACAAGTAACACACTCACTGCCTTTTCTGAGTCATGCACTCGTCACTTTTCCCACCATGGCAGGGGGGTTTGCAAGAATAAGGTGTGGTGTCTCTGTTAGATTGTCTTCCCCCCAAGATTTCAAGATTAGGAGTTTTCTTTTATTTTACTTACTTATTTATTCAACTTATATTCCACTATAACTAGTCCGAAGACTCTCTAAGCAGATCACAACAATTTTATATAAAAAACATCCAATTTTAAGCATATAAAAGCAACATACAATAAAACAGAATATGCCACGGAAGGTTCAAATATCAATAAGTTAAAATATATTAAGACTAAAAGTAGTATAAATAACATCATAATATAAAATAAATTCTTCAAATGTCTGGAGAAGAGGACTGTTTTTGCTTGCCGCTGAAAAGATTGTAAAGATGGTGTCAGGCAAACTACTTTTGGAAGGCCATTCCACAGATGGGGTACAGCCACTGAGAAGGCCCCTCTTCTGTTTGCCATCTTCTTTACCTTCTTAAAGGATGGCCTTTCAACATCTCTTTATCTCCCCCACCCCCCACCGCCACTTTTAACCAAAATGTTAAAGGGAAGACAGATGAATTAAGGCATTTAAATGGGTGCTGCAAAGTTTCATTTCTGCCTTCCTGCTAATGAGGCTTCACCTTGCTGGAAGTGCCAGATGGCATCATTTACAAGAAGGCTGTGCCTGATAAGCAAGGACCTTCAATTAACTAAAACATGACTTAACCTGGATCTGACCCATTGTCTTTCTAAGCTTACAGAAAACAATCTAAGTTGATGTAGGGATTTCTTCAATGCCTCAAATGCAGCATTATTTCTGAAGGCTAATAGTCTATTGGTAAGTATCTTGCATCATATCTCACAGTATTGCCACCTTTCTTTCTTCCATCACCTTTTAATCTCTTTTTCATATAATCAATTTCCTAAAATTGGTGGTGACAAGAGTGGACAGAACTTATAAGAGACATGGAGAAAGGATTTTTGGCTAATCGCTTGCCATGACATAAGGTGATATCAAGTGCTTAACTGATAAAGCACATACCGCCAAAGAAGATCTTTCTGCGAACAGTCAGCAGCACTTGGCCATTACGTGCAGCACTGGTCATTAAATCCAGAACTTGCTTGTGTGATTTCCCCTTGACTGGGATACCATCAATGCATACAAGCTCATCAGCAGCACGGAGTCTACCATCTTTTTCTGCTGCCCCCAGTGGGATGATGGCTCCAATGTAGATCTAAGAGCAAAGTGGGAGAGCAAGGACATGCATACATCAGAATATTGAACAGTCTGGTTAAGTATGAAAGAGTGCTCACTCCCAAATGCTACTATACCTAAAGAGGCATTTTGGGTGATCAGCATAGCTAAAATTGCAGCTCTTAGAATAAAAACATTTGTAAAATAATTTAGCATTGTAATGCAATGCTTTCTTCAGATGACTGCCCTGGACTTCAGAAGATTCAGCTGACTCAAAATGAAGCAAATTTCCTTCTGCTTGGGATGTGCCACTGGAGGCACATAATACCAGTGGATTAATATTTACATCAATCCCCTTATCATGGTCTTAGCTGAATTTCAGATGAGGTAATTACTTATAAAGACCTGGGTCCAGAATGCTCAAGACAGTTTAGCCTGTGCTGAAATCAAAACTTCCATAGATTCAGGGTGTATTTTTACACTTATCTATGTATCATCAAACTGTCAAGACCATGCAGAGTTGCTTGCTCAGTTGTTGCCTCTTATTAGGCACTATCTTCCTACCGCAAACTTGTCAAAGTTTGAATCCTGGAGATTTCAGAAATTGTAAGGCAGGTTTTCATTTAATTTACTTTTAGTGGCTAGGCACAGGGAGAGAGGAGACAGTTCCATTATTACAGTTGGAGTTCTATGATTCTAATTTAGTTATTCATTCCAACCTCACACTTGATCTACAAGAAGTTTTGCATACATCCCAAATATCATGTTTTTATCATTACCTGCAGCCCTGGAAATGACATAGTAGATAAAAATAAATCACCTCTTCTGACAAGAAGGGCCCTTCTTATTAAAAAAAAATCTGGCTGCACTACAATTTTGCCGGCTTTCCCCTTCCCAATGCAGTCCCTTAAACTCATTGGAAAACAATTCTTGAGAGTCGGGGAACACCCTCCAAGAGCAGTATGTGATGCAACCTAGGGAATATGCACTTGGGAAGGTAATAAACATCCCCCAACTCCTCCCACATACATGCACAGAAGTTATTTCTGCTCACATACCGGGTTCTACGGATCCCGGCCCTAATGTAGAAAACAGCCCAACAATAAGCACTTTGCGGCATTTCCAATGCAGAACAAGAGCAAGGATGTCCAACTCTAGGAAACAAGGAATGTTTCAGAACAAGGACTAAACTATGTTACCTCCTTACCCACCCAAGTCATCTGGTAAAGTTTAATTAAAACAATCTTGTCATGTGACCTCGTTGCACTCAGCATTTCCCTGCTCCACCTAATTGGCTAGTACGGAGAAGACCGGGTAAATTCTGGACACAGTGACATCACTACAAGCATATGCATATTTTAGCTGTTCCTAGGGGACATGGGCTGCTAATACCCGCATATTTAAGGAAGCATATAATTTGAACCTTTATTTAATCTAACATTTAGATTGATTACATTTTCCCTGTAACTGTTAATTACACATTTCTATTAAGCAGTTTTGCCACTTCATCAAGGTACAGCTTTTGCAATAAAACAACAAGTCAATGATATGTGTTTTTTATATTTGTAAAGAATACTGGCTTTTGCAATGGACTAAATAATATTAAACAAATTAATTAAACAAATATATTATATACATTATAGGCTCTTGCCTGCCTGGATAATTACTTTACCTTTATTCAGATTTGACCTAGCACATCTGTTCAAGCATTCAAATTCTCTTTCATCTGTTGCTAAAGTTGATAAATAGTAAGTATTTCATTGCACATTATACTGTACTTTCAGGTTTCCTAATAAATTTTCAACAGTCATAGATCCTAATGCTTATAAGATGTGACTGAAAAAAAAAACTATTTTCAGAAAACTTTTTCAGCACTTGTCTGCTAATCAGTTCTATAAACTTGTGCAAGCACTGAGGCCTGAGAATTCTACAGCTTTCATGAGGAGCAGGCAGGTAGTTTTTGCTCCAATTTTTCTTCACATATTTATCACTAATTTGATTCACAGGTAATAGTAACTTGTTCTGTAATTTCAGCCACCACTTGTCCACTATTCTGCAAAATACTGTTCAAGTGCTTAGATGACCAAAAAAACTCCCAATTTTAACACATTGCAATTGAGATGCTGACAGTAATATAAAGTATAAAGCAAGGAAGATATTAAGGCCATATAAGATTTTTAACACCACGAACATAAAGCAACAAAAGTCTTTTCTTACTGTCTGATCAGGACCATCTCCTCCAAGGACCCGGAAGCCAAAGCCAGACTCTTGTTTTCGAAGGAAAACATCCAAATCCTTTGTGTTTGGAGCTAGTGAATTCCAGATAGGAAAGAACGGTGTCAGAATTTTTTTTAAAGTATTCAACTAATTTAAAGGATCTTTGATGAACTTGACAGCAGTTTAACAAGTTCTCTGTAAATGCTTACAGGAACTGATGAAAAAGAAAACTGGCACCATACTTTAGCAAACATTTCCATTTAAAGCAAATTAACTAGTTCAGAACATGCGACACAAATTCAAGTTCATTAGGAATTAGCTCCTAACAAATGTTTCACAAATAAATTTATCATTTTATTTATTTCTAAACTTATATGGCATTTTATCTACATATATTCTCTCAGTAGTTCACCGCAACAAATTACTTCTGATAGGCTACCCATCAGACTAGGACAAGGATTGCTTCCAGGTGACCAGGCAGGAAAGCTTTATAAAAAATAGTGTTTTTCCTCTCCTTTAAACCACAACTAATTAACACAGGCACACATGCTATTTAACTTTTGTGTTTGTGGACTTGCAGCATTTACTGCTCCTATAAATACTGTAATCTAGGATGCCGAGGGCTACATTTCAATAGATGCCTTCATATACCTTGAATCGTATGAAACTTCCCAGCCTCTATATCTGTGGCAAAATAAATATTAAGCCAGATTTATGCATTAGTTGGTATATGCTTCTCCTACAGGGATTATCTTTATACAGGAACCGGGAAGTAGCATGGTACAAGATTAACACTTAAAAATAAGCAACGTACATAGCATTATTTAAATAAGAAAATAACTACTATTTCAGTATGTACCTCTAGGAGGTGAAAAATGGAGACAATAGAATGGATCCTGCTCCAACTCAGGTGAATCCACCAATACATAAAGGGCGATGTATGACCAAGAGAGTGAGAGAGGTTCACAGATACTTGTTTAAGTTGGACTACTCTGCCACGGCTACTGGATCAACTAGCTCCAGCTACTCTACAACTACCCTAAGAGATCTGGGTTCTAATGCCAACTTGGTCACGAACCTCATGGGATAGTCATTCACTTTTAGCCTAACTTACCTCACAGGGTTGTGACTGATAAAATGGAGATATGTAAGCCATATTGGGTTTCTCTCAAGAAGAAAGTTGAGATATAAATGCAATTATTATAGTTATTTTGAAAATAACATGTAAACAATTACATGTTTTATTTTACCTGTAAATTTTAGAAGTATTATTTATTACTAAAGGCAAGAAAAATAATATGAATAAATACAACGCTCCCTAATATTTATTATTATTATTATTATTATTATTATTATTATTATTATTATTATTATTACTATTATTATAACATTTCTATGCCGCCCCTTGCCGAAACCTCGGGGCGGCTTACAACATGATAAAATACATTGAGATACAATAGTACATAATTTTATAAGCACTTTGTTGTTGCCTTGGTGCATTAGGGCATCTTTTTGATGGCCATCTTACTGTTAAACACATTTTAATTCTTTTTAGACTTGATAATGTTGCCTTATCCAACAATTTGAAACTTTAATGAAACACTTAAGAACAGAACCAGCCGGGTGCTATCATCCCATGTCTGTTAGTAAAATCAGACAAAAACTGATGAGGTAAGACTAGAGGTGAAAAATCCAACAAAACCTTTATGACCGTCAGAAGTTGATGGCTGATAGCCCTACCCCCAACCCAATCTTCATACATTAAATTCATTGCTGACTAAAGAGTTTCTGGTTAGATTATTTGCATTGGGATCAGTTCTACTGAGAGCAAGGGCAGAGTGGAAACAGTATCCAGAAATACATGCAAAGATTAGATTGTGCGTAAGTATTTCGCCCTGCTTGTATACAGTCTTCTATAAAGTTGTGCTTGACTTGTTTAGTGTTTTCTGTTGTGACACCCTAGCTACTACCTACCCTAATTCACCTAGTTATCACTTTAACAAGGTTTCTAAAGTTTAATGGAGACAATGTTGTCCAATTTTCTTGCTGTAGTTTGCTATTTTTGCAATGGTTTTAAGTGTTTTAGGATGCAATACTATCAATGTCTTAAGGGTATCCAATATCCCATCCTCTTGCCCTACATTTTCACTGTGGCATCTTTTGCCTATCTAACTGGGGAGTGCTTCAGAAGGAGAGAGAAGACTAGAACAGCTTCAAGGTAGTTTGATCACCTTGTTTCAGTTGGAAATATTCATGTTTGCTGAAAGTACATTAATTTTTGAAAGTCTACGAACAGTTGTCTACTTATTGACTTGATCTGAACCCCAACATTACTCCAGGAAAAATGATGTTTAAGCCAGAATGTTACAGTGTTACGCTTACACAAGAAAATACATGTACTCAGTTAAATCAAAGCTACCTCTTTTAAGAGTCGCAAGATATGTGGATAAACAGAAAATGAAAGAAGGGCAGTCATGTGGGGCAAAAAAATTCCCAAACCATCTTTTTTTTTCCCAGCATTCAATTCTTCTACAGAAAATTTCTATTTCATAAGTTAATTAGAAAAGAAAGAATCTGTGTGAACTACAAATACAGTTTTAGGAAAGCCTGGCAGCTTCAAAGTTGTAATTAATGTTTCTTCAGGTGATTATTTCTTGGAAATATGTGAGAAAATTATATATATGTCACCGAAATACATCTGTATCTCAGAATAACATGGAATAAATAGAGACAGCAACACTGGGCACCTCAACCACGTCAGTGGCAGAGAATTGAACTCTGTTGAAATAGGCGAGTGGCTGCCAGCCTAATATGTCAATAGTATTCAGTAACTTTATTTCTTTAATTTAACCATTACAAGGGAGGCATTCCAATTCTTAAATCCCACTAATAATTTTTGCTATTTACTAAATAAAAGTAAAGTAAACAAGTTCCACATTTGGAATTCCTCTGGCCTCCCCACTTGCAAGTTGGAATAATACTTTGCTAGCAAATCTAGCTTTTTATTGATATCAATAAAATGCATAAATAAGGTTTGCTACTCATAAAAATAATTTTCTAACAGAGGAGAAAAGGAGTCTGGAAAAAATAATTAAGTTTAGATATCACCACTTTCTTTATTGATGCAATTTTTCCAAGCTAAGAAAATTTAAATTTGGTCCATTTAGTAAGCACATTTCCAATAAGTCAATAAAGAGGTTTGTAATTTAGTTTTATTAATTTTTTCAACTGTGTTCAAATCTGTATTTTGAGATATTTTATTCAAGAGGAAATGGACATGTGGCAAACCCTGATTAGATCTAAACTTCCATCATTTTATATTATATAAATGTCTCTATTTAACTCTTGATGTACAATTACAGTAGCAAAACTGTTGCCAGAATGCTGGTAGATTTATTTTGAAGAGCTGTAGGAGGATAAAAGTGTAGTTTTCCTCTAAAATGTGGCTGAACATTTCAACAGGTAAGGTGGCATATACAAAAAATTTATAAACTTTATAAACTTTATGACCATTGCAAATGCTTTTGATCACATGTACTGCCTTGGGAGAAATCTATTGATTAAAAAATAGGTGATATTCTTCTCAGTTTGTTTAAACTGAATTTTTGAAAGACTGACATATTTGAATTAGATGAGTATGTTTTAATTATATAAAATATATTCATAGTTATTTATTATTTTTACAGCAATTCTGTTTTGTGCATTTTTCTTTTGCCATCTAGTAATTTTAATTTTTTAATTAATCCATACATTCTTAATTTTGGCTTATGTATTGCAAATTTATTGTTATTTTAGTCATGTCGAATAATTTTATTTAATTTCTCTTGGTCATTTGTGTGTGTAAACTGCATAATTCACATTCTTTGTGTCGGGATTCAAAACATTTCATTTCCTGCAGCAATTGAGGATTTTTTAATTCACCTTTTATTTTTATTTGCATTCACATTTTTAATTCATTTTATTAGCATTTAATTGGTTAATCCATTAATGTAATCCCCTCTAATCACTGCTTTCCTAGCTGCATCAACTTAATTTTCATTGGAAAGATTTCCTATGCAAAATTAATTAACCTAAATTTTTCCAGTGCAAATTCCCCACCACCCCAAACTGACATCACTGGGGGCATCTAAGGGTACAATCATTTGTCTATTTAGATGTATTCAGCATGCCTGACTGGGGAATGCTGGGAGAGATGGGGCTTTTTTCCTGTTTAATATGCATAGATTGCATTCCCAATTCCTTTAACATTTGTTTCAATTAAAATGAAAATGGCAATTGTTTGAGGGTTTCCTTTTGATGAAAATAACACTTAAATCATAAAATAGACACTACACATGCTTAGCGTCACTCTTACTACTCTACCACTTTATTTTTAGGACTGATCTTGAGAATTCACAGAGTGAAAGCATTTCTGGCAATTTTTCCTGCAAAATGTAATTACTCTGTACTTACGTTTATCTTCAAACAATGTTTTGGACTTCAGATAGACTTCTGAAGGGTCTAGCTTTGGCGAAGCTGACCTCACAGCAGTAGGTGGAAAGGGCATAGGCTGTGGGACCGACTCATTGATTGCTTCTTGACTTCCTGAATTTTCCCGCTTATCTACCTTCTGAAACAAACAGGAAGACTAACTGTGAACTAAGTTGAAAAATGGACACATAAACATGCTTATATAATATTGAAGTAAGGAACACACCCACACAATGCATGGTGAGCTTCAGTCTACATTTTCTGAGAGTGTAAGTGTTCCTTTTTACGGGTTGGGAAATTCCAGAACATGTTTTCCACTGAAATTGTGATCCAGAAATGCAAATTTAGTTTTTCTCTGCACCTGCTTTGAAACTTTAAATATGAAAAGTTAACTAATGCATTAAAGACTACATTAGTAGTATCGCTGGAACAGGGAATGATAAAGCAATAAGCACTTATGGAATAACTTGGGGTGAAGCATTTCCCAAATTTCTGAGAGCACCCTTGAAGCTTCTGACAATCCCTTTGGATTCTACCTAATAATTGGCCTAAAAAGGGCATCACATGCTAACTAATTTTGTTTCATTCCCTTTCCACATACCTCTGCTATAATGAGATGACATGTATGCCAATGGAATTTAGTGATGCATATGGTAAGTGGTGACAACTTGATGCATTTGCCTCATATGATGCTTGGGAAGGATTATGGATAACCTGCCAAATATTTATGTTATGTTAGTCACAAAGTTGCGTCCGACCCATCGTGACCCCATAGTTGACATTCCTCCAGGCTCTCCTGTCTTCCACCATCCCCCAGAGTCCAGCTAAGATCACACCGACTGATTCAGTGACTCCATCTAGCCACCTCATTCTCTGCCGTCCCCTTCTTCTTTTGCTATGCCTTTATTCTGAAATGTTATGCTACGCTTTTTTCTTCTCTTTAAAGAATTTTGTGCTATGTAGTATAGACTGTGAATAGTTCTCAAATCTCACTTTGGCCTTGTGCTCACTACATAGACTTAGGAAAGCAAGTATTTTTTGTGCTTCACCCCTCTATTTGCAATGCAGCGATGATAATAATAATCGCTTATGCTGAGGTTTACAGTAAGGATTATTGTACATGCAGCACTGCTTGTTCTTTTATGCCATAACAATTCCACTTGCACAACAGCAACTTGGTTCTTCAGGGGCAATCTGAAACAAGCAGAAACACTTGTTTCTGGAAGGAGGCTCTGCTGACCTGCCTCCTCCAGAAATATGCCTTTCTGCTCATTTTAGAGCTTCCCCCAAGGAAACACAAAAACGCTCTTGCATAAGTGGTGCATCTTGCTTACATCATGGAACTAGAAAGATCCACCAGTTGCTATATAGATTTTGTACATCCTTGCTAGATTTTGCCCAAAGCTCTTTCAAAAATAAATTCTAAACTTAATAATTAGAATTGCTATAATTAATAAATAAAAATTGTTTCAGCACCAAAGAAAGACTGTTCTGTTTTCTAGATATTTTAATAATTGACTTTCATATAGTGAATTGACTTTCATAGTGAATATTAATTGATGATTTTAAGCTATATACCTTATCTATATTGTATTATTTTATGGAGTTTAATTATTTTTGTTGCTTTTATGATAAAAAGGTACACTGCCCAGATAGCCCAAGTGGGACAATAGCCACAGTTTAGAAATTTAATGAACAAATAAATAAGCACTACTGAAACAGAATGATTAAAATCGACTAATATCTACAAGAAAAAAACTAGCACTTATGGGGTGTGATAATTAAACTGTATTTAACTAACCTTCATAAAATCTATAGCACTTTGCTTCTCTCACTTGTATAAATAAGTGTTACAACAGCAGGTATAAATCTCTAAAGTAACAAATGGAAAAATATGCAGACGGAAGCAACTTAAACCTAAAGCCCCTAAAAATTATGCAACAGATAATAATCCTCCTCTTACTAGGTAGAAAAGATGATTGCTGTATTTGGATTGTATGTTTTCAGAGTTTCATATAGCTAGTTGATTTTCAATGTGTGCTCTAGATTCAGACAAAGCTTCAAATGTGTTTGCCAAGCAACACATATTTATTTGAATAAGTATTCAGTGAGATGCAGGTCTGCCAAGAGAAAATCTCTTAAGAAGTTTACAGTTGGATACTTCTCACATGTTTATAAACATAAGAAGTTGCCCTTTTAAACCAAATTAGCTCACAAAATACATGACACCAGTTTATGTTTAGTGCAGTTAATATTACACCTGCATTTTAATGTTTTAAAGGTTTTTGGTGGTTTGAAAAAATGATCTCTGTATAGCAGTTGATGACTAGAGTGTTTCTATTCTGTAAGAATTAAGCATTCAGTTCTGAAATCCTTTCCTAGATATACCTTGTTTTAATAATAGGGGTTGAATGCATGTCTATTTTTGTGCCAACAAAAGTTAACAAAAATTATTTATTTACTCAACTTATATTCTGCAATTAAATTAGTCCCAAGGATTCAACTGTGTTCAACAGTAGATTTTCAAAAATCTGGCTATCCATTAACTCCAAAATTAGTTTCTCCCTAAAATAACTTCTTTCCATTCTGAAGAAAATCAAGCACTGCATTCCAGTGGTCAAAAGTGGCCAAAGTGGTGGGGTTAAGTCTCAAAATGCCAGCGTATTTTAGCTTAAACTTTCTATTGGTAGTAACTAAGCCTTTGGGCGGGGGGTGTAAACATTTGATAATGGGGCAAACATTCACTAAAAGCTGGGAAACCACCACATAGTCAGTGGTTGAGCAAAGGGAGCATAGACTTCTGAGGACCCCTCCCCACAGGGGTATGACTGAAACTGCCAGTGGTCAGAAGCGACCCCTGGGCCTAAGATTCTGCACTCTGCCCTTCCACAAAATCTACATGTCTGTGAAAGAAAGAGAAAGCAGAAGTATATACATTCACATGTACACATGTGAGGCATCACAGTGAGAGTGAGAACAAGCTCTCTCAAATAACGTTCAAGGAGAAATCTTTGGATATTTTGCTCCTCTAAGTAGACAAAAGGATAAAGTATATTTAATTTTGTACTTTGTGAAGGATATTGAATTTTGTCAAATTCAATATGACTTCTTACAGAATAAGTATTTTGCCAGAAGTGGTAGCATGGGGTCATGACAATTATGGAAGAGCTCAGATTACCCACTCAAACTCTATTAAAGAGGAACAGTTTTTGAGGTCTGAATCAGTACTGAAACCTTTAATAAAGAAGAAAAATGTATGCATGTTCACACACCTCTAAAAAAAAGCACGAACTGAAGATTACGGCAGATCAAGAGACAAATAATTTTTACAGTGTTTAATAGTACATCTGTTAGTTTGTACACAAATCCAGTTCAAAGACATGTATCTACACCATAAAAATTAACATGCATGATGTATTCAGGAATAAAATGCTGTGCCAAGTTCAGTCACAGTTTAATTGCTAGAAGAATCCAAGCTGGAAAAATATATTTTGTGGCAGCATAGTTTTTTAAATTGCACTGTTCTATTCGAGTGCGAATACGTATTTTACATGTGTATCCAGAAGAAATAGTAAGAGTTACAATGTAGTGTTTATCCATCAAACTTTTGTTACTTGACTTATCAGTAATGCCAAGAAAAATTGGTTTGGCAATAAGACAGCTTGCTTTTAGCTTAGTCCCTGTGTGACACAGCTTGCTTGGCACATACTCCCTGATACACAGTCCCCAGTCCCGTCTTATGCTGTGGCTTTTTATATTTCCATCTGCATAGGATAAGAAACCAAAGAGTCAGTTACTTCCTTACATAAGAGGCAGAAAGACAGGTGATTGATTCTATTCAGTCAGCTTGGCATTTTCACTACTATAAGATCCTCTAATAATAAAAATAGTTTCGAAACAAACTCATTATCCTCTTAAAGTGATCCCAGACGGTAAAAAAAAGGAGAGCATTTAAAAAAAACTCACTGGAATTTAGTATAAAGCAGGCCTTTAAAAAAGAAAAATTAGACACAGAAAAGGAGATCCTCAAGTCAGTACAAGCAAAGGCAAGAGAAGTTTGCAAGTACTGGACAGCTTGACATGTATGAATCTTAAAATATATGAGAAAAATACAGTAAGTTATAAAATTGTCAGTACTCACATTATCAATGCTCACGGTATTTGATGTTTTAGTAGGTGAAGAAGGTCCTAAAATAGAGAACATTTGTTAATACAACTCATCACACCATTATATTCTAAGTGGTTTGTACTGGCTTTCACAAATATATGCGGTATTTATTGTCCTCCTAATGGAAAAGCTATGCTATCACTGAAATCTCATTACTTTATGAATTTTCCAGCCCACTTAAAATTACATTTTAATTTCAGGCAACCTTAGAAGATATAATTCACATGGCAATGCAGACTCAAAAACACAGGTTAGTGGCAATACAGATTTATAGCAGCAACTAAACCAAATTACTGAAAACTGTAAAGATAGGCAGATAATCAACAGTGGACCTTTTAATGCATGCATGTCAAGAGTGTTTTTTTCTCCCAATCAATAGGACCTGTTCAATTTAATTCAAGGGAAAAATGGGAAACTGCACTTATTCCAGACAGTTTATTAAATATTGGAATAATGGGCAGATCCTTAGGTCTTGGGCATAGAGGATGGGCGGGGGGGGGTGTCTAAGCACTGTTACAGAGAGAGAGAATCCCACAGGTACAAAGCAAATAGAAATACACTATTTTCTCCTTGGCGTCTCAAAAATAAGCGAACAACCATAGCTAAACATAGTCCTTAGGACAGCTGTTAACAAATAGTCATAGCATCTTGCAGGAGAGAGATCGATGTATATTTTGACAGGAAAAGTGACACAGGGCATTGAATGACTTGGCTGTTTGGCACTGTTTGGTAGAAACTGCTATTATAGAGCAGCTATTAGAGCTACAACTTTATGAAAGGGACACAGAGCCCATCAATAAAAACAGGCTTATACAATGTTTAATACTTGATTAAATGACCCTTAGAGTGATGTTATGGTAAAAAAAAAAAAAAGCGGATCAGTGATTTTGTATATAACATAGTAGGCGATTTTAAATATTTGTATTATACAGTTCTTTATGTTTTGAGTCCAGGGTAAAATTATTTTGAACTTACGAGATATCTCATCTTGATGATCTGATGTTGATGATCAAGATAAAATATATATTTGCTATCTGATTCTGACTCTGAGTCACAAGATTTGCAATGGATGCCCAACAGTTTAGAAGTTTTGTTGGGGCCAACTTGATGAATTGTAAGGATTTCATTTAATGGTTCTATTGTATCAGTGGTGTTGCTGTAGTTCTTTCAAACCAAGTATGCATTGCTTTAGTTATAATTTCTGTTCTATATTTTTGTGTGATTTGATGGTGATTTCCATTTTGACAGAGACTCCTAATTTAAGTCTTTTTATATAATTTCCACCTGTATTTATGTATCTTTTGGCTTGAAATGACTGATGGTTGAAACAACAAACAAACACACCATACACACACACACACACACACACACGCCCAAGTAAGTGCATGTAAGACAAAATGAATATCACTGTATTTATTCCAGATGTGTATAGCCTTTCTCTACACTGGCAAGGGTAATCTTTTGACTATCCAGATGGTTGATCTCCCTCATTCATGACTAGTGAATGAGGTGGCCAATCTGGCATGTCAAACCAAGAACTAGCTGGATGAACAGGGGTGGGGGTTAGTTTCTCCCAGCTCTGCCCACTTGGTGTAGCATCAAGGTGGACTAAGGAGGGCCAAGGGGAGGGGGGATTAGGGAATTCTCTTTCTCCAGGCTCCCTCTTCATCTGACTCCTAACCTAGAGTGTTTACATCTTGTGCTGGGCCAGTAGGGATTTTTTTTTGGTGCACCATCCACCCTGCAGTCCAATGTCTCCCCCCCTCCACCTGAGCTGACAGAGGTTGTCTCAGCTGTGATGGTGAGGTCCCCTAGGCTGACAGTGGACTGTCTGAGGCAGCTCAACATTTCATACTCTCCGACAACCATGGGGCTGTCCCAACATGTTATCAGCCAAACACATACAGCAGGGTACATTCTAGTTTTTGCTTTTTCAGCTGGGCATGAGGATAGCAATCTACAGGTGGGCAAATTTGAATCAGTCCTTTTATACTGGTTAGATCACTGCCTGTTGAGATTTAGACTAGGGATGATTTTTCCACCCTGCAGGGGTATGGGACCCATTAACATGGTCTGCCTGCAGGGGCTGATAGATCTGGATGGTTTCTAGAGGGCCCGGGGGGCACTTTCCAGCTGATATGCTGGTGGTCTGGCTGACACCCTGGTTGATCTCTGGAATACAGAGATTACCTGGGTGGATAACAATCACTCCTAAGCATCCTCTCTTGGATACCCAAGAGCATATGCCTATAACTGTGAGAGAGCCCCTCCCCCCCAAAAGCATCTGACTTCTCTTTTCTGCCCAGCGCAGCTCTTCCAGAATTGTCCAGAGCCGACTACATACTGGCCCCAAGGAGATCCTGAAGCCAACGGAAGCCTGCTGCAATAAATTTGCTAGGCACTTCCCAACATCCCTTGTATCCACCAGCGCCACTGCAGTGAAATCAGGTGAAATATTAGTAACATAGCCTTGTCAAGTGTATTTTCAGGCAGGGTTCAGGCCTGATTTTGGCAGAGAAATAGCTTCTGTCACTCTGCATGATGACCTATGCTGTGGAATACAACCTTGTTGAGTCTCCTTATGGAGTGACTGTCTGAATTGGGAGTGATGGGCACTGCTCTGCATTGGTGCCGCCTGAAATTGGATGGCAGGCTGCAGAGGATATGCTATACCATGGATATGCTATAGTAGTGCTTGGCTGTGACAATGGCCTGTATGAGGGCTAATGAACTGAAACTCAGTGCAGACAAGACTGAGATGCTATCTGTGGGTGGTAGTTCTGACTGGTGGAAGGAATTCATCATGTTCTAGATGGGTTGCACTCCTCTTGAAGAAGCAGGTTTGTAGCTTGGAGGTGTCCCATGATCTATGTTTGTTATTTGAGGTCCAGGTGGCTTCAGTGGCTTGCAGTGTCTTCTACCAGCTTTGACTGGTGGCCCCACTATGCCCCTATCTGGATAGTCTGCTACCTTCATTATGTTCTGATAATCTCTAACTAGATTACTGCAATGCGTTCTATGTGGGGTTGCCCTTGGAAGCTGCAACTTGCGCAAAACGTGTCAGCCCAAGTAATAAAAGAAATCAGTAGTCCAATCATGTAACACCAATTCTGACCCACTTGCACTGGGCAGCTTCCAAGCACAATTCAAGGTGCTGGTTTTCAGCCATATAGCCCTACACAGCTTGGGACTGCAATACCTGGCAAAATGTCTCAGCACCATGTATCCAAACAACATGATCAACGTTTGAAACTTGCCTCTAACTGCCACCTCCAAGGGAGGTTCAGTTGTTGGCAATGAGAAGGACCTTTTTAGAGGTAACCTCTGCCTCACCAGTTGTGGAATGTGCTCCCCATCTGGTGCCAACCACTTTTGTTATTCCTTGTTATTGTCTGTGTTTCTCATCTGTTTTTAGCTGTTTTAAACATTTTAATTTTTATTTTCTGGTGTTGTTATTGTATTGTTATCATCTGTTTTTATAGACTGTGTAAACCACCCAGACAGCTCTGGCTGTGGAACAATAAAGAAATGAAATAATGATGGCGATAAAACGCTGTCTTTTTGGTGCCAGGTCAAGGCTTTCCTCTATTGCAAAACATTTAATTAGTTGGGGCTTGTTAGTGTTTAATCCAGGTTTTATGTTGCTTAAATTATTGAAATTTTATATGTGTTTTAAAACCTTTTGTATTGTATTTTCTCCTAAAGTTGTTACGTTCTGGTGCATTTTAAACTCTGCTTTAAAAGATGGTTGTAAAATACGTAGAATGCTTCAGCATTAAATAAAATATATAAATGAAATAGGTTGGTCTACAACCCATGGTGCTATGTCACTGGCTAAGCTGGTTAGGGCTAAAGTAAATTGCAGGGCAAAACATTTGGAGGACCACAAGCTGTCAACCCCTGAGCTATACTGTATCTACAACACTTTTCAAAAAGTGTGGAAAAACTTCTTGATGATACTTCTGTTATTACCAGTAAATATAGAAATGCAGGTTTAAGGATGCCTCTACAGAGTGCTGAATTAACCTTTACATTACTACAAACTGTTTAAAAGAAACACAGATATTTTAAGAAATATTTTAAAAATACCTACCTCCCCTAAGGATAAGCAGCGGCACCTCTGCTCCAACTGGAAACTGCTTCAGTACTTCTACCACCTGAAGATGTGTCAAGTTCTGAACATTCTGATGAAAGATTTCTTTAATTATATCCCCTTTTTGAAGGCCATGACACCACTGGTTGTCTAAAATCATCTTCACCTTCTGCCCCGCAGGGCTGTCAGCTATTGCAAATCCAAACCCTTTAGGTCCTTTGATCAGAGGAATTGTGACCAGTTCTGCTTGAGAGCATCCTGAAGAAGACACTGAAGCCCTTTGTTCACTTAGATCAGTGGAAGGGCCATTCAAGCGTCCGTTGACTAAGATTTGTCCTGGTTTTCCATTCTGGTCCAAAACCATTGTTCCAGGTATTAACTCCTGACTGATCATGCAAGTATCTCCTTTTGCTACTGGCTGGCCATTTAAGACAGGAGTGGCCGTAACAATATCTACAACAGGGTCCTCATTTTCATCAGGAAGAGGGTATCCACGACACAAAGTCATATTCACATACTGGTTAACAGGTACTAACAGAAACATCTGGACAACATCAGCATGGGTATGGCCAAGGACACACGTACCATTTATGTCTACTATTACATCACCTGTTAAAAGTGGATGAGTTATCGTTAGTACAAATAAACCTGGTACTGCATTATAGAATAATCAGAATACTATTTGTCACATCAAAGCACTGGGAGCTACTCAAAGTAGTAATGAACATAGATTGTCAATTTCCTCTTGCCTATATGCTATACAAAACAGGATTTTTCTTGTATTTAATCTGAGTCTTGGCCCTGTTACGGCCACACAGTTTTAAATATATAAAGCTTAATATAAATAATATAAATATATAAAGCATAATAGGTTGTAGACTCAGGCCATGAGTGCGTATCATTTCAAAAGGGAAACAGTGCTCATATTAGAGATGCAGTTGTTATCTGCTGTACCCACCAGTACAAACCAATCCAAAATATTTCAGATTATTGTTTCCAGAGTTTGTCTTCTAGAGCCTTCTATGTCAGGTATTTTCATATTAATATACTTCATATACAATTTTGCCTTTTAAGAAAACTAAAGCAAGTACCAAGTACATACATTTCATAGGACCAAAATCATCCATGCAAAATCAGAATACATCTAATTCTGTAAATCTTTCTTTATCAAACCATATGTCCAATCTGAAGGAAAAATTCATAAAGAGTATCCTTGACAAGCAACTCAGAATCTGACTTTGATCAGCTATATGTATCCATGACAGTGCAAATACTTACAGGTTTTTTGAACTATCTATTTATTGCAATAAGAGACAGTTAGGCCCACAGGTAACTAGTGATAAGAAAATGAGAACAAATAAACTGAAGCCTAATCCACTGTTTATGGTATCTATTTAATCATCTTCCTTCCAGATGATGGTTAACCTTTTTTGGTTCAATCTTCCAAAAGGATCAGATTTGTAGCTTTGGGGGTGCTTTTAAATTCATCCTTATCATTAAAGCTACAAGCAGCTTCTATGGTACAAAATGACTTTTGCTAGCTTCGAACAGTGCCTTAACTGCAAACATATCTGGAGCTAGATAGCCTTGTGATCTATACATGTGCTCCTGTATAGATTATTGCAAATGCATTGGATGTGGAGTTCCCTGTGCATACAGTCCAATAATTTTACTTAGTGCAAAATATGGCAGCAGGAATTCCAACTAGGTCTGTGTTACAAGCATGTAACAACAGTGCTTTGCTGCCTTTATTTCTGTCAGTTTATGTCTAAACTCAGCTTGAAGGGCTGGTGTTTGACCTATAGCCTTTCACGGCATGGCACCTTGATATTTAAAAGATTTCTTTTTCCAGTATGTACCTACCTGAGCCATGAGATCCTCAAATGAGGCTCTTCAGGCACCCTTGCAGTCAGAGATATGAGAGAAGTTCAAGTCTCTTGAACAAAGAACCCCCTTCTCAGAGCCTCACCTGGTGTTGATTTATATGTCCTTTGGTGACAGGTAAAGAACTTTTTATTTGCTCAGGCCTTTTAAAAGTATGTTAAAATTCTTCAAAATGATGAAGCCATTTGAAATGATTGGTACAATATTGACATGTTAACCTCTACATCTTACTGTAGTGCTAGAATATTTCTGCTTCAGCTGGATGCACTATGTCCCTTTGTGTTATATCACTGGAATGTGGTTAAAACTTCTAATTATTTGATATGGCTGGTTTAAGAATTATTGTGCTGTTATTTTATTTAATTTGCCATTTTAATTTTTCAATTGCTTGCTGCCCAAAAGATAAATATTCTAAACTAAATAGAAAACCAATGAAATGAAAATCCCTGTGTGGGGGGCAGGCTGAGTGCAAAGGTGATAAAGCTCACTGTCAAAGGCAACTCATGAAAACATTCCTTGAACTGCTGCTTTCATGGAAAGCAGAAGAGAACTATAGGAAAGTGCTCACCCTGCCCAAAGCATGTGCACAGACAACCAAACTCTATCTAAGAGTAGAGGCAGGAAAGCTACAGAAAGTTCCACTGATTGTTCTGCACAGAAAAACAAGCTTTATTTGAGACTGCATTGAGACCACAAAAAGGGAACGAGATATTTTTTGTTAAAGCAAAAAATGTAAAAGCCAGCTGATCCCACACATTAAGAGAACATTTTGCATACAAAGGTCACAATTAACTGAACACAGTTCTATTTCAGCAAAAGAATGAAAGTTAAGCACACCATCAGAATTCTGTTACCTGAATATCTGTACCCTTACCAAAAGAAATTTGTTTCGTGTGGTTTTTCTCTTTTCACTTAAGCTACTCTATCTTGGTTAAACCATTAATATTTTACTTTTGGGAATAATTAAAAAAAGATCTTTCTTAAGTTTATTCTTACTCCAATTCTGATCCTATTCATCACACTAAGGCATGGGTCCTCAAACTATGGACCATGGGCCGAATTTGGCCTGCCATGCTGATTTATCTGGCCCGCCTCAGAGATTTTGGACTTGCTTGGAGAAAACGATCTGAGTCGGCACAAAGGTACTCAGTGGGTAGGCTGGTGTGATCACGGGTGCGCTTGTACAGGGAAGATTAAATTTAGAAAATCCTGAAGCAATCTACAGCAGCTGTGACCTGCCCTGGTCTTAAACTAAAGTCCAAAAAGGAGAGGAATAAATGACCGAAAAGAGCAAATTGTATCATTGATTTTAAGTAGCTCTATTTTTTTAAATAGCAGTTAGTAAAGGTAAAACACATAACTAGTTGCTCAACTGTTCATTTATTCTACACAAGTTGATTAAGTAGAAGCAAAAAGATTTCCCATCTGTATGGCTATTCCATGCATGATACAGGTATTATTATATGGGCCCAGTAAGGCACAGTTGTGCCACATGTTCCCTCTTTCCATGCACATACACCTTAATTTCTTAAAGAACAGTTACTTGTGAAATTCAAATTGGGAAACTGGGAAATCTCTTTTTAAAATATAGTATCAGGCAAATTCCTGCCAGTTGAGGGAAGCAAGTTTTAATAAGACAGCCCAACAGTTCTTTGGGCATGGAAATGCCTCCTCCTATGTTCAAATACCATTCACTTATATTTAAGTAGGACTTGCCTGGGGGTTACATATGAAAATAGTGAGAGAATTATGAATACTCTTCAAATAGACACACTGATATGTTACGCTAGGGTGAAACCATGCTGGATTCCTGGTAAAAAATATAATGTTCACATATAATCTAATGATTTAATATGACTGATTAAGCACTGAGCAATTAAAATAATTAAATGAAATTTACTCAACACAAAGCAGGAGAAAAAGATTTCAGCCTAGGCACTCCAACAGTTCAAATTCAGTTACTTTCCTATGAGATCAAATACATAAATAGATCAAGCCTTTGCTACTCCTATGCTACTGTCTCCGATTTAAGAGCCACCTAACACATGCATCACTGTCATTAACAGGGAGTGCTTTCAAGTCACCCTAAAACGGGCTGCAAATAAGCCAGTGTGACTTGGTTGTTCATAGACAATCCACTGTAAGCCTGACAGTTTTGTTGTGTTTTTTTTTCTCTCTGTCTAGCCACTCGAGCATGTGACCCAAGAGACTTGTAGCAGAACTAGTCTTGTCATCCTTCCCCCCCCCCAACTCTAGTCATTACCCAGACTTCAGTACATCATGTGGAAGTGAATTCTATATTTTAAATATGCACTGTGTGAAGAAGTACTTCCTTTTATCTGTACTGAAACTCCCACCAGTCAGTTTCATGGGATAGCCTTGCATTCTAAAGCTATGAGAAAAAGAAAAGTATCTCCCTATACACTTTGTCAAAACATACATTATTTTGATATGTCTCCCTTTACTCATCCTTTTCCAGAGCTAAACAATTCCAGATGTTGTAATCTTTCCTTGCAGGGTAGTTGCTCCAGCCCCTTGACTGTTTTATTTGCCATTTTCTAACTGCGGCAAGGTGTCTTCTGGATGTTGGGGACAGTCAGCATTAATTTTATGTAAAACCAAAATAAGCTATAACCTTGGACTGGTGCCAACTGCAGACAAACCAAATAAACAAAAGCCTGCTAAGACAGGGGGTGTGTGGGTTAGTGTTCCTGGATATGGGTCTTGGGTATTTCACCAGGATGGAATTACACTCTCCCTATGTAGTCTGGAGATACTCCACTACTGAAGGCTTAAGTTCAGTGGCAAAGAATGTACCAGCTTCAGACAGTATGAGAGCTACAATCTTTTCTGGACTGATATAGTCTGGCTACAGTGATTCATGCACTGTAACTTCAAGACTGGACTACCATAATGCAGTTTATGTGGGGATACTCTTGAGAAGCTGTTACTAATACAGAATGTTTAGTGCAGCCTCGTATCATTCATGTATGGTTCCTATGTTGAAAGTTCTGCATTGGCTGCCAATAAGCTATTACGTTAGTAAGACCCTCAACAACTTATCTAAGAAATTACTTCTTCTGCACAGGCTACTTAATGTTCTGAGGAAGAAGTCTTGCTTATTGTGCCACGACCTATTGATGTTCAATTGGTTGTGGTGCAGAAAAAAGAATTCTGCATTGTGGGATCCACTATCTTATGCATTCTTAATATCCACAAGAGATAAGCAAAACAGGAAATGGGGCCCCATAAGGAACTGGCACTTTTTATGGAAAAGTCTAGCCAACAAATAGTTAATGCAGTATTTTCTTCTATTTTGTGCTAGCATTAGGATCTGACAAGGCTTCAAAGTATTTTATTGATTTTCCATACTAAGATGCTCTCTTTCATCTTACAAACTTTGCCAGCTAAGCAGATTTCATACACTTTGGATCTATGTTTTTCCATGTACAAGTATTATTTAAAGCACAGATTCTAATGAAATAAAATAACTGCCCAGAGAACCTTCTTGGTCAATGACTGGTATAGAAACACAACACAATACAACACTCATTTTAAAGCTATCATTAATTTTTCAGAGACATTTTTTATCATTTCTAAATCTTAACTACTTTTTATGTGTAGAATTTGATATGAATACAAATATTTCTTCAGAATTTCTGTACCACCAATGCAGTATTATTTATTGTCTGAACAGAAAATAAAAGTGTGTCTGGGGTGAGGTGAAATACTGTACCTGGTGCAATTTTGCCATCCTGTGCAGCAGGTCCATCTTTCAGTACATTTTTCACCTGAAGAAACTCATCTGGTCTGTCTCCACCAATTATTGTGAAGCCAAATCCCATAGTGCTTTTCTTCAGTGATGTTCGTATGAGTGCTCCTATTAACTGGGAGGGGTCTCGAGTGAAGAGAGATTTTACTGGCTCTACAAGAACAAAAAGTTTTTCAGAATTTCCACTCTTTTTATACAAGATGGACATTTTCTACTCATTTAACTCCCTGCCCCTTCCAATAAGACTTCTTCAAAGCTTTTCTCCTTTCTATTTTTCCTGTACTCTCCTCCAACTGCCCAATACAAGGTGAGCCAAAGGTTCAGTTTTTTTCAGTCTGAATTTAGTTCTTCAAATCACTGCCTATTCATTCACTTATTGCAACAAATGATAAGAATATTTTTGTGCTGATTGCACAACATTAAGACTATTAATGAATATCACCTGCAGAAATGATTTATATAGGGATTAGGCCCACCCCTCCCTACAATGCAGCCTTCATAGGTTGTCAATTCAGACTGATTCAGAAGTGGAAGAGGGGCTGCAATTCCCAGTTGACTTGCCAAGACGAGCAGACCCAGAGATAACCTAGGCAGTCAGAGAATCACAGTCTTCTATTCTGTGGGAAACTTTAGTGAACAAGCTGATATGAAAAGGGATGGACCTAATATATTTAGTCATATTATCTGACATCAGGTTAAGAGGCCCTCAGGTTAAGAGGGCCAACTAATTGAGAAGAGTCATATGTTATGGGTGATTGGCCCAAAAGCAGAATGACCCACAAGGAAGAGTCAGTTCTTTCTGGTTTGGAAGGTAGAAGAGGAATTCTTTTGGAATCAGTTTCATATCATTAAGCTGCACCTTTGTAATAGCCAATATTCTAACTTTCACCATTTCCTTTATTATTGATTTCTATAATATCCTTCTTTACATCACAAAGCCAGCCTAGCTGATCAACCTCAGCACACACTTACAAAGAATTTGTCTTGATTCTCTTGGGACAAGAAGACTGGCCAGGACAGTTTCAAATAACAAACAGTTTTAGCAGTATTGTCTTGAGGATTACTGATGCTCACCTATGATGATGTGTACTAAATGTAGAGTTGACTACATGTAGGATTGCCTGTCCTCTATTCAAGGGAGCATAATTTTCCTGCTATGCAAATATTTTCTAATTCTGAAAGTTTATGGATCACAAATTTGGGGGGGTTTTAAAAAGTAGTACAAAGCTTCTGCATACAATTGTGTCTTGCTTGGGGTTGGGAAGGGGTTGGAGGAAATTTCTGAATTAGATTGACTGCTGTTTCTGTAGGCAGTACTTTTGACTAGGAAGCCAAAGCCAGGTTTGGTCAATTGCTAATCAAATATATTAGCCAGAACACCTTGCATTCATCAGCAAAAACATTGTAGCCTATCATTCACTGATGAGATTATATAAAAATCAATTATATAACTATTTGGAAATATTAAAATTTGTATGTGCAAAATAACTTACATTACTTAATTTAAAATATTTGCGTATTACATAGCATCCAAAGAAATATGTTCAAAATGTAATTGTTGGTTAGTGCACTGCAGCTTTTAGCAGAAGCCACTGAAAGCAGCCATTGAAAGTGCTACCTGGATTTGAAGTGCCTCCATCCGTCTGTCCTAGCCGTTTTTTCCGTTTGGCTTCCAAAACTGGATTTTCAAACTGGGTTTTCTGGTTGATATGACTGTAAAGTATACAGGGTGTTAACAAACCTGCAATTATGGAACATTTTCACAGAAAACACTGCTACAGGTGGTCCCAATGCAGAACAGTGCTTTTGTTTGGAGGGCATGTCGTGAGCAGAGCCAGCTGGAGCTAGGGGTCAGACTAGATGACCCAGGAGACCCCTTCTGACTCGCTCTGTTTCTATGTTTCATGGTCCAATGTTTGTTTAAACCAGTATGGATGGGTTTGCATGACACAAGAAGTCACCAGGTGCTTATGTTACACAGTGTAGAGTGTTCATAGAAAAACCCATGATGTGCCTGACATATGATCAGTCTCGCCAAAGCTTGTTGTCCCCATCCTTTTCCCTTGGACTCTTGATAATCAAGTGTCTTTTATGACTGAACCTGTGTTATCTATTCCATCTCACTCTGATTGCTACCCTCTCTTGAAAACCACTGCATCTTGTTTTTACAAATTTTTGGAATCTCAGAAACACACAGCTAGAGTCATATTAAGCCTATGTGCAGTCTCAGTTTACTTCTATGTTGCCTACTCTTCCTAGGTGCTCCTTCAGACTGTTGAACCATACAAGGAAATAGATCAGGTAAGATTATGCATATGGGAAAGCAGTAACAGCACACTTGTGAAAGACAAACCAAAACAACCATGTGCAAGTTTCTTGGGCTGATTCTATTTTGTTACATTCACTTTTATTTTTGACAACTTCACAGTGGAGTGACCAGCTTAGCAAGAAGTGCTAAGCAAAAATCATACTCTGAGAATGTGATTTTGCATATGATTTGCAAAAAAAACATTGCGAAAATAACAATTAATATCCAGCATTCTCGCTTCTTCACTGCATAATGCTGAGGAATGCTGCATCCACACAATAGATTATCACTTATGGTCAAGTGCAACAGTTAACAATAGCTAAGTGGAAAAAAAATTGAGAACGACTATGACTATTTTCTTGTATTTCTATTGGGTAATGGGCTGCTAAAATTAAACACAGTGGGACATTCATAAATGTTTATCCTTTTGGAAATTTTTTGGAAATTTTGAAACTGTGGAAAAAACTGAAGTTTCCATTTGTTAAATAAAAAGTTTCCATTTGCTTTCCTTCCTATTAAAAATGGCAATGGGAGATTCAAAAATAAGTAATTGCTATTGTTGTTTTAGCAGCTTTACAGATTCACTGAACAAGACAATAATTCTAGGGAAAGTTGACAGTGGAAGAGAAAGACTAAATATGAGATGGACTGACTCCATAAAGGAAGCCACAGACTTGAATTACAAGTGTTGGGCAAGGTTGCAAAGGAGAGAATAATTTGGAGGGCTTTCATTTATAAGGTAACCATAGTTCAGAGATGATTTGATGGCGTGTAACAACAGATCTAAAATCACAGAGCAGTATCCAGCAGAGTGATTATACCCTGCCAATTCCACTGTGGAAGTAACCCCATTGATTGCAGCGATTTAGTGCTTCCAAGGCCAATCAGAACTGAGCAGAAACACACCCTTCACATTAGGAAACTACAATGATCTATTCCAATACAAGCATTCCACTATTTTCAGAGATTCCTGTAGGAAGAGTGAAATCTCATTTGTGTTGAAAGGGTGGTTCCTGCTTGAGGAACAAAATTGGCAAAATTTTGGTTTTCTCTACAATTCCATTTGTAGAAAGAAAATGTACTATATGTAATACACTAAATATACTCATTTTACAAGCAGACCAAGTTCCTAATCTATGTCTGACCAGCAAGAATTTCAGAAAGTAGTCCCTGAAATATTTGAATAATCCTAGAAGTAGCAGGAAGAACTAGAGAAGCAAGAAGTGTGGGGTTCCTTTTTGTAAGAAAGTTTAGGGAAATTCCAAAACCTGTTATGGTCTGTGAGATAAAACTTAGGTGGGATTGTGTTCTCTTGAACAGGTACAAATGTGTGATGGAAAGCCTTGTTTCTCATTACAGCTGAAACCTAAGCATACATATTAGAAATTTCAAGATTTCAGTGAGAGCTGGGTAATGAGCAATCTCCTATAAAAAAGCAGTGTCAAAAGTATCCAATGTTCCTTCAGTCAAAACAAACCTTTTCCAGGTGGATAAATGCCCAGCTAAGTGGCTATCTCTACAAAACATACTGATAAAAACCAAATGTTGACCTAAGCATGCATTGCCTTTCAACCTAAATTGTAACTGTACCTTTTTTATATTAGTTTATTCTCTAAGGATGAACAATACACTAACAAGCTATTCAATTTGTTTATCTAGATTTCTTTCTTCTGTGTGAAAGTTCAGTATAACTGCAGATAAGGACAAGTTTCACTAACAGCAACAATAATTAAATATCTTGCTGTAGATGGAACAATTGTGAATAGTAATAATTTAAGCACCAGACTCGTATAGCTTTTATTCAACTTAATGCAGATTACTAAATATGAGCCAACAGCCTAAATATGAGCCAGAAATATGATGCACCTGCAAAAAGAGCAAATGCTATTTTGGGATGCATTAACAGAAATATTACTTTCAAGTCATGCGAAGTAGTAATTCACTTATACTCCTCACTAGTTAGATCTCATCTGGAATACTGTGTCCAGTTCTGGGCACCAAGATGTAAGAACGATGCAGAAAAATTAGGACAGATTCAGAGGAGAGCTACAGAAATGATTCAATTTTGGAAACACTGCCAGATGAGGAGACACTGAGAGAACTGGGTATGTTCAGTCTTGAGAAGACATTATACCACTCTGTAAGTACCACAAAGGCTGTCACAAAGGAGGAGGTCAAGATCTTGCTGATATCAGAGTATAGGACATGGAATAATCAATTCAAATTGCAAGAACCCAGATTCAGTCTAGAGATTAGGAAAAGTTGACTCACTGCCAAAGCAATACTACAATGGAACCAGTTGCCCAGAGAGGTTGCGAGCTTTCCCACACTAGAGACATTCAAAAAGAAACTACACCGAGTGGGATGGTGTAAATTGGTGACCTGCAGCAGCAGGGGTTACACCTGATGGCCTTCCTGGCACCTTCCAACTCTACTATTCTATTATTCTATGACTATCATAGTCTGGGAATCTAGCCACATAATTCCCAGTAAAGGCATTTTAATGGTACTTTATATCCTGAACACAACATGTACTTCAATTTAAAAAGATCTAATTATTTCGAAGCACATGGAAGATATTAGAGTATTCTCTGCAGGTAAAGGTAATTGAACTCATGTGTGTTTTGCTTTTTTGATTTTTTATCCTATTGGCACTAAGGCTTAGAGAGCTTGATATGTTTTTCAGAACACTATCAACTGATGATGAAAATATTCTAGTCTTATACCTGGGAGTGCAAGGCTCATCTTTCCATGAGGAAAATGCAGAGTGTGTTATAAAAATTTAATCACTTCATTTTCAGTAGCTTGTGTGATAGCAAATGAGCACCTTGGCAAACAGTACTTAATAGATTCCATTTATTGCTCACATTTGTATCTCAACATTTCACAGAGGAACTAATGGTAGCTGCCCCATTTCACCCTTACAACCCTATGGAGTACGCTGAGTGAATAGATGAATTGCCCAGGATCACTGAGTGAACTTCATGCCCATGTGGGGACCTCCAACTCCAGGTCAACATCCTATCCTCTGTACTACAGCATATCTTTTTTTCCAAATAATCTTCCAACTACAAATATCACACACACACACACACACACACACACACACACACACAGTATCAGCAAGGGCTTTTCATTGGTAGCTATCATTCAGAATAGAAAGCGTCACTCACTGGGATACCAAAGAAACTGACTCTTAAATAATCAGTCATAACTTAGAGCTTGCTGCACTAAAAACATCCTTTAAAAGCAAATGACACTGTACTGGAGTTTAATAGAGTAAGCCTTCAAAATATCCCAGGAGAGTCTGTGGAAACACAGGCTCCTTAATAATAAATGCATATCTCATTTGTTGCTTTCTTGTGCACAAACCAAAAATCCTATAGAGCATACGCTACAACTTATACATAAGAAAGTCAAAATCACAAAAATGTTTCTGCCGTGTGTGTAAGAGATCTTTCTGTTGACACCATGTCTTACTTTTTTTTAATCTGTGGAAAGCAGCCTGGTGTCCTCTGTACGTTTGGAACCACAACTCCCATATTCTTATCACTGTGGTGCAAAACATCATGAGGACACAATCCTTGCCTATCTTTGTCTTGTATCTACAAGGATATATTTTCATATTCAAATATCTGCTTCAGTTCTGACGCATTACATGGAAGCTGAATAGAGATGCTTAAAGCATCTGTATGACCTCCCATATTCAGGAAATAAAACCTTCCAACTGTCTATGAAGGTATATATTAATGCAGTATAATGAGTCTAATTCTCCATCTGGAAGTACTACAAAGAAAGCTCTGTCTGTTGAGGTTTTTATCCACTGAGATTTTACATATATTGTACACAAAAAATGATTAAAAACATGCACAGAAAGTAAACTTAAAATGCACTCAACCAGCTCTGGGGGATGCCTTCCATCACTATTAGCTCATTTATTCATTCTCTGTCTGTCTGTCTCTATCACACACACACACTGCTGTAATAGGAAACAAAAGCTGGGCCAGCACTTGTCTTCAGTATCCTGTTCTATGAGTAACCTATTCCCTGCATCTGTTTCAAAAAAGTAAACAAAGTAAGTAAATAGTAAGGCTTTCAAGTCTGCTTTCTATTTTTTTACTTCTAACAATGGTGGCTGCAGTCACTAATTAAATAGAGCCATTTCCATTTCTTCACACATGGAAGTATCCATAGCACAATAATCTGAATGCTATTATTAGTGCTGCACATATTATCATCTTTTGGCCCGTATCAGCAAAACTGGGACTGAGGAAATCTAGAAAGTCAGCAGAAGCACAGAAAAAAAAATATAAGGGATACTTATGTATATAAAAAGATATTTATGACTAGTGTGAATGGCTAGACATGCAACATAGCCTTAAAGCTTCACATATGTATAAAAGACATGACACCTGGAGTTAGGACAGTAACAGACCCAGGACAATATCATATATAGAAATGCCTCTGAGGTTGAAAAGACTTGTTCATGGACTGGAGTAACAGCTTCATCATTGCTCAAGACAGGCTCCTAAACTTCCTAGGCATGATGAATATAACAATTACTGAAAAGCCTGATCTTAATATGCAGGGGGGAGTTTGCAGGTGCCAAGAAAAATTGGCTTTCAGCTTTGAGAGTGACTCCTTCAAGAGAGCACAGAAAAACTTCCAGAGCAGATAGGATTCCAGTATCACACTAACTGGAATGTGTGAGTAAACAAACCTTTTTTACTTTTGTTGCAAGCCTCTCAGTATGGATTCTAATAGATCCAGGTGCAAGCAACCTCTTAATTAAATCTGCTGTTTAATGCTTACCTCAGCTGAATGAGCATATAACCAAATATACAACAGGCTCCCAACAATATGCAAAATATTGGCAGGGAGAAAAGGGGGCAGAAGAGATTAAAGAATCCTGACCCTGTTTGTATGGGAGCTGAACAATAATAACTGAAATTGAAAATTAAAATGTGTCTATTTGATGTGTGCAAATCACATAACTCTTGTGGAAGACCATAGTGTTAATGTCAAACCAGATAAAATTGACAGTAGTAAGCTCTTGGAAGTAGGAAACATGGCAAGCTAACAATGAGTAGTAAGAGGATGGAACTGACATTATTTACCAAGGGATTATGCTGTGCCTAACATTACATAATGGATTTGGGATGCAATAAGATATTTAAAAAGTATAACCCTTACAACACCAGTTTAAAGATTTGGACTCTAGTATAAAATACTTGATTTTCACAAAGCACCATTTGCACAAATGGCCCTACAAATAACTGAGCACCTTTAAATATTTTGCAGACATTTCCAGAAAGTTCTGCTATGCAATCTGCCATGGCCTGTTCCTGATTACAGGATTGGAAACACTGCAGAACACTGCAGAAGTTCCCCAGTGCTGCACACCCCTAACAGTGAATACACTCTTTCTGAAGGAAACGTAACACCTTTCTACCTCTCCACCAGGAAAGGATGTGCAGATTCCTCCAATGTACATTATAAATGATCTAGAACCTAGTGATGGGGGATGAAAGATATACCCACACTTAGTTAAGTAAGTAGGCATTGACTGCAGTAATTCATTTCAGCAATGCCAACTAATCTTTCTCTGTGATAAACAGTTCCCTGCATTCCGCCACACTCTAGTGACACCATGAAACAAACACCTGAATATGGATTTTCTCAACCTGGAGCCAATTTCACCCCCACCCCAACCTTCATGTATCCTTTAGCCCTGGAGGGAAGAGGGAAACAAGATGCTGCGGTGGCAAGGGTCTCACTGACAGGCATCTTACAGGAGGAGCCCTTCTCACACACAAAATAATTATGGGGTCTTTTCTGAGTATTAAATAAAAATCAGGAGGTCTCACTGCTGAACACCTGGAAGCTCCATTTCCCTCAAGCAAGACATTACTGCTGCTCTCGGGGTGCTGGGGGGGTTGAATCAGCGACCGCCAGTTACAATAGACATCTGCCACGCAAGCTCTAGAGTGTGCACATGTACAAGCACACACACATACAAAGCATCTTTGTTTTTAGCCCAAACTTAAGAAATTTAGGAATACACAAACACAAACACTTCATGGAGGATATTTATTTCTTCTTGTATGAAAAAATGGTGCTTCAAATTTTCCATTTTATAAAAGTAACTGGAGCTAAAAGAAGAAATATTAACCTTGACAAGATTTAAATGCCAATGTTTCTGCAGAAAGCTCACAATCAATTTTCCAGAAGAGCACAGGCTGCTATTTTAGATCTACACATTTAAGTATTGAGGAAGAATGACCTGTGTAGGCCTAACACTTCACCATGCTTTGTCTGTCTTACTCCCTGTGAAGCTGACACTTTGGATCAAGGACATAACAGATTGTCCAAAAATCTCACATAAGCAAGTCATTATTGTGGGCCATTGTTTTACAGCTATTTTAAGTTATTACATAAAATATACTGTTAAGTTTTTAAACAGCCGGAGGCCATTTTCTGCCCCAATGCACATTGAACCAGGGGCTCCAATCACTGCACTCCAAAAAGAAGATGGGGTCACAAGTTGGCAATTCTTATAACAAAGCAAGGTTTCTCCAGGAAAAATACCCATAAGCTAGTTTTCAATTACCCTAACTCCCTACCCTTTTCTTTTGTAACTTAACAGGCTTCTAGCAAGGGGAAACCTCTAGGACAGGGGTCTCAAACTCAACTTACCTGGGGGCCGCTGGAAGTAGAGTCTGGGTGAGGCTGGGCTGCATCAAGTATTCCACCACCATGGTGGTGGTGGGCTGCTCATCCAGAGGCTGGCCCAGGTGCCGCCGGCGCTTTGAAGGCCGCAGGGCCCCTCCCCTGTGCCCTGCCCATCCCGGCAATTGGCCAGCGGGCAGCTAGTTTGAGACCCCTGCTCTAGGATGTATGCCATTTTTTATTCAATTTTTCCTTAAAAGAGGAAAGACACAGAGAAACATAGCAACCACACTCCCACAAAAAATTAGAGAGTTCCCCTTCCACAGAAACTACTGCATCAATCATTAAACTTTGCAGGCATTAAACTCAAGCAGGTCAAATATGCCTTCAGTGTTGATCTAAGTGTGTTCAGAAAGGGTTTAAAATTGGCAATTCCATTTTTTTAAAAGCAAAGTATTAAACATGCATAGTACAAAGCTGTTGCTGCTCCTAGTTCTCTGTCTCCTCACAGGCATAATTTCCTCCTAAGAGATACTATCCATTTCTGGATTACCTACTATTCAACAGGAAGCATGAAGTGTTGGATTTCCAAACCTAGGCTCTGATCATTACTGAACTGAAGACTAAATGAATCTGAGCAGAAGACAGCTATCCAAAGCAATAAGTTGGAGACCAAGTTGAAGGAAGTCCATGCACAAGTATATATAACTCTTCCTATCTTGTATACATGAATATGATTCAACTATCTGTGCAGATGTTACTGATGCTTCTGGAAGATACAGACATATTTAAAAAGCTTTCTGAAATGTGAGGAACATTGCCCTCCTAATCATGTTTTATAACTTAAAACAGAACTCTGCATTTATTGCATATTACGCTCTGCTTCCCTATGAGTCATGTCATAAAATTAAGCTATCAACAACTGTGAAAAAAACAAACAAACAAACAACTCACTCAACATAGTATGTTCCATACTGAGGGTCTTCTATTCTTTCCCAGCCATAAGGAAGCTCTGTGAAGAAAATAATTATTGTAGTTTATTACTTATTGGTTAAATTTATGTCCCACCTCATCCTGTGAGTTCAGAGAAGCTTACAGCAATTTTATAAATACCCAGCACTGCCCCCAAAGGGCTCATGATCCAAGTATTAAATCTGGATGGCATGGTAAAACAAGAAGTGCAAAGCTGCTTCTTCAAATTTGTCAGATTATCAAGATATGAACAGAATTAAAATGAAAATACAATTTTAAAAGGCTCCATATCACTCCCATCCTAAACTTTGTTAAAGGGTATTTGGTTGTAAATAACCTGCCTAGTTCTATCTAATGGACTTGCCATACAAAACGTAGGTAGAGATGATAAATATCTGCCTTGCTTGCTCCTTCTCCTGCTTCTAAAAAAGTATATATGGTTTTCATCAACACCAACTGGTGAAACAACAGCACAGTGAGATAGTGATGATTCACCTCAATTCCTCTGATTCTTCCAATAAGATACTGAAGGAAGTGTCACCTTTTGTAAGAGGGTAAGAAAATTAGAATTTTGTCGGGGCAGGTTTGTTTAGGAAGTATCTTTAAAATGCATGCATCTTTAAACTATTGGTATTTTCTAGGAAAATTTCTAAATCCTGCTATTTAAAACTGAGGGCAGATTTCTACAGACTTCTAGAAGTAACTCTGTTACAGATATGGAGGCATGTGTATAAAATTGTTCCAATCCAATGTTTACAATGATGTTTACCAGATTTTCCAAACTACCAATATTAAAAATGGGTGCTTACTGTAATGAAAAGAAAGCTTCAGAAACTTAGTAATAATGTAAGGCCATAAAAATTAAAATGTTATTTTATTCAAACAACTCATTTTTCATCTGTAATACTGATTAATTAAACTTGAAGCAATTTCAGTAACTACAACATGGGAAAGCCTCAATTAAAATGCACACTGAAAAAGCAATCAAGTGCCAGTGCCCATTTCCTTTCCAAGATTAGCCCATGTACACTGCTTTCACACAACAAAAACCCATGAAATTGTTTGGCTGTTCCTTCAAGTTTATACATCTTATAGATGAAGGTGTCAAGTATGATGTTTTCAACATGGTAGAAAAATCTTGTTTAATCTTAAATGAAAATTTATTCTCCTCTATCCCCTTTTGTTGATTATGAAGGACAGCATTGGACTAGTAATTTTGTTTGAATACACTTCAAATATACAAACAATAAATTTCACATTTTCTATCAATAAAATTTGATACTGTGGCTCTTTTAAAGCTGTATATCATGGCATTTATTAAGATGTTAGCACGGATCCAAGGATTTGTGAGGAAAATTTCATTTATAAAACACTCCTAGGCATGGAATATGGGTGGAATCTCATTGATTCTCCATGCAGTCCTCTGTTTTTCTGAAAATCTGCTACAGGGTATAGAGAAACTCTCCAAAATAACAATTGAGGCTTCAGAGTTTGCAAAACTGGTCTCCTTCCATGGTATCTCAGCCTTTCCTGTAAACAGAAGGCTTTCTTTTATTAGCGGAAGGGCTGTTCTGAATCCAACGAATTCCATAGTAGTATCAGGTGAAGTGTCATTCATAGGGCAGGTTGTTTGGCTCTCCCTATCAAATAAACTGCAGCAAAATCTAGCACACACTGCCATGGTGGCAGTGAGTATTGCTGTTGCGAACATGCCAAAACTCAAAGTAACCAGAAGGCATATACAGAAACTTTGTCCTGTGTGATCTTTAGCAATCTGCCATTTTTGTTCTTTTAAATGGAACAAGTCCTCTGCAAAGGTGACTGCCAGCAACCAATTAAACCTCCTTCCCAATGGAGGAGATCACAGTGTGCCGGGATGTACACTTCACAGTAGCACAATGCTTCTGGGTTAAGTCTAAAATATTTGCTGGCTTGGCCTGGCTCTGGTTCAGGGGCTAGTTCAAACCAGCCAGAGCCAACCAGAGGAGACCTTTTGAGCAAGCTGGCTAGTTTGCTGTAGTACCTTAGGAGAGAGATCTGGATGAAGAAGAATGACCAAAACTTGTATGTAGAATAAAGTTAATGTTGTTGTGCTGTGTTCTTTCAATTTGAGTCAAGATGAAGTACTTGCATATTTTAAAGAAACATACTCTTGGTGCTGCGGTTTTCTGTATATTTAAAAAAAAGCCATTTACAAGGGAGAGTGTTCTTATATTTTTTAACAAGAATCAATGTCTGGTGTTGCAATTTCTTGTTTATATTTTAAAATCAATGTATACTGCTGGTGCAAGAATTTCATCTTTTACAAAATTCAATAATCCATACTGTTGTAGTAATACCTTGGTTTGAGCAACCAAAAGAGCAGAAAACATAAGCACGTTTTTAAGATCCCATTCCTTCATTGGATACGTTGTTAGAAGGCAGGGGAATAGGGAGAACCAAAACAAAAACAAAACAAAACCCCAAACAAAAAAACCTCTTTAGATAAGGAAGTCATGCCATTTGCAATTTCTGGCTACTCTGAAGATGCAATACAGGAAGAGGAATTTCATTACCTCAACTATTAGACTGTGCTACCACTGTTGGTTCCAATTTTATTTTATTTTTTGAATAACATCGGAAGTTATTTCTTGGTTAAGATGTTAATCCATGAGCTGCCTAATTTTTCTCTGTGGTTCACTGATGCTGCTTGTTTCAATCAGGTTGCGGTATACACCTGAGAAAATCTCCCAGAACCAAGGGTGCAATATATCACTTCTCCTTCCCAGAACATTTAAGGGCAACTCCAGCACAAACATACAACCATGACCATTACTTGAACTGCTGTGCTTGGACACTCCTCCTTCCACATTCTACTTTGAGAGTTGTCTGAATTTGCCAAAAGTGTGACTTCACTACCAGAGTTCTTCTTCCCCATCCAACTTGTTTTTTACAATACACTGCCTGATGAAAAGATAAGGAAATCTCAAAACTTTATTTCTGTTCATTAGTTAATTTAATAAAGGAATTACACCAATAAGGATCCTAGTATTTTGCTTCTGGGCAACATAGCTATATTTACTATTTTGGGCAATCTTTCGCAAAGTCTTTAACAAAAGGATGCTTCAGGAAGCAAAGTTCATATGTTTAAAAAACACGGTGCTTAGCGGCCAAACTGCATGTTTGTCACAGTCGCCATGCAATTGTCTCACTTGTGTCATGCCAGTGGCCTGCCTTTGACTTCCCAGCCACAAGTAGTCTTTTTTCATACTTACAACTATTTCTTTATGATACCAATATTAACATTTCTCATAATTAATATAGAGACATATGTACACGCAATCCTTTCTAAAACATTGCTTCAATTGTTAGATACATTATGCAACTTCATAAAAGGTGAATAATTTACAATCACAGTACTCAATCGTTCTCAGCTTAACATAACATTTTTATACAAATGTTTCTGAAAAAAAAATACATGAAGAGTATCGCCCATCTGCCTCTAAATCAGGTATGGGGAGCCTTCAGGCTTGGGGACGGAGATGTTCCCCTTCCCTGGTGCCTCCTGCTTTCCTCCAGTTACTGAATGGTGTCACCTGTCTTTTGTGTTTAATATTTAAACTTATTACAACACCTACAAAATTAATTCTATTCAAACTCAGTTAAAGTAAATCCACAACCAGTGGCCCAATGTCACCCAGTGGCTGAGTGCGGACTAGAACATGAATCTTCCAAGACTCAGTCCAGCATTATAACCACTAGACCACACTAAATTTCCCAAATGTGATCCCTAAGTGCTTCTCTAAAACTGAAGCTGTCCCTCAAGCTAGAAGAGGTTCTTCAGTCTGATGGCTGTTCAGACTGTATACATTAAAAGAGCAAGAGCTGAGGCTTAAGTTGCCTTCTGACAGTAAATTTTAGTTTATTAATTCTGCTGCTTTTCTGAGACATCCTGAAAAAAATTGACTATAACAGAAACAGAAAACCAGTGGACCTCCAAATGTTGTTGGAATACAATTCCCATCATCCCTATTATCTATGCTGACCAGAGCTGATGAAAGTGAAGTCCAATAGCATCTGGAGGTTCCCATCCTGTGTAGCAAATATGTGTAGATATGTAGAAAATATCTAGAGAACACAATCCTTAACGATGAAAGAGGAAAAGGAACAAATCAGTTCTTGTACTCTCTTTCTATAATCATGCATTACAACATGAGATCACTCTTGGCCACCTAGTGCCTAAACATTAGCTTGTGCACAATTCTTTTAGAAATGTCATATTTGTATGCAAGAGGAGATGGCAAACACAGACATCACTTCCCTCTGATATTGTCAAATGTATAATAATAAACTGACCTGAACAACTGACTGCTTGCATAATGAAGGCTAAGCTTGAATTGGAAGATGTCAAAGCCTGTTAATTTTCATTTTATCGTAACAATTTTATCTCTGCACTTTTTCCTAATGCCCAAGATTCTACAGAACTTCAATAAGGCACTTTTTGCAACTTTGTGCTAAATCAAGCAATACAGGAAAACCACCTATAGCCATGTTAGCAATTCACTAACACTCAAAAACAACTTTGCAACTGTTTACACCAACTCTAAGCAATTTGCATATTAATTTTAAATGGCTTGTGTAAAAAGTGATATGCAATGGCCCAGTTCATTAGAACCACCACTACACCATTAAAAACTTGAACTGAACTTGGTGCAAGAAAAAGGATCTTGAGCTTCTCACCTCCATCTTCACAATCTTCAGGAGCTTTTGCTTTTTTGCAAAGACGAGGATCCAACCAGGTGGTGGTTTTGGTGTTGTGACTGTGGGACACAGAAGACCCAGTTAGAAAATATTCCTCCAAAGCCCCTACACATCTAGTTATAGAGATAAGGGAACTTTTTGCCTTTATTTAAGCCCATATTGTTGCAAGTTACATGGGGCATGATACAATTAAAGCAGAAATGATCCACAGCTCTGCATATTAGGTTGTTTGTTTCAAGCAGCTGCAGCTAAAGGTAGGAAATAGGAAAGGAAGATTTCTAAGCAATTCACTTCACTGGTTCAACAGTATGAAGCTAGTAACAAGATATAACTGTTTTTAGCAATTTGAAAAAATGTCAGCGTCACCTGTGATAAATAGATTTAAAGGTGAAACTGTATTTCAGACTTTTTCTATTTATGATATATTGTAGTTATGTTCTTTTATGACAATGAAATCAGAAGCTCTGCAAAGGAAAATCAGGAAATCAGGAAAAAACTGTGTAAGAGATACTGGTTAACAGCCACAGTTTATGCAGTTTTACTACAAAACAGCAGGTTTGTTTAGAGCAAGGCTTAGGTTACAGTTGTCAGAAAATACTGGTAACTCCTCAACATTCAATGCGTGATGAATCCAGGAATTCTGTGGATGTGTGTGGGTGTATGTGCAAGTTTAGCAGAGAACAAACAGGCTAATGAAACAAAAACACACATGTCCCTTCTGGCTCTTTATAACACTTCTAAAAGCATTCTGTATTAAGCTTGATTTTAAGAATATTTGTAAAAGTAAAGGTACTGATGTAAAGGTACAAATGAAAAGAAAGGTACAAATGAAAAGAAATAGATGTTTTTGAAGACTCTGGATATTCTGTTCCTCCATCTGCTGTTGACTACTTCAGACAAGCTGCTGGAAGACTTATAGAAGAAAAGGAGTGGCCTCTGGTTAGAGATTTGGTTGGAGTTCAGTTCTGGTTTCAGTCTGGAGGGAGCAATTCCCACATAGGTGCATGAGCCCTATATGTCCAAGGACACATGAAAGAATTGACAAAAAGGATCCTTTTTGTCTAGACCTCACTTCACCTGTACCAACAAGAGTTTCCAGAAGCCCTGCATGGCTTCCAAGATCTCCTACATCCAAGGAGTTCCCCCCTTTCCACAGGATCCAACTCTACTTGGGAGTCACCAGCCATCAGGTAGGGAAGGCAGCTTTCTGGACTCCAACTAGCACCGGACTCTAACCGGAGGCCCTCCCTTTTCTTTAGGAACTGGGTCTTCTCCCAGGCAGTGGCTCTTTCCAACAGAGGCTTTTCCTTACCCAGAGACTCCTTGCTCTGTCGGGGTTGGCTCTCTTAAGTCTTGATTTTTCCAAATCACCTTTCCTCAAGCCCTGCTCATGGCCAGTGGAGATTCCCATGTCTATTTCTTATCAGCTCAAGATTCACACAGGCTTGCCATGTTTTTACTCCCTGCACATTTGCAACTTTTATGGAGGCTATAACCAGTTTCCACCATCCCTTTGATTACTGTACCCAGGTCAGGTTAGCTTGTTAGTTGTGGGTTACACAATATTCATTTTGTTCTTATTCCCACTCCCTTCTAGGACAGTATGACTGTGATGTTTTTACTATGTGGCCTCCCTCAGGCCAACTATTTCTGGGGCCTTCCTCTGGCCAACTACTTTTGGGGTGCTGCAATTGATAACAGGATGATCCAGTTTTACAACACAGCAGCCAACACCTATCTGATTAAATTTTTAAGAAATGAAGTGTTGAGTTCCCAAACAGACTACCCATATAACTGATACATTTGTGTTAAACATATGAATCTTAGCAAATAAAGAATCCTGGCAAATTAAAGTATTTCAGAGTACAATTTTAAAGGTTTATACAGAAAGAAGTCCAACAACCCCCAGCATTCTCCAGTCATCATACGGAGAGTTGCAGAGCACTTTCGATCTAAAGATATGTACATAATATTGCATGTAATACATAATATTGTACCCTTTGTTTTACTAACTTCCACATATTTAAATAAGAATTTTACAGAGCTTCAAAGGAGCAATCTTTCCAAATGAGTTTATTTGTCTTTACTGGGTGGGGGAAATGCTACAGAGCCCTCATTTTCTCCAGACCAACCCATGCACTGAAACATGACAGAACTTCTCTTCAACTGTTCAAATGGATAGTGATTGCATACAGTTAAATCAATTGCTCAAACAGTACCCTGTTAATCAGACAAAAACCTTCAAACACTTGATTGCCCTAAATTTCACACAGTTTTACAGAAGTCTACTCACTCAATGAAGTAGATCATGCCTGTGTCCGTGTAGGCCATTTCCCAATTCTTGGGCAGAGGCTCTAGGTTTTCTTCTCTTGATAAATAGTTTCTGAAATCCATAGAACTACTTGTCTGATTGTAACTAGGAACAGGCTTCATCCAATCAGAAGAATCTGAATGTCTGTCTTTGTTTTCTGCAATTGTTTAAGGTAAATTGTTAGTTTACCCCATCTTCATGCTTCTTTGCACACAGGTACCTTCCTGTGTTGGTTGTAAAGCAAATATTAAATCCATAATTTCATCTGAATTTTTACACAATGTTGTTTTTATGCTATAAACTTCAAAGACATAAAAGTTTAACTATTAAAATATCTGGGTAATAAAAGTTTTCAACTGGCACCAGAAAGAGAAAGGAGTAGGTGCCTCGGATATTTCTTTGAGGAGCTGAGTCCGTAAGTGAGGTGCCACAACTGAAAGGTCCTTCTTCTGGTTGCCACACTGCTTACTTCCCTCAGAGGGGGCTGCTTAAGAAGGACCTCAGACGATGATCTTTAGGACATTAATATTTTTAATAGGGGTTAATATTTTAAACCCTAGGTTTTAAATATTAGGGTTTAAAATGTTAGCACTAGTACTTTGAACTGGATCTTTTTAAATAGAACATTGTTGACATTGTTTTAATAGAATTCTGTACATGGTTCTGAGGAGTGTTGTGCTAATCGAACAGTAAAGAAATGCCTAAATAAATATACAATGTACATTATTCATTTTCACCTGCCTAGATACACTTCCTCGTTCCTATCTGTGGTTATAATTGGGAAAAACATTGGGAATCCAAGATTTGGAAAGAGCACAAGTTGTCACTGAAGAATAAAGAAAAATGAGGCTGCTTAAGAAGTAACTTACTCTGTTGTGCACATTCGAACTGGCTACCTTTCGATCAACCAGCCCAGCAGCACAGCAGTTTAAACTACTGCACCACCTGCATCCCGATTTTAAGAAGGAAAGGGGTAAAGTGGGAGGGGTGGGTGTTCCTGTGTAGTCTTGGATATCTGCTCATAAGTAAAACTCATTGTGTCTCTTAGGACTTCTTGAGCTATAAATATGTGTTCATATTTTCGGCTGTTGGGGGAGAGGGAAGGTTAAAAAAACATGCTTACAGGGGAATGATTTCTGCTCTATGCAGTTGTGCTGTGTGTCTTCTGAGGCAAAAATAAGATTGGACCTGTAGTCAAGTCTATCAGTCACTGATAACAGTATATGACAGCCTTGACAATATTATCAGTCAGACTTTCAATGACTCACAGCCAAAATTGAGACTCATAAAACCTCTACTAGTAGCCTGACAATTGTAGCAATGCCTGTTTGGTCCAATAAATAAATAATTATTTGTTCATATCTTGCAGCTCTCAAACACCTGACATTTCATTGAGCAAGTCTGACCACACCTGGTATGTCGACATCAGGATAACTGTCAGCAATTGCATTCTTCACAAATTCATTCACCGCCCCCGAAAGCCATTGGTGACCGAATTGGTGGTCATTATTACAGTTTGTAGAACTAACTGTGTGGTATATGAAGAAGTGCAACCCTTTTATTTGTCCTGAATCTCCCAACTATCTGGCTACTGGGATGACCAGCTTCTAGTACAAGAGAGGGAGATTTTTTTCCCCCTTTTTCTACTTCTCCACCCCAACTAAAAATCTGTACACCTCTATCATGTCTCATCCTACTGAACTATTTTCTAAGCATTTCCAACCTTTCTTCACAAATTGCTCCAGGCTCTTGAGCTATTAGTTGCCCCTTTCTATGCTGTTTTCAACTTTATCATTTTTCAACGTGGTGACCAAAACTGTACACAGATATTCTACATGCATCACATCAATGATTTGCGTAAGGACAATTGAATCTTCAATTCCTTCCCTAATTATACCTAACATGGAGTTCGTCTTTTTCACAGCAGCTGCATACTTGGTAAATATTTCCACTGAGTTGTCCATTCCAACCCAAACATGTCTTCCTTAACAGTCACTGCTAGCTCGTACTCTATCAGCTTAGAAGCTGGTATGTATTAATATGGCTTTAATATGTATTATTTTACACTTGCTTACACTGAACTTCACTTGCCATTTTGATGCTCATTCTCCCAGTTTGGAATGATCCTTTTGGAGCTCTTCACAATTCCTTTTTGTTGTAAGCATCCTAAATAATTTTTATTGTTTGCTAATTTTGCCATTCCACTACTCACTTCTAATTCCCAGCCATTTATGAATCAGCAAAAAAGCCCTGGTCCTAGTACAGATCTTTTATTTTATTCTTTTCCTTTTAAAATTATTATTTTAAACCATGTATAGAAAGTGAACAGTACATAAATGCTATTTTGTTCCTTTTCTATAGATGCACCATCTACACATTTTATTTCATACAGTTACAAAATCTGAGCATTCTGGATAGGGGTTATACTATGATTTTCTTCCGGAACAGAAGAATACAGTAAATAAAATTATAATCTAGGAAGACTGCATCTACTCAGACTAGTCAGATAAGGATTAAAATCACACATTTCTCAAATTAAAATACCCACCCAACAAAGAAAAAAAAAAAAGACAGATCAAGATGGCCATGCTGGTACTCAGGAATAAATGCATTACTGCAAAGACCCAATAGAACAAGTTACAGAACACTATCTGTTGTTACCTAAAGTTCATGGCACAATGGACCACTCTAATGTATCATCAGTAAGTAAAACCAACCCTGGACAGTTACACTGACCACTCACACACCTTGTATAATAGGCTTGCATTTGTTCATAGGCAGTCCCCCAACCTAGAAAGGATACTTATAACTAACAATGACCTCACAACAGAGACAAAGAAACAGAGATATAAACAAAGGAACCATGGCAGCCACAAATGCCAACTGTCTTCAATCTAGTGTGGCAACAGTATTAAAAGACCTAATAATGACATTCACAACATCAGGGGCTTATATGGCTGATATGATATATGCCATTACTTGCCAGCGATGCTATAACTGCATTCTACCTAGGACAAACTGGCCAGTCTCTATACAAAAGGACAAGTGGATATAAATCTGAAATCAGGAATAGCATCACAAATCAGAAACCAGTGGGGGAGCATTTAGCCCTCCCAAAGGTAGGGTTCACTAGGCTCTGCAAATGATTTTAAGATGAATAAAGGAACATACAAAAAAAGATATCAATGTGAAATTGTCAAAGTTGGTAAAAAATCAGCTCTGCTCACTGTGGATTAAATAAGGACAACAGTTTTTAATCACACCATGTAAGTAGATCACCAGTGCAATCAACGGAAAGCAAAAACTGCAGCCTTTTTGAGAGATAAACTAGAGGGAGTTGGTGACTCTTTGAGGCAATGTCCAAGGTTGATACCTCCTGCAGCTTGGCTACATATACTGCTACCACCCGTGCCCATGCCAGCCAAGACTTCAAATTCCTGCACTTGTACACATTCCCACAGTTGCACACCTACCATTAACAGCACAACAATAATGAACCCATGTGCATGTTTTGCATGGAAATGTTGTAAAACAATTATGTGACAGCCCCTCCAAAGTGTCACTGAGACACTCTGAAGGAGCTGTTTACACAAGTGCAAAAAAGTTGCAATTGGCTTGCTGTTGCAGTAGAGAGGGCAGCAAAGCAGTACTGCTTGGGCACTGTTGGACAGCCAGACAATCTCAGCAAAAGCAGCAATAGCTTCTTTCCACTGTTACCAAGTGAGTTGCTAGCCGAACGCCCCCACCCATGATGGGTTCAGACAACATGATAACCTAACTGTGGGTACAACTCCTAGAATAAATTATGGGAAGTAATGGCATTTGCTGACCTCAAACAAGCCATCCTGTGAGAATCAGTCTTAGACAGACTTATACAGCAAACTATACTGGGTAGAACCCACAATGGGTGACTGTGTCATGGAAACGCAGTCTCTGATTTATCAACCAACATTTTGTGCATGGAAACTGTTAAAGTAACTATCATTGTCTGTATTTTCTACATTTCAATTCCCTGTAACGAAGTAATTTCCCATAAGCACTCCTCCACAAACACATTTGTATATAAATTTGCTATTTGGGTTAGCTTGCATCTGATGAAGTGAAGAATGTCCAAACTTAACACTAGAATAAATGTGTTATCGGTTATACTGCAGTACACTACCATTAAAGCATTCAATTTCATCTGGTGTTTATGAAATGAGTAAGTATGTGTACTGACCTGTTCCACCATTACCATTAATAGCTTCCTTTTCTTCTTCTTCTTCTTCTTCAGGGAGGGAACTGTCCATTTTCTGCATCTTGCTGACTGATGTTGTTCTTTTTCTTTGAGATTCTGGGTCAAAATCATTATCAAAAAGTACTTGATCCACTGGATCTGGCTGAAATGGGCTGGGCTCAGCTGGAGGCTTAGGAGTACCATAGAAATTACCTTGCATGTACACACACACATGCATACGCACACACAATTATATGAGAGAGGGGGGGAGGGGGGAGGAAGAGAGGAGAGCATTTAAACAATAAACAGAATTTGTATTAAGTATTTCCACAAATAATTTGTTTCATTCTACTTTTTCAAGGTAGGACCGCATTCAATATGAATGATCATATTTGAACTTAAGTATTTAGCTTAAGTCTCAGCTAAATTGTACTTAATATCATTTGTCTGCATGTCTTAACTGAAGATGTCATCCAGGTAAGTCAGCCTACCAGAGCCTGGTGTCCTCCAGTTAGTTAGTTAAAGCTTTTGTATGCCGTCCCCTTGCTATATAGCCTCAGGATGGCTCACACAAATAAATAAATATAATACAAATACAGTTAAAACCCAGAAACATCCCGGCTGCACAATTAAAACCTATAAATATTAAACGTTGTTAAAATATTGTTTCAATAAAAAGGTCTTAGCCTGGCTCCGAAAAACAAATAATGATGGCGCCAGGAGGACCCCTCTGGGGAGCGCATTCCACAGATGGGGCACCACCGCAGAGAAAGCCCGCCTCCGGGTACTCTGCTTCCTGATGTCTCTCATGGAGGGCTCCCAGAGAAGGGCCTCTGCTGCCGATCTCAAGGGGTGGGAGGGCAAATATGGAAGCAGGCGTTCCATTAGGTATCCAGGTCCCAAGCTGTTAAGGGTTTTATAGGTGATTACCAACACCTTGAATTAAGCCCGGACTTCGATGGGAAGCCAGTGAAGCTGGTAGAGGACTGGGGTTATATGAGAATAGGTATGTGGCCTGCAACCTCCAGACCTCACACAACCTATCTAGAGAACACACCAGGTTTTGGAAGGCTGAGTTGGAGAACCAAGACTTTTGAATTTACTGACATAAAAATTCAAAATAATGCCTGATCTCTTTCAAAATCCTAACATGGCTCACAGATAATAACTTTAATAAGGCTTACTACTTTTGCATTGATGTTCTGGATACCAAGTCCTTCTGTTATCTTACAATCTTAGTTTCAAGCTTATCTTTGACATGTTATAAATCATTCCACAGACATGCTAGTACACATTTTTCTCCTACAATGTGTGAATAACATGCCTGTAGTTTTAAATACTCATATCTACACTCCAGTACTCTGATCATACTGGGAATGTATGTTTGTATCACATTCAGGGTGCTGTGAAAGTGTCTTTCCAGTTGTCCCTGACTTTCCCCTTGCCTCTTTGGGGGACCCATGGTTGAGGGTGTCTATGGGGCCAAGTGAGGAGAAGATGGGGGTCCCAATTAGCATAGTGTCAGGTAGAGGGAGGTACTCAGAGAAAGACTAGTGAGGTAAAAGGAACACAACCCAGAGAGCTAATGGTTGTCACATGTTATGGTCCTCCCCTGACCTGTGTGTTTGATGGCTGCCATGTCAGCCTGCCCTTGGGTCTCCAGACGCAACTTTAAAATGTCATGTTGGTGCAAAATAAAACCTCCCTCTTGAACAATTTAATCTGGCATGCATAACCAATACCTGGGTGGGAGAACAGGAAGGAGTTAGTCTCTCCCAGTTGTGCCTACCAGGGTACTAGGTGCAGCATCAGATAGTTGTGAGAGCCAGGAAAGCCGGGGTTGCTGCTCTCTCCAGGCAACCTGTTTGTCCAACTAGTCTGGAGTGTTTGCACCTTGTGTTGATCCAGCAGGACAGACTGGAGATTCTGCTGGTGTGCCACCCACCCTGCAACCCATTAGTCTCCCTACATGAGCTGACAGAAGGCATCTTGGATGTTATGCTGGGGTCTCCCATGCTGCTGGTCCTGGGGGACTTCAACATTCATGCAAAAGGCATCCTATCTGGAGCAGTTCAGGATTTCCTTTCCACCATGACAACCATGGGACTGTCCCAACATGTCACTGGCCTGACACAGGTGGTAGGGCATACTCTAGACCTTGACCAGATATGAGGATGCTGTTCTCAGTGGGAGGAACTTCAATTCTGCCTCTTTGTCATGGTCAGATCACTGCCTGCTGAGATTTAGACCAATGGGAGTGTTTCCCCTCTGCAAGGGTGGGGGACCCATTAAGACAGTCTGCCCTCTGAGGCTAATGGGTCAATATGGTTTCAAGAGGGCTTTCAGGGATTTTCTTGCTGACATGGCTGGTTGCTCTGTGGAATGCAGTTGGTGCCAGGTCAAGGTAACCCTCTATGTGATGGCCTTCAAAGATCTCTCTGGTCATTCAGGAGCCTGGAGGGATTATCCAAGTATTTTTTCTTCTTGATGGATCTTTTTATTGTATTTTAATGCATTTTAAGATATTTAAAATTATTTAAACTCTTTTTAACATTGTTTTTATATTATTTGTATTGTATTTTTACTCTTTTATATGAATAAACCATACAGAGAGCTTCAGCCATAGGGTGGTATAGAAATGAAATAAATAACAAGTGTCCATAGACGATTAAAAGACATGTTCTGCTTTGCAAGTAATTACCAGAGATGTTCAAAAAATATGTGCCAAATATGGCAATGTATTTCTGTTACTGTTGTTGAACATTTACTCCCAAAGTGGCTCCCTCACATGGGGTTTGTTATTTTATTTTATTTTTTATTTTTTAATGTCCCAAAATGAGACGTAAAAAAAGATTTGTAGGAGTAAAGGAAAAATGAAATAAAAATCATTTTTAACATACTGCACACAATATTTAACTAATCTGAAGCAATCTGCCATTTTTGGCAGACTGAAGCCCAAAGCAAATTTATTTTGTGCAGTAACATGAAACAGCAATTTGCACAAAGACAATATTAAAATACACAGTTGGAACTTTAGTCCCATGCTTTCAGATGGAAGCTTGTTCTCCAAATAAAGCTATTAACGCAATATTGAATTACACCTTGGAAAACTAAAAATACTATCTTGCCTCACTTGAGGGGTCTCAGCAGTATTTTTCTATAAAATAAGAGCCATGGAACAAAAATATAACAATTGGCTTTCATGCCTTAATTAATCATATGACTTTAGTAAGGTTATGCCACACAACACAGAGGAGATTGCCAGATTGCTATGTTAATATTTTGAAATGAAACATTATTTTGTCACTGCAAAATGTTTTGAAATTCCATATCAAATGGCATTAGCAACTGTTGTTACTGTTGCAAGACAGAATAAATGGAAACATTGGCAAATGCTCTCAGCTGATTCAAATGTGACATTGAGGACATGTTTAAAAGCATGTCAATTTATGAACCTTAAAAGGCATTGCAGCTGCAAATATTTATACTACACTTTCATAACCTGTTCCCACAGCAAGACTCTATGATGGGAATGGTTCTGTTTTTCCTGGGGTCACCCTCAGCCCTCTAGCTGGTGTCCCAGTGACCGATGCAGCAAAGCTCATCTTTTCTCCCACTCCTCACCTGAACGGCTTTCTCTTTCCACTCAGTAAAAGTTTTTTGCCAAGGCCTTGGAAATGTGCAGTGGGTGTCAGGGGATTTTTTTGGATCCTTGTGTTCACAATTCTTTAAAAACTACTATTATTGTTTAGAGCCTTGGGCAAGTGCATTCTTACAATACATATAAGTCTAGCCTGATCAATTCCTTCTTGGGGAGCCCTCTTTGAAGGAGATCAGAAGAGTGGCTAACCAGAGAAGGGCCTTTTCTGCAGTAATGCCTCAGCTTTGGAACCTGCTCCCCAGAGAGTTGTGCCTGGCGCTGAAGCTTTATTCATTTCGGCACCAGGCCAAAACTATTTTATTTTCCCTATGTTTTAAGGGTTATTGCTATTTTAATGATGGTTTTACTGTATATTTATATTCTATTTATGTGTGCTGCCTATGGTATTGCTGTCCTGAGATCTTTGGTATTGGATGGGATATAAATGGTTTAAATAAATAAATTATGACATCTATTCTCTCTTGAGAACAGATCTCTCCCGTTCTTTTCCTCTCCAGCAAACTTACACGAACCCTTATAAAACATGTTATTGTTGTTATTGTTATATTCCATTTGTATACCACCCGTAGCCAAAGCACTCTGGATGGCTCGCAACAGTTTAAGTCACCCATCCAGATTCCAACCCAACCAAATCCTGCTTAGTATCCAAGATTAGGCAAGATCTGGCACTTCAGGCTATATGAAAGCAATGTGTGTCCATAAACCAATGTTCTCTCTGAGATGCAGGAGAAGCATCTGTCCATGTGAAGAGCTGAATTCAACCTGAAATACTACCCTACTTCCTTTTCAAACAAATTCTGACTACACCCACAGGGTGGCACCTGACACTTGAGGGCTAGAAGGCAGAAACGTCAGATACTTCTTAATGGGTTAGTTTGCTTTGCCTGTTGTTTCCTTACTGGGTCAAGGAACTCCCTCTCAATCTTCTCCCCACCTAGTTCTGAAATGAGTCCCTCCTTTTCCAAAGCTGCTTGCTGCTGACACTCTGAGCACTTCTGGCCACTTCTGCCTCTCTACCTCTTTCTCTGAACCCTAAGAATCTAACTGATAAGACTGTAACTTGAGAGAGCTGGGCCCCCTCTCTGCAGTCACCTTGTATCCTTGTCCTTGGGGGAAAATGTATGTATGAACCCTTTTTTAAAAAGTAGTGTAAATCATCTTTTAGTCTGTTCTATAGCATATGGTATGACAGGGTCCAGCTGTACTACAGACATGTCTGTTTATACCTTTGAAATATGTAATTGTGCACATTAACCAAAAGCATATAAAAAGTAGGACATGGCGAAGAAGCATTCATCTATAAGCACAATATATTAGCTGGTAGATTAATTTCAGTTTTAAACATACCATCGTATGTTCCACTTTCTAGCAAGGCTCCACTTTCTTCCAGTGCCTTAAATTGTTCAACAGGAATAAAATTATAGTCCACCCCAGGGACTTCCCCATCTCTTGGCGGTCTTGTAGTGCCTAAGAATTAAAAAAAAAGGTGGGGGGGGGGACTGCAGGTTTACAAAATACTCAAGTTGTTACAGATCTTGACAGAGAGACACTGTATGCAAGGCTGCCCGTTCAGCAAGAGCATAACTAGTACATTATCACAAGCACTTCTGCATGTGCATCTAGGGCAATAAATTATGTAGCAATAAGATACTTTAACACAAGAGCTCTCATAAATTTATGGAATTTATTGTTAGGAAATATATAAAACCTCACCGAAGTATTGAATTTTGGTTCATATGTAAGCACTGACCCATGAACTGGCTCTCTCCAGTTCTTTATAGGCATTTGCATGTTTATGAATACAAGATGTGGATGCATGCTGCTCCTAATGTCTCAGCACGCCCCTAATGTCTCAGCATGCTGCCCCTACTGTCTCAAACTGCCAGACAGTTTGCCCTTTGCACAGGCATGAGAGTCTGTACATGGCTCTGAAAACATGTTCAGCTGAACAAGCTTACAGAAGTGTCATGATAAGACAGAGCTTACAATCAAGGAATGGACTTACAGAGTCCTATATATGCAACTCAGGAAGCAGAAGATGGGCCCAGGGAAATGTTTGAAAGAGAGTTTACATGCATGCCCATTATGTCTTTATTGCACTTCTGTACTGCCTCATACTGCCCATAGCGCCCTACACATGTTTGCCTTACACACAAACAGACCAATTCCTGCATAGGGCTTCCATAGCAAACAAATTCTCTCTTCAGATACAGGAATGGCCAACTTCTTATGCTAATGGGGCTCATATGGATTTGCATCCAGTTGCTGTGGACTGAAAGGTATAATATGCTGCTTACAATTTACAACAGATTAGGATCCAGTAATGATGTGCAAAAGGTGCTGCATAATAATTTTAAAGAATATTTTTATAACACTGGAAAATTATAAATGGGAAGAAAGCTGCTCAACATATTGATACATCACAGTATACATTGCTGGTAGAACTAGATACTTTCCTTCCAACCTTTCCCATTAATACATTCAAAATTTCCTAATCCAAGAATTCTCATTACCAGGTGTTGGTGAAGGCAACAGCACTTCAGCCATTTATTTTGCCTTACCCTAGCTGGATGTCCCTTCCTACTATACCATTTTACATATGCTGCAAGGAAGAACTAATCCAAGAAACTATCTCTTTGTTGCCTCCACATCTGCCTCCATTGTCACAGAGACACAGGTAAACACTGCCAAGAGACACAGGTAAACACTGCCTAGGAATGTGAAGGATGAGACAGCTCAAATGGCAGGCAGGCCTGCAGTGATCAGAAAGAATTTCTGAAGGGTGCATACTGTGGCCTAAAAGTCAGCAATTTGCGCTTTAGAGTTGGGCAACCTTTTTGGCATCAGAGGTCACATTTCTTTGTGACTACGTGGTCAGGGCCCACATACTAGCAGCAGTGGGTGTGGCAAGCACTGATCATGAGCTAGGTCACCACTTTCCTTTTTCTTTCTGTCCGCCAATGCCATCCAACATCCATTAACAAACACAAACACTCCTCACGGTTGCTCCCTCCACCCCCACCTACCCACAGCTTGTTCTCACATGAAATCCATGTCCAGAATGGGTTATCTCAGATGAGAGCAAAACAAACACTTGCTAAAGACCACCGATATAAAACAAAACAAAAAAGCGGCATTTTAAAACTTTTCCTTGAACTCCCTTCTTCTTCTACAGTCAACACACACCCAGTCAGCCTACACTGCTTTTTCCAGAACAAATAGTTCATTTCAAAACCCAGCCATGCGGCAGCAGCTGGTATGTTTGACCACAGAATATGTCAAATAGAGCACAAAATGAACATTTTCCATTGATCTCTGTGGGTGGCCCCTCTAAGCATGGCTGTCAGAGGCTGCTAGAATATGTTCTGGCATTTGCAGTGGATAGGCCAAGTGCAGAGCAAGCCTGGTTTTTGGAGGGCCCATCAAGATCAGCAGTGATGGTAGCACAAACCTGGAGGAGAGTGTTCAGAAGAGCACACTAACTTCTTACTTACTGCACTGAGAATTTAAGCAGCACTGGCAGCCCTACCAGTAAGCCAACTCCTCCAAGTATATGTACTCAAATGGGCCACAGGAGAAACCCCTGAGGACCACATGTGGTTTAGAATGTGGATGATCAAATTCTCAAAGAAAACTGCGTTAAAACCATTTTCAGAAAGGAAATCAGAAATAGGAAAGAACAGCCAAGGGCCATTCTTTCAGCCCCACTGGATGCATAAAAGAGAAGCCCAAAATTAGTATGTATGTATGGTTATTTTTGCATAGCTTCTGTTATCTCTGTATTCTGAATTGTATATTAAACATGTGGGGCCTCACAAAAACATGTTGCAGTAAATAAATAACTAAATATCAGTGCTTATAACTGAAGTGGATGAAAAAAACCTGAATTTAACATCCAAGATAGCATCCCTGTTTCAATTCACATCTTATTTTGTAGCTTTTGAACATTTAAAACTATGTCAGCAACAAAACCTTGAAAATCGAATTGGAATTATAATATGATGCTAAATGAGTACTGCCATACTTTTCAAGCTAATTCTGTTAATTCTAATATAGTGTACCAGGGAATCTGTTTGGGGGAAAGAAAGTACGGCACTGGAACTATATACTGCTCCAACCTGGGCTCTAACAGCTGGGAGGATGAAGCAAACACAGATTCCCTGACTTAGCCATTCCTCAGTCTAGGAATCTCACTTTCTAGGAGAAAGTGAACCAATCCTTTTTTCAATACCAGTTCCTGGTTTTAGAAAAACAAACACATTCCTCTAACACAGACCTGGGCATTGTACGGCCCGCGGGCCACATCCGGCCGGATGTCTGACCCTGACTGGCCCGCATGAGGTCACTGGCAAATTAAAAGTCAATGCAAATATATATGATCGTAATATAGATGCAAGCAATACAACTGCACTGCTTTTATTTTGAAGGATCTGCTAAATTGAATTGAATTTATCGCTTTTCATGTAATGTTAATGTTAATGTTTTTGTGAATATTCATTAAATAGTGTTGTTCTGTGCTCCACATTTTCATTGTATCATTGTAATGTTTCATTTTTATAGAGATATATATTGAGCAGAGCTGTAAGTGTATTGGTCCAGCACTTAACAACTGTCAAACTTTCTCATGTGGCCCCATAGGAAAATTAATTGCCCACCCCTGATCTACAGGCATTTCACAGTTTCCTTAGGCTTTCAGCAACACAAACATTTGAACATCACCTGTATATTTACATAGTGATCACCATGCCCAGACTATTTATGAATATTAAATAGCACCATCCCTAACATGAATCCTTGGGGGAACAGACTACTTTCAATATTCAAATTTAATGGCTTACAAGTGAGACTAGCAGCAAAACATTGCAGCATGGAATGCTCCTATTAACTGCACCAGTCAAGAGCTCCTCCATACTACTCAATTACATTTCCTCCCTCACCAGTTCTCTGTTTCCTTTGTTTGTTTGTAAGTAACACTTGTATGCCCGCAATTCAGCATTGCAGGACTACTAGGAAAGCTCAGTCAAATTGGTTTCTTTCCACCCTAATTCCAGTTCATTGCCTCCCCACCAAGACTGTTCTAACACACTTTTAAAAATTTTATGCACTTCTTCAAACCCAGGGGTTCCCCCAAATACCATATATGGATGATGCCATTTTAAATATATTAACAACTCATGTGTGAATGATGGAAACATGGATTATGTTACCAGATTATTTAAAAACAAAAATTTGTAGATTAAAATTAAAAAGTATTTTAATGAAGTATTATACACAGACATCTAGAAAAAAATAATTGTTATCTGCACTTGTTACAGCATTTCTATTTTATTTATTCATTGGAATTTATCCTGCCCTATTAGCCATACTTCTTTGCCTGGGCTCAATGAAATAGTGTCTCATCTCAGGTGAAGAGTTCTGTTCAAAACTTCCCAGTTCCAGCTTTTCACCAATTGAGTTTCTTCCAAAGGGTATATCTGGATCTGGGCAGTTTCAGAGTTTGCTGCCAAGTTTATTTTATTTATTTATTTATTTATATCCTGCCTTTTTCCTACAAAGGGCTCAAGGCAGCTTAAATCAATTTCCTCCTCCATCTTATCCCCACAGCAACAACCCTGTGAGGTAGGTTGGGCTGAGAGTCTGTGACTGGCCCAAAGTCACCCAGTTGGCTCCATGGCTGAGTGGGGACTAGAACCCAGATTATCTCAGTCCCAGTCCCATGCTCTTAACCACTACGCCACACTGGCTCTGCCCTGGTAGGTGCACGATTAGCCCCAGACTCTACTGCAGCTGCAGAGCCTTCATGAGCACCATCTGAGAGCCCTGGGGGAAGAGCTATTTAAGAACTGGCTCTTGCATCCAGAGGTTTCCTCAGTGAGGCTGAGGAGTCTTTGGGGAGTCTGCTCCTGTTCCCAGTTACCTATTCTTTTGTGCAGTCTTTCTTGTACCTGATCTCTGCCTTGTTTTAGACCATGCTCTTGCTTTTTGGACTATTTTGTTTGTGTTCCTGTTTGCTGCTGGCTCTGACCTTGGCTTGCTCGGGATTTTGGCATGGATTTGCTTTGGACTGCTCACTGTACTCTGGTCTTATACCGTATTGATTGTGTTGCCTGGGCCCTGGTGCCTCTGTTTAGCTTTTATTGCCTATGCCCTGGACCTTATGCAGTGACAGATACCATTCAGGTTCTGAATGCACTTGCTCTTCCTCAAAAACAAAAAGTTTCCCTAAGAAAGTGTTTTTACCAACATGACAAAGCTTCTGTTGTTACTGCAGATAAAACTCAGTATCACTGGGACACAGCCCCCTAGCAAAAGGTTATTCTTTTATATGTTCAATAACCTCAATGCAGTTTTTTACCCCTGTATCTTGTCATTTTGATGAAACTGACTATCCTTTCATGTTTTGTCCTGATTCTCACCTGCATCTCTTAAATGAAATGTCTTTTGATCTCCTGAGATTTCAACATCAA